AGCCCTGAAATAACATATAACAGTAATCCAGTGGCAGCTTTGTAAGTTTTCAATTCAATATAGAAGAAATTCAAAGACCATTCTAGACCATGAACAGGATGATTTTTAAGCATGTCACCCTTGCCACACAAATATGCAGGGCTCTTTGTTATGAAAATATACCAATCAAGTTTCAAGTTTTGCATGTTTGTGCAGAATGAAAAATATGTAAACACTGTTAGATTACTGTGCCGCACAACTGATGGCAAGGGAAGAATGTGGATGAGGTTGGACATTGTGAAGGAGAAGAATGTTTATTTTAATTTTATGAATTTATTTCATGGCTTTGAGAATTAGTTGACATGAGAATGTACGAAAATCTCAGTTTTCAAAGAAACAAAGATGACTGGTTTCTGTATGAAATCTGGCAACATTTTAAAAAAACAAATAACAAAAAGCCAAAGAAAAATGTATAAGGATAACAATGACAGCACTGATATCCCACTGCAAGAAAATAAGAGAAAATGTGGTACATCACTCTGGAAGCTGATCAACAGATATAGGTCAAACTAGATAGTAGATACACTAGGCTTTATATTCAATTTTCTATTTTTTGCCATTTCTATTGTTCCTTACACAGAAACAGACAACAGTCAAAAAGAGAGTACAGTGCCCATTAGATCCAAAGCAGTAAGTATTTTCCTTAGCGTCAATTTATAAGTGATCATTCATAAGGATGTAATGGTTTCTCTGGCCCTAAATGTAGCCACACATAGCACAGACATTTTGTGGCTAGTAGACCAATGAACATTGTACACAAGCATTTTGATAAATGGAAAAACATGAAAATAGCTTTGTTATTCCAATTTTTTGCGTAAACAAATGTGTCTAAACTTTTGTCCACAATTGAACACTTTTATTGACAAATTTCAATACATTAAGTTAAGTCCATTAGTGATTAGAACCCAATTTTTGTAGTTGATGTACATGTGTTTATCAGTAGTGCAAGCCCCATTTTCATGATTTTTTATTTTGAAAGTGAACCTGCTTTATCAAGAAATTTTGCTTCAAAGATGAATTCATTAGTTTTACAAATTTTTTGACGCCATGAGTGTTACAGCTGTTTGTATATAAGTTGTTGTTACATGTCATAAAATAATCTGTCAAAAAGTTAGGCCACTTCGAGCGATGATGATAGTCAAAAAAATTATTTTTTTCATTTTTTTTCAGACTTCTAACAGTGTTTAGGCAAGTTTTGTTTTAGCAACCTCTTAGAAAGTCATTTGATGGTTTTTTGCTTAGTTTATCTTTGGTGCTTAAAATTATGGTATCAATGATATAATGTTTTTTCTTTAGTACAGTATTTGAAGATAGATTGGAGAAGCATTTGAAGAAATGCAATTCAAGAGGAAAAACACAGCAGGTTCATATTTAACAATAATTTCTATTACTCATATTTAAAGCTTTTGAGTTAGAGATCATTATTAATTATTAATTTTTGAGGAAATTTTGCATATAGAAACCCACTTGTGAATTTTGTTGGTCTGTTGGGTAATTTTTTGTTATAAAAAATGAAAAGAGTCATAAAAAGAGTCTTGATAAAGCCATTGTATTGAAAAATGTTGAGTAGCCTACATGGAGGGCTTAATTGAGATGCAATAAATCCACCATTTTAGTCCATGACTCATTCAGCAGTGAATGTAACAACTAAATAAATGAGATTGATGAACATATGGCCAAATTTAAACTTTAAACATACCAATATTTTGGACTAAAAAATATTCTTATACTATGATTTATATTTTGGTTTGTCATTTAAAAAAGAATAGTTTGTTATTTTAAAAAGAATATGATTAAGTAATAGCTTAAATGAAATAACTTGAAAAGTGTAAAGCTACAAAACGAGATACTGTTATGGCAACTTGGATATGATTTTATAAGCGTCCCTGCATATAAGCCCTCAACGTATAAGCTTCTCCTCGAATACCCCCCTTTCTAAAAATTGCCTGATGCTACACACTGCCTATACAGCATTAAGCACTTTACAACAAAAGATCAGTAAAAAGTAATTTTCTTTAGAAACTACCTAAATCAATTAGCCTCCAGGGGGCTAATTTTGAGGATTTATGGCATATTGAACAAAAAGGAATGTTAAAACAGGGTGGGTCAGTTTCTGTTAAAAAGTAAATTGCTTATGTTGTAGATTTGCTTTTTGACTTGTTTTAACATTATCTGAAAATGTGTAGGTTTGTTTATTTATGTCCAAATTTCCCTGGAAATACTTCTTGTATTTATTTGTTTGCAAGTGTAAAAGATGTAAAGATTGTCTTCAAAATGGTATATTTTCGAAGATTTTTTAGATTGTTACATGGCCCAATTTTATTATGTTACCTTGACCCATTTTGTCAAATCACCTTGATGAATTCTTTTTTTCACTAAACAGGACTATTTTGAAGAACACATACACTCCGGTTTGCTTCATTGTGAAACTGCTGAAGATGAAAAGGTGAATGATCATCAACAGAATTGTAAATTTTTTTCAGTTTCCTCAGGAAGATATTGTGTAAAAATATATACTTCTCCAAACTATTGAATAATGACCATCATTTTTTGTGTGATACTAAAAGAATTATGTCTCGGAAGTTGCCCTGAAGGGTTTTTGATGCACTGTTCAAAGCTAGAATATTTGCTGCTATGGAAAATGATGAATAAAAGGCAGACAGTAGCATCATGTTTTTGCACTATCTAAACCTCTGGATACCTGCAGAGGCACTAAAAGGAATTTTGCGATATTAAAATCCCAAGAAGCAAAATTAGGCAGCCTTTGGGTTGTTTTTGTTTAGAAGTTAGTAGAGATATCTACTTTAAACTTTTAATAATTTCATTATATAATTTATCATTCATGAATAGTTACGAATTACGGTGATGTACCTAAATTATTATTAATTTATTTCTTTTTATTCAGGTCCCGTTGAATAAGATTCCAAAAATGGAAATATATGATTTGATCAAAAGGGTTGAGAAATGCTATTCGGAATCATTATTAAAGATCAAAAAGTGGTGTGGATCCCATCCGGTATTGAAAGAAGAACTTGACAATGAAGAATACGGTGAAAGTACTAGAAAGCACTTTTTACAGCAGGTGCGGTTGTAGTGTAGTTTTGAGACCAATGTCATTAACTTCCCTGGATATTAACTCATAACTGAATATATTTTATAACAGGAAAGTAGTCAGCCCAAGTTGGTAAGTTTGTGGCCGGCAGTACCTGTATTCAACAGATCTTGAGAGGAAATAGGAGATGAAACAGAGCAATGAAATTTATTTGCTCTTTTTCGTCAATTTAGAACAGCGGATATCGTGCTCATAAGATCTTCCGCTAGGTCATGTAGCTGTTGAACTGCATAATCAGTAATGGCATAACAGGAAGAAGCTAGAAGATTATGTCGGCATTTAATCCTTCAGTTGAAGACTTTTCACTTGAAAACATGCATGATAAATCGCATCATACACAGCAATTTTCCACAACGACAAATCTAATTCTATGACATCAATAGGCAGATGCTCATTATCTTATGCCCGCGCTCTTTTGTTTTGATTTTCTAATTTCGTGTGAATTGTAACCTTTTATTTTTACAGGCTTCCTTGATCGATTTATTAGAAAAAAATGATGTCTTCAAAAAAGATAAATTAGCTGTTTTAGAATTTGGTGCTGGCAAAGGTGAGCTGTTGCATATGGATTGATTTTCTTGTTGCATTTTTGCCGTGATTATGCTGTATTAAAAGGGAACTTTGGTGACACTACAGGGTGATCATCGTTTATGTTGGACCATATAATGATAATAGAAATAATAAAAACATTTATACAGGGCAAAACCTTTTTAGCGCCAAAGGCACTGATACCAACGAGGGTACTGTTTTAGATAAAAGTATTGACATTGTTAAAAATGAAAAATAATTACAAGTTAAATGTGAAAATTAAAATGAAAGTTAAAAATAATAAATGGTTAAAGATCGTTTCTAAGGGCTTTGAAGTGAACTAGTTGTTCAGAAAATGTTCTTTTAAGTGATTTTTGAATTGAACTATTGATGTTAATTGGCGGATGTCAATTGAGATTTTGTTGTAGCAAGAGCAAGAAAGATTTGAAATCATACAACAATCCCTATGTTATCTCTTCTATCAGGGATTAAGACCAATCCCTTAGGTTCTTCTTTAGATTGCATTGTTTGATCATCTTCTATGTTTTATGGTTTTTACTTTTTCAATAGAATTATAGTTGAGATAAGTTTTGTTCTGAATGGAAGTTTCAACCAGGCTAATGGGAAGCCAAGTTTATTAAGACACGTGCTAACCGATACTGGAGAATCACCCTTTATAGGGTTAATAGAATTAACCCTATTTTCAAGCTATTACTATTGACCATGTAAAAATCCACCTTTGCTATCTTTGCCTAGGAAAACTATCACACTGGCTGCAGAAAGCTGTTGGTAACGTGGATAATGTCGAGTATTACTTGATAGACCGTCAGAATCATCGTCATAAGGTACAGTAAAATAAAGGCACAGTCTGATAATTTTGGTTACAAGTTATTATAGCTGTTGGCTTTATCTAATGAATTTGAAAACGAACAGTTTGGTATACTGCCTATAAGAATTTCGTCCCCTTTTCGTCCCGAGACATTTCGTCCCCTTTTAAATTGAGGGACAAATTTGAGACAACTGCTGCTGTGGTACTAAGATTTTATCGATTTTCTAAGTTCATTTACCGTAAATCCTCGAATTGCCCCCCCCCCCTCTCGAAAGAGCCTACCTCGAATAAGCCCTCACTCTAGAACAACGAATTGTCAATAAGCCTCCCTCCCTCGAATAAGCTCCCACTGCTACTGTAGATCCTCGAATTGGCCTCCCCTCTCTAAAAAGCCCCCCTTGAATAAGCCCTCACTCTAGAACTACGAATTGACAATAAGCCTTCCTCCCTCGAATAAGCCCCCACTGCTACTGTAAATCCTTGAATTGGCCCCCTTAAATTTGATGGTTTTTGCCATCTGAGGCTGTCTTTGGCGTTTTATTGAATTACCTCAAAAATTCATACTTTTGGTAAAAATTAATTAAATGCTCATAAAGAAATTCCTGCTAAAATAAGCGAGGTCTTTTAATAATGTCTTCTTAGTGTCTACAATAATTTTATCCCTCGTATAAGCCCCCCCCCTCGAAAAAGCCCCCATCCAAAATTGTAAAAAATAAATAAGCACCCAGGGAGCTAATTCGAGGATTTACGGTATTTAGATCTCAAAATATTTTAAAATGGGAATTAGTCCTGGTGTTATCTTTCTCTTGCAGTTCGATTGCTTTCACAGAGGAGAGAACCAGGGACCTTCGTTCAAGAGGCTTTACATTGATATCGAACATCTCAATCTTGGTAGGAATGAAGCCTTTTTGAAACCGACTTTTCCTTTATCTGAATCATTGCCATGCTTTTAATCATCCTAGAAGGATCCGATCAACTAGCAGCTATTCAAATTTAATTCCATAACAGATTAGGTAGTGGTAGGTTGTTGGGTCGTTTTTTAACTTTTCATTGCTAACAATGCCTCTTCAGTCGGATGGACCTCCTTAATATGTCCGTTTCGCAATAGTTTTCATCATTAAGGTCATTCTCTTGTCCTTTAATATTTTATCATTCAACCGGGCAGCTGGCTTTTCCTCTTACTGAATCAACTAGCTGTAATCTTCTTTACTCCTGGGCGCTTCTCCTTCTTTTTCAATAACTGATACTCTGTTTTTGATTTCACACTGTCACATATTGCCATTGTAGCTTTTAAGTCATCATCGATTTTTTTCAAGAATAGCACTCAAGCAAATGCTTTGCTAGTCTTTTGTCGAAGAACATTTTTATTGGCTTTTGTGCTTGAAAACATCGCTTGAGCTTTAGCTTGGAAAGCATCAGACCCTGCTTTATCAATTGTTTGAGTACAAAACGATTATGTGTCAATCTTTCACGATCGTTGTCCGAGATGAAGAAGTTCTCACCTCATCAAAACGACTGCTGACATTACTATCGTTCCTGATTCAGCATTTTGAATTTTTTATCTATGCTAAACCTTCTTTATGCCACGTGGCTAGATAGTACATCTTTATGGAGAATTTGCTCACAATACACTGCTTTATGTGTGTACTTTGTAGATTGGAATAATTGACGTAGGTAGTATCTTTCTTTTGCAATCAAGAGAACGACAAGCCTGCACGCAAGCAGTATAATTTCACTCTCTCACCACTTGCTATATTACTGTACTGTCTTTCTTTCTCGCTGTGAATGGAAATTTATAGGGTGGACCTTTTGAAGTGCATATTGGATTCACTGTGACTGTGATTGTTTTTATTTATAATATGACTATGGAGGAATTTTCTGACGTCATTGTTTGTCGAAAAATTCTTACAATTGGGCAAGTTATATTGCAGATTCTGTTTGTATTTTTCCATTTCAGCTCGTTTATGTTTTGCATTTCAAAGGCTGTAGTAGTATGTTTTTTGGATTCACGCGACACGCTTATTTATGTTAAGCTTTCAAATGAATCCACCATATTGATGCTACCCATCATGTTGCATCACAAATAGTCCCTCGTGAACTTTAAGATGAGCCTAACTGCTATATTGGAAACTTTAGGGATTAGGCCGAAGAATCTGATTTTTACACACACCATGAGATGACTCAAACACCGTTTGGAGCAATGCCTATAGCATCTTTGGAAATTTATCAGGACCTGCTGTGCAGGAAAATGGCATTACATTCTCATCTTCATCCGATTATTATCCCCTACTTCCTAATCCATGATTGCAAAAATTAATCTAAATTAGCCACTCGTTAATTATTTACATGTATGTTGCCTCTGATATGCCAAAGTAAAACTCTTTTGAAAAATTTCACTAAGTAGATTGGCTATTCATTTGCTAGCCTATATCAGCACGAAAATTTTGTGTCCCCCCTGTTAGAGTTTCAATAAATCTGATCGGTTACAAACAAAACAGATTAAATCGAGGTTGTATAAAGATCGGGCTATAGTTCTTTTCATGCGCAGCTACGTCACTATTGATTTCCACATGAAACCGGCGCATGCACTGCCGATCAATGCGGAGAGACCTTAGATTTAGCGCCGTCCCAACGCCCGGAATTAGGTGACGGCTTCTTGATACAGCCAGCCTTGACCGTAGTTATAATTTTTGCACTAAATGATCCATAGGTATTTGAGTATCATAGCTAATTCTAGCTATGTTTCAAAAATGCATGTTTTAAGGATCCATTGAATTTTACTTGAAAATGGTTACCTTGTTTGATCAACTATGCTCGACGCTTTCTTGCCAACAAATAACCAGTTCATGTCGAGCCACTATCCAGTGATCTGGTTTTCTGTCGCTTTGTAGCCTAAACCGTCAATGCTTTTCTTTTGAAGTTATAGTATGGCGTTATTTTTTGCAGCTAAGGTTTCAGATTTGACTCAAAAGAATATCGTTGGCATCGGAAAGCATTTATGTGGAGCAGCCACAGATTTCTCGCTAAGATGTCTTGCTGGAGGAGACCGTAAACAGGCTGAATCGAATCAGTAAGTGACACGTAGTAAATTTGTCTTATAAGTATTCTTACTATCAGCGAAAATTCTAAGAACAAATTTTGATCGTGTATGTGTGTTTTTAATTATGGTTTCTAAACACAATAAAGGTACCAAGTTACCTAAATATAATTTGTCATATAACACACGGAATCTCATTAAATCCTTGGTCCAAAAAACCAGTGACAAAAAACAGGAAAGGAAAGATCTTACGAACTTGGAAAGCAAAAGTGACGATTGCTCACGAAGAGCTGATGTTTGCTTGAGAAATTTAGATATAACCGTAAAAAGACACATTAATCAACAAAACAAAGCAGCAACTAATTAAAGCTTTGCTTATTTTATGCTTCATTTATCTGAGTCATAATTGCGGAATTTCCCACCTAGGTAACAATATAGGTTTTGTTTTTGCTGACATGGTGAAAACAGTTGCATGTCGGTCTCATCAGGCGGAAAACACCCGGCTGTGACTGAGAAGTTCTGTCTTTTCTGCATAAAGGCGTGTACGGCTCTGTCTATACGGTCTTTAACACTATATAATAGGCCGGTAAACAGTTATAGTAAACAGCGATCCTCATTATTTTCTGATGTATGCAACCAGTAGTGGTTTGTTAAGTGGAGCCTTGTTTCCCGAAACGGAGCTAGCCTATTTGCCACCGCTGAACCATGCATTCGTTAGAAATCTCAATGAAACATGCCTACTTGTTTACCATTTATGTACAAATTTTGTAGCCATTTATATTATTATTGATCCGAGCTACATATGAGAAAGTGGGTGATGTTATGGAAATTTTCATATGAAGAGTCAGCTTTCTTAAGAGCTTGCAGCCTCAGTTTCTAAAACTATTATTTTCTGTACTGTATTCACAATAGATCCGTATTTTTGCTTTTCAAGGGCATCGAAAAAAGCGAAACTTGACCATAACACCAACCGCATTGAACTGATTTTATTTGCACTATGTTGTTATCACAAATGCTCTTGGCCGAGCTTTGTCGGGAGAGATTTTTTTGCCGCGAATGGATTCAACAAAACTGATTTTCATCGAATTACAAAAATTTGTAGCTGGGCTGTTTGTGGTGTTCGCAGCATTGCAAAAGGTAAAGTTATTGCATTTCAAAAACTTTGTTATGATTTACACCTTTGAGTAAACAAACAACCAACGCCGGATAAGTTGACTTTCTGTTGATTCGAATTTTTCTTTCCGCTTTATAATTTTTCTGCTTTAGCCTGCATTTGACAACATGAACAACTCCAATCTTTTCTTAACAGCATAAATTTTATGACGTGGACTGTATTGCTTTTCATCCTTGGAAAACCCACAATAGTGTATGCCAATCTGGTTCACAAAATAATGAATCACCCGTTCTCTAACACTGTAAAAACCCAGTTGCTTTATAATTTATAGTTTAATACTGTTTGTGACACGTGCAGAGCCAGATTTTGCATTTTTCGTAATTTTTGCAGATTAAATGTGGTGTGAATCTTTAGTCGCTCTGGCAGCTGAATAAAGAGCATGCCGCATGAATTTTGTAGAGAAGATTCGCGAGTGGACAAATGGATTCAAGAGTGAATTAATGATTAAAGTTATCACTTAATAAATATTGCATATGTGTAAAAATATCAATGTTTCTTAATGACATGTTTGGTAATTATGGTTTATAAACTATTAATTCTCATGAATTCTTAATGAATACTGTTTTTGAATATTGATGTTAAATCGATTTTTTCAGATTCTGGTGATGATGAGTTGTTGGGAAAAGAAAAAGATGAAATGTAAATAACCTTCTACATACCTTTCTGATTGAAATTCTTCATCCGTGAAATTATTTATTTATTTTTCTTTATATCATACCTTTTCTGTTCGTTTCCTCGTCCCTTTTTATCTTGTCGTTTCTCTTTTTCAGGAATACTTTCCAACTTAACCCTGAACAGAAAAAAGAAATCGGTTCAAAATGCAAGAGACTTATTGACTTAGGAAGAATAGAATACTTAAGAAAGCATGGGTATCAAACAGAATTAATTTACTTCATTGATTCAGCAGTAACTCTTGAGAATGTTGTTCTACTTGCAAAGCCAAACATTACTAATGGTTAGTTTTGAAATAATTGATGAGAAGTATTTTTAGGAAAGATATATCGAAAGAAGCTGTCAAGTCTGTCCCTCTGCAAAACACTGTATCCCTTTTTTCATTAGATTTTTTCTATATTAAAGTTTTTCGTTTGTTATTTTTTTCAGTATAGCAGTATAACAGTTCGTCCGACCTCCACTTTATCTTTGTCGCCGTGAAATGTTGTTAACCACTTTCACCAAGCGTACATACACTAGGGTATCAAAAGTATTGCACCACCTCGAAGGAGGAGAAATGGCGCATGAATGATCGAAAGCTATTGTTATGCAAATTAATTCTGTTTTTAGAGGGGCAATGGCAATTGGTCGAAAGCAAAACAACGACCAATCAAAACGTCAACCTATTTAGAGCATTTTTTTGAAAACTGAAGACCACTTCCCTGTAAATATTTTATAGCGACTCGCCCCTCATTTGACAATATTGCTTCCTTAGGCATGGTCTACATTTTTACAAACAAAAATGTCTTTGCGTAATTTATACATTTCTAACTAAGTTTTCTATGGCGTCAGCAAGATTTGCAAACTTTTCCCGCCAAAGTTTGCTCTAAAATGCGCTTACTTCACCCAATTAATGCATTCAAAGGTTTTGCATGGTTAAAAAGTCGACAAAAAGTGCCGCCATTTTTAGCAGGGTGGTGCAATACTTTTGATACCCTAGTGTACAAAACTACTCTTTCCCGCGGAGTCTACATGCATGCTACTTTAATCTGGATCTAGACGAAAGCGGCGATTTTCGACTTTTATTCTCTTTATCAGAGGCTTCAGTTTCCCTGAGATAATCGTAGCCATTTTGCTCTCAACTACTTACAACAAATCTGCTAGCGTAAGCAGCTTGTCACATAATGCTTCTGTAGGATGATTTCTATATGGAATCGAATCGAATTTCTTGACAACTAGCTGCGGCGCCAGTCTTCGAATGAAGACGAGTGTTTTTATTTATGTACTGCTGGAAGGACTTCGATTGCAGACATCACGAAACAATCTAATTATACGCAAGCTTGACTTGGCAGTTTATTTTTACAGCGGATAATCTTGTGCCTTTTGAAACGCAAGGATAATTTATTACACGCCCTCCTATGTTTGAAGCTTGCAGAAATAATCTTTAGAAAAAATTATTTTATAACGAATCATAACTTCATAACAGTGCAATTGTTGCTCTTTGTGTAGAAAAACAGTTCTAGTGTTGATGTAATGACTGGACGGTCTATTTAAGGGTATTGACAATGTTTTGTCATATAAAAACTATGGTTTTAATGGATTGTATATCAAGATTCTTTGCACGAAGATCAACAGACGTCGGCAGATGACAGCTTGCGATATGGCTTTTTGTATCTTGTTTATTAAAAATTGTAAGTAGTCTATTTGCATTCTCAAAAAAGTCTTGACCCACTGTCACAGGAGATAATTATGTCATCTCCTGTTGAATTAGAATTAGAGAGTTGTCGCTACTTGCCACGCTAAATCTAAACTTTCTTAATATAATCGGAGATACTATCTATTTTTCTTTTGCATGAAAAACTTAAAAGTTGCCTATTCTGGTCTATACTTTTTTATACAAGTGCATTTATTTAATTTGACTGAGGTTAAGATATTCTAAATTTTTAAAAGAGTGCGTCCTAAAAGTGTTCTTTAATGGGTTTTTGTTTTTTATTTGACTTAAGTAAAATTAAGAGTGGCATGTTAAATGTGCTTGCAATAATTTTTTAAATTATATTAGAAATTATATCGTTTTCGTTTTACTTTATAACATTGTTGTTATTCAACTTCAGGTTCAACCGCACGACTTTTACTCTTAAACTTACCGTCATCATGTGGAATGTCATTGTTTTTAGCCGTTCTTTTCTGTATTATTATCTCAGTTGGTTTTTATATTATCTAAAGGCTAAGGAATAGATAGTGCCTGAATCATGTAAGATTCTATATGGCAAGGTACATTAAACGAAAATTGAACTGGTACACTCTAATACACTGAACTGTCTCGAGAAGCTGTCCTTTACTTTTAAACATATACGGATTAACTAAAATTAATTTAAGACTGTCTGAAAATGCATTATGGGATGCTTGCGTAGCGCAATGGCTTATTGTTAGCAACGAGTCTTTAACTTGCTCAGATCTTACTTTGCATCCAAATTGTTTCTTGAATGTTATGTGAATCACTTCAATCATTTCATTGCTTGTGTTAATGTTCAAGGTTATTTGGAAATTGATATGAACTCAATCGCTGTTACTGTAGTGAAGACAAAAAAGAATTTGGCTAAGCCTTCTTTAGCGTTGATCATCAAAGCCAAGACGACCAAAATCCTTTAATGGCCGGCTAGATTATTGAAGATTTTCGTTATTTTTGATAGAACCGTGAGCTGTTATATGGTCGTGGATTGCACCATCGCTTGCTGTAAAGTAGTTTCGCACCTGTTACAACGGCGGAACTTGATAATTATTTTATTGCCAAATATTTTTCAGGGGGAGCAAAGAATATGTCTCTGAGATACACGAATCATATAGGTTGGGAAGCACCACATTTTCTTGAAAGGTGGCTGAATTTTCAGATCTTTATAATTAATGATAGGTTTCCTTACCTATGAAAGTTCATAGCCATACTGTCCCAAACTGTGTACCTATTATTTATAAATTGTTTTTAATTTCCTTCCAATTAGAATATTAAGTGAAGCGACTGAATTCTGTTTAGTTGATGTATGTTAGCAATTAGAATCTGTTGACTGATATACCTTGAAAGACTTTATACAGCTGTGAAGTTGACAGGCAGATCAAGGCTGGAGAATTATGAGATGAGATTGCGAACTTTATTACAAAGGAACTTTTTGTAACAAAAAGCGGTCAACAAAGAGTATATGTCTAAACAACTCGACTAATATGACGACCACCACAGTTTAATCGAAGCCCGAACAACAGTATGAGCTTTCTTTGATCAGATCAATTTGCCTAAAAACGTTGACATTGTAGACGAATAAGGTTTTTTTTCTCGAACAAAGTCACACTTTTTTCTACCTGCTGCTGTTGTGCTCAAATCAATATGATAAGCAGTGTTTGCGAACATGACATAAACTCACAGGGCACTTCTGCAATCCCAGGTGGGAAGAAAAGAGCTTATGCCACAACCGATAAGGCTCAGTCAGACATTATTGTAAAACGCGTTTGAACTAAATGTCATCCCCAAGGGTGAAGTTCGGATAGCATTTTATCGACTTTTACTCTGAACTACTTTCTATTTCATCCTTTTCATCTATAATGGCAATTACTGCCTTTATAATGCGGTAATTTCCATTGTCGAGTGAAAGGCCTGTCAAATCCACTCTTCATTTGCTATGTATAGACGGAAGCACAAACTAATTTGGTCCGCTTTGTGATCAAAGAAAACACATTGGTAGGCTTACAAATGTAAGAAAGTTAAAGGCCTCTTAAGGCCTCTAATTTGCGTTTGCTTTTTTCGTGAAGAGAAGATACCCCCAAAACGTCAAAGAGTAAAGAGTTGTTCATATATTAAAACTTGAACCCGCTAGGCAGTCTACACTGCTATGTATTCTTCAAAAATCGTCAAGTTTTCTTTTAATAGTTCTAGTTCTTGCTGCACTAGTTCACAGTGACTGTTACATACTCAAAAAGCTACGGGAAACGCCTTCTGTAAGATCACTGTTCAAATAGATTAAAAGCAGATTAAGCAATGACGAACGGTGCAGATTGTAGCAGGTGATACAGATCTTGGCTGATATACGCGGATTTTAGAGATTTTTCTTTGCTTTCAGGCTCATTTTACAAGAAACCTTCCTTATTATGACAATTTGATTTTCTTTGGTTTTTTTGGTTTACACTATGCTAAATCTTTGATTCCAATTCCAAATCTAAAATCTTGTAGACGCTAAAAGCTCTGCCTCCTAAGCACAATCCCCTCAGGATTCAAGTGCTTAGATTTCTTTATCAACAAAACATCATTCTTCATTTAAGGAGACACCGCATGTGCATGTACTATTTCATTCCTATATCTGTTCCCTTATTAACTACTCTCAAGGTCTTTGTTTCTGCACTTGTCATGAAAATGCAAGCTATGTAACTAAAACCAATGAAAATATACTGCAGATTGTCTTTGTTTATCCTTCATAGCCATAATAATAATAATAATAATAAAGGCATTTATATTGCACCATTTATCCACGCGGCTCAAAGGCGCATTACATAATGTTCACAAAACTAATAGAGTGATATAATATACAGTACTAGAAAGAATGCTAAAAAAATGTTCGTAAAATTTTCGTAAAATAAATAAAATCTAATTAACATTTTCTTGAAAAAGATGTGTTTTCAGTCTGCTCTTAAAAGCGTCAAAAGAATCCACTGCTCGCAACGTGTATGGCAATCTGTTCCAAAGAAGAGGAGAGGCACCTGTAAATGCACGATCTCCAGCGGTCACTAGCTTTGTCCTTGATGTTCCGAGAGTCAAGTCATCATCAACAGATCTTGTCCGTCGCGCTGCTCTTTGTAATGTGACTAACTCAGTAAGATATACTGGTGCAAGGTTATTGACGCATTTGTAAGTCAACGTTAAGATCTTATATTTTATCCTGCATGATATTGGCAACCAATGAAGCTGTTTTAACACTGGGGTTATGTGACTATCTCTCTTCGCACCGGTCAAAATCCTGGCGGCAGTATTCTGAATTTTTTGCAACTTTTTTAACTCGCACATTGGCAAACCATATAAAAGGGAATTGTTGCAATCTAGCCGAGATGTGACAAAAGCATGGATGGCTTTTTCAGCAGCTTATTTAATGAGATACTTCCGAGCTAGGCGGATATTATGCAAGTAGTACCTAGCTGAGCTGCATAAAGAGTTTACATGTGACTTAAGTGACAAATTAGCATCAAAGACTACACCAAGATTTCGTGATTTTTCGGTTGGATTAATTGTACTAATACCAATATTGACACACAGGTTTGACAGTTTCGCACATTGATTTCGCGTTCCATAGCCAAATACCACCATCTTTTGTAACTAATCTTGTAATATATTATAATATATAGCTGATTTCGTAGTTCTTTGTAAAGACAAACTTCCTCTATCCTAAGAGTAAGTTTGCCAATGAAGAGGTCGTCCTTTCTCCAGCCGATAAGCAAAACTTTAAAACTTTTCACGAAAAATGCTTAAAAGAAGGTGAAGTCTGTGAGCAGTAAAAAGAGCTCTTCTGCGACTTAGAACAGTCTCTCTAATAATGGAGCAGAGATTTGTTTCAATAACTATACTTATAATATTGCCTTGTTCATATTACCACAATTTCACAGCGCAAAAGAAATATTCCTAGATAACAGGGAGCCTTTCCATCGTAGAGCTCACGGACGGAAAAAAACTATAATGAGTTTTCTAAATGCTTCAGCTTTGTGTTTGTGCCTTGCATTTTTATTAGATGAGAGCTAGGCTTAAAATGCGCTTAACATCTACATTTGAATTTTTTCTCATAAACCTCAATATTTTCTCTTTCTGAAATGTCTCCCCCGCCCAATGAGAACCCTTTAAAGAATCAGGTCAAAATCGATAAGCCCGAGAAAGTTAATTGTCACTTCTATCAATTTACACCTCTGAAAAACAAAGAAGGCTTTATTGGCTTGAGAAAAACACACTCAAGTTCGATTGAGAACCAACAGCTGAAGTCATTTATCACAAGATTTTCAATAAATTAAGATTGCTTTTAATCATGTAATGCAACCAGTCGCGAAAGTGAAATGAAGAAAACACTTGTTTGCAAATAAGTTTCCTATTATTTTGAAATGTAAAAACCTGCATCAGGAAAGTTTGCATCAACAAAATGATTGATAAGATAATACAGCAAAAAGAAATAGGCGGAGTACGTGACGGAAGTGCTTAGGCTAGCTTTATGCCTAGTGTTGTTGTGAATTACACTCATTTTTCTTATAAGAAACTGGCTATAAGAAACGAGTACTGGACAGTCAGAAAAAATTAAGAAACTCCAGTACTCGAAGCAAAAAATTAAGAAACTGCTAAATCGTGATAAAACTGAGAACAACAAAATTTTGTAACATCCAAGAACATGATTGCCCTGTTGGCCTAGAATTTAAGACACAAGGGATGAGAATATACTTCCCACATCTAAATACAGCATCAGAACGTAAGCGAATCTCTTGACGTTATAAAAAGGTCACGAACATTTCATAACATCATTCATGACATCATAATTAAGAAACTCTTAAGAAACAATGTGTATTGAAATTTCCAGAACATTAAAAAACTGAAGTACTCAATATCGACCTTTGTTTCTTATCAAAAAATGAGTGTAGGTTAACATCTAAGCATCATAATAAACTTAATGTAGTAATAATAGAAGAGTAACATTCGATTAGGGTATAGATAAAGCGTCACAAAACGCCAATGCCGCATATTGGAAAACTATTTAGGCACAAGTGCACGAAAAGTCTTTCTTTGAAAAAGGCTGACAAAGCTCTTCCACAAGTCGGAACAAAAAGAAGGAGTGAAGGAGTGAGATAGTGCCAGCAGAAAATATATGGTTTGTGGCCATTAAGGGATGTTCTTGACATACTAAATTGAAGCGAATTTAACCAAAATGAAACCTACACCGAAAAGTTTGCACAAAAGTTAACATTTAGGATGTTCTATAAATCCTTAAAAATGCAGAAAGAGTACGTATTTCCTAAGAAAATTCCCCATTATACCTGCTTATGGGAGGTATGTTAAAATGCAGTTTTATTGGCAAAATAATGGGCAAGGCCTGCAAGACCCAAACTTTACCATCTGATTCGCATTCAATGGTTGAATTTTATTCTTGCGATGATTCTCGTGATTGTATGATGAATTTATGTGGTGAGCGAGATGGCGAGTGCAGCACTCATGGTCTTAGTGAATAGGACTTTATCAAACAAGTTCCAATTATGATTCAGATGATACCAGCATAACAACGACTATTGCAATGCATGTAGACAATTCTATCAGTGGAAAAAGAACGATGCTTGATACCTAACGAAAATGCAAGTCAAGATGGACATTGCTGCTATAGAGATTTGGCAAGATAAGGTAATAGCTTCGAAAAAACAAATCTATACCAAACGCCAGCATTATGCAGAGTGCAAGCGTATTAAGGCAGAAGTGAAAGAGACTGAGTTGATGATCTGTGTAGACTTAAGTGAAAGTTATAAGAGTCAACAACAGAATGAAATTCAGTGCCTACTTTGATCATTCAACTTTTAGCCTCTTTACAGCTTGTGTCTACTACCGTGACACTGATGACGATGACCGTCAAGAACATGGTTTATCGTTGTGTGCTAGCTGGGAATGAGGTCATTGATAACCCCAAACAATCTGCAGGGTTTGCAGACGAGGTGTGCAATATTGACTCCTTGCTTCTACCGGGCGAGAAAGTTAGCCTTTGCAAGGTAATACCTTCCTATACGATAAGTTCTCTTATCAACGAACCCAAATTAAACACAAATATACTTGTAAGCGTGTAGTTACAAAGTCATATGAATTCTACATTCCAACATTCCAACATTCCAATATTCCAACATTCCAACATTCCAACATTCCACATTTTCAAGATAGCCTTTATTTAAGGTACGATGAAGAGCCGCATTTTTCTCAGTGGTATGGCAAAGAATGTGGCCATGCTGAAAATGATGTCGATGAAAATACACGTTGCTATTGTCGTGGGAAGTACCGCATGGATGAGGAATGGATGGAGTGTCCCATTTGCCAAAAGTGGTTTCACGAACAATGTTTCGTTCTTTAGAGCTGTTAGTCGAGTTATGGTCTACTTATGAACAAGCAAACAATTCTCTACCTTATTGTCATTTGATACAAAATGTGGCACTGGCACTTGGAACTTCTGTTAGACGGAATTCTTATGTTAAACTAGAATCCCCATTAAATCTTGCTATGCTGGTTTGCTACTCAGATTTTCTGAAAAAAACTAATGTAAGACTCTCACTAGCATCACAGTGAAGGACTAATATTACTGTTTAAATAGTTTTGCTCTAATCGTTGTATTTTCTCCATCCAACAGTTCCGTCCAAAAGATTATTTCTTTAAACTATAGGCTGGATTAAATTTTAACATTCACCAGTTTTTGTTTTGGGCTATTGTTAATGATGTTACATGTACGTTTTTGCCAAAATTTATGAGCATGGGCAGTATTCCTTTCGGACTGAAATATTTTTCTTTAGAAATAACTGAAACCGTCCCTGCTTTTTCATGGCGTATAATGTTGCCTCAGGGTTTGAATCAATCAGAACGCAAATCTTCCTGATAAACATAAGTTTCTTTACATTCACATGTAATCAAAGTAGTGCAAGTTTTGTCACATCTGGAGGTCATGTGATAATTTTTGCTGCAGCGAATTATTTGCAAATGTGCTATAGCTGCAGTTTTGAAAAGAAATTTAAACTGGCCTTTAGGATCATTGAGAATGAAATATTTCCACTTTACGTCTAGACTTTTTTCTGTCTGTCTGCAAATAGCCATGCAACATTTTTGCACTCGTGGCAAAAAATTCATGACGTGGTGATATTGTCAATATTCCAAAGTCATTGACAAAAGACGTTTTAAAGTTACACCCATGATATCATCTTGTAGGGTTGATTGATATCTTTTTTAGGCAAAGTTTTAAAACGTATTTAGAGAGTTGAAATTTCCTTCAAAAGACGCTAACACTGTAACTTTTGTTACATAGATTGACTATAAATTGACTGCCACTAAAGTTCCATCAATGACTGCAATCATTTAATTGATAACTGATAATTTGTTCACATAAACAAAACAGTAATGGATCTTCCTAGCCTTTCAATTTTCTTTAATTAACAACAACCAAAGATCACAAAAAATCAATGTTACACCGGCGTTTCATCTTTGGTTGAAACACAGGTAATATAGCCTCCTACTTTTTGAAATCGTTTGTCAGTGACGTTTAGACAAACAAATTAAAAGGGACCCATTTTTGTGTGTATTCTTGGTTGCTAACGATCATTCAGTATATAAAATTTCTGTTATTCTATCAGTAATGCGCAATACGTAAGATTGGATAAAAATATGAAAACCTGCCATTTCCCAGACATATTTTTACCGTTAAACGTACTTGAAAGCCGCGGTTAAAAGACAAACTTTGAATTATAATTTTCTGTAATCTATAAGCGTTTGGACTCTGTACCGCAAAAAAATTGTTCACGTTTGGACTCTAGAATGCTCGTATTATAAGATTCTCATACGCCTGTTGGATGTTTGTGGAGAACTCAATTGATTTGGGAAAGTGTAGGTCCTAATCAAGAACGTTTGCATCTGTAGCTCCTAGATTAGTGTGATTGCTGTTTGCCAGTGGAGATTTTAGCAAATAAGCCCCTTAGCAAACGCTGTTTTTGGGATTGAACAAACAAACACATATCATAAGTTACAAGCTCTTTAAAGCCCTGAAGACGTTTCACTCTTCGCCCGCAAGACACTGTAGAAAAATTTCTTCAAAGTAGAGCAAACATTTTTTCCTTCAATGAAATGCCCTCCACACCTCATCTTTTGAAAACAGACCTGCAGTTTGCGTCAACCTCACCAGATCATACAGTAAACACCACTCTAAATGAATGTTTGCTTGGAAATTATTCTTTGGGTTATTCTAAAACATATCAGCAATGACTAATGTGTTCTACACGCGGTAACTAAGAGAGCATCTGTTTAACAATCGCGCAGTGAATTCTTTTGCACTTTTCTTTGCAATATAATTGTCTATTTTACAAGCTGACTGTGAACTGTCGTTTCCTTTCTTACTGCTGAAAAATTCCCCCGTCTTCGGGCAGCTGTGATGGAAACTTTATAATAAGCAGGTTGTTCTTAAGGGCAGTGGGAGAATAATTCTGTGCAGGATAACCATTGATCAAGAACAGTTGAAGAGAAACATCTACAAGAATGTGACATTCGACCAACTGGAATTGTTCTAACGCTATCTCTAGAGAATCTCGTAAAGACCTGGAAGCTTGTACGTCATTGACGCAGAAAAGACCCTGGTTTAGAATTATTTCTTTTTTGTACTATGATGAATACTGAAGAAGTAAAAAATGTGGACAAGGCAAGGAGAAATTCGGAAAAAGAGCAAAAAAGAGCTCGAAAAACAAGTCGATTTAGAAAATTAAGTATATCAAGAGGAAGGTATGTACAAATATAAATATCACAGATGAAAATGATTGCTAGAAACTATTTAATTCTCATTCACATAATTCTGCAAGCAAGTAGTTTTAAAGTTTTTGAATATAAGAAAGTCAGATGAATTTGGAAATGTTTTTAGAATATTCAGGGAAAAAATCTCAAAAGCAACAAATAGATAGAAAAGAATTTTTCGGTTGATTTAGAACCAGAGCTACATCTTAGTTTAAAATTTTCCTTTTGGCTAGCGAGGCTTTGGAAAGGATAAAAATTAGCGTTTTTGGATTTCTACAATGATTAATATTTAAAGCATTAGCTTAATTGTTGCGTCTAATTTGCGTCGTTTTGCAACTGATTTTGCCAGTCCATGCAATTTTTGAATAGACATCAAACAGCGATTTTTTCACTTTCAACTAGTGAATGACCTGAAAGCAATATTGTAAACATAACTTCATCACCGACTGCTTTTTAAAAGCCCGTTGGTTTGGTAGACAAAAATTTTAATTTGTACGCATAGTTCATAGCAGTTTCGGCTTGCACAAATCAGTACTTTAAATTAAATAACTTTTTCCTAAACTTCAAATATATGACATAAGTAAATTTAGAAGGAAATAAGAACCTTTTAAGAATTTGACCTTTCTAATTCGGACAGAAGTCATAAAAAGTTTGAATTTGGCACAGGTGATCTTTATTATGTTGAAAATAAGCAGAAAAATAGTCTCATCAACTGGAAATTGGGAATTCCTTATTTGGGAAAATCCTATAGTGGCGCATTGATCATTTAAAAAGTTTTATTCGACTTTCATCTTCTAGAATATGACTTCCTAATGACCTTCTGCTTTTGCTAAATATTTTAATTTCAATTTGCTCTTTCTATCAATGCAAATCAATTTAATGTGCAGATAAGATGGACTATGATAATATTCTTGTTTTGAAGGGAGTGAAGTTCCATCAATAGCAGGGGAGGTTTGACCAGAGGTCGTGGATTTGCCACACAGTGTGCACACTGCTCAATAATATCAAGTGCTCCAGGGGGTGATTTCATTGTGTAAGACAAAAGTCACAATTAGAATTTGGGACCCTTAGGACAGAATGTAATAGGTCCTCTATGTGGATGTCTGTATAAAAATGTAATGTTAGCCATGACTGCACTTGCCTGAACTAAAATATAGTTGACAAAAAGTTTGAATTTGATCTGGTGTCAGAAATCCATTTCGAAAAAGAACATAGGGGCCCAATGGCTATGTACGAAGAAGATGCTCTGGTACGTAAAATGAGCTCAGAAAAGATCGGTGGCAAGAAGGATGCGGCTTTTCTATGAAGATTTTCATAAAGAAAAAATATCAGAATACAGGGTCTCGGCGAGAATTTAATCTCGGTGACATTGTCATTGACGGTGGAGTAGCATCTCTCGGGCTGATTCGTTTTAATTAACCGCAAAAGCTCTATTCATTTTTTTAGTCCTAGAGCTTATTTGAGAGGGGGGGGGGGGCGGGCCTACATAATTATTCAAAATAAAACATATCATGAAAATGCCACAATGCTCTGGGATTTCTTCGAAAGAATCAACATCACTATCCTCTTTGCCGCACAAGGGAATCTTTACATGGGCCGTGTTTTATACACATCATCTTATCATCATCACACCCATCAAGAAACCACTCAATACGCATCAGGCCCGTAGCCAAGGGGTGACATGGGCAGTGGCGTCACCAGCCCAAAAAAACTGGGGTGGACAAGAAAATAATTTCTCGTCCACGCCCTCCAGACTCTTGGAAAATTTTTTTTTTAGTATTTTCTATCTTTTTTGAAATTTTTGGACAAGCAACTTTCTCAAGCAGCATCTTTCGTAACGGTGGCTTTTATGCCAGTGCGAAAATCGAAATCGATCTGATCAGCCCAACTCCCCGAGAATTTTGTCTCCAATTTTTAATGGGGTTTTTCGTCGTTTTCATTGGATTGCCATGGCAATTTGAGTCAAGATAATACTGATGGAAGAACAATTGCTTATTGAGGTCACCTTTTATCCATGAAGGACTTAAGGATGTGCCTGGCGCTCAAAAACCCAAAAAACTTTCGCTGCTAAGCAGAAACTTGAAAAGAAAACTTGCTGAAATGTTTGCCTGCAACAGGTCTGGGGAGTTTTCCACCCCTACTCCACAGGCCTGGCTACGGGCTTGATGCGCCTGTTTTCTTTATTCGACATCAGGGGCTTAATGGAAAGAGGGCTTAATAGAGAGGGGGGCTTAATTGAGCTTTTACGGTATGCCAATTTACAATGATTTACAGAGATTCATGATCAATTGAGCTGATTAACGATGACCTTTGCAGATTTATTATGACTCTCAATCATTATTATGATTCTCGATCACTTACAATGATTCACGATTATTAACACTGCTTTATGGTGATAGATGCTGATTCACAACCATTTGCATCTATTCACAATAGTTCACGATTATGCAGAGATATCGCAAACTTAAAGATTTTATTGTTTCAATTGAAGTTTTATAGTAAGAAAAAGTGGCTTATGATCACTGTAGTAAGATTCTGAAGCTGATTATTCTAACTGCGTCACAAATTCTGGAAGTCACTTTATGACATCTGTCCATCTAGGAACTGTTCGATGTACTTACTTACTTTCTTACTTACTTACTTGCTTACTTACTTACTTGCTTACTTACTTTTGCTTACTTTCTTATTTACTTACAGGGTCCCCCCACTCTTATTTGTACTCATTCCTCGTACATAAAAATCTTACCCTTCCAGAAATTTTCGCGCAAAGTGCCAAGTGTGTCCTGTGGTTTATGAGGCACTTTTCAAGATAATTTCCTTGTTTGCACAGAGAAGGCTTCGCAGAGGAAGCCTGGATGATTCTGAAACGATGCACATTCTTCCATCTTAGTAATTATTTTATTGGGTTAGCTGGAAGGTCATAGATGCAAACCCCACTGCCAAATCCAATGCAAAATTCAAAATGGCTGCACAAAACTGCAGCTCGATGCTGCACCAGTGACGTTTCCTTCATGCCCTTCTTTAACAGCAAATGGGTCAGCCTCTAAAATAGGTTCAGCCTCTAAAATAGGTTCACCCCCCAACCAAGAAAATAGATCCGTCTCGCAGGAAAACCTGATTTTGGCAGGGCAAATATTTTCTACCAATGGTCTACTTTGTTGCCTTTCTTATAACTGTAACAAGAAAAAAGGTTATGCTTTGAATTTGTCTGTTCTAAAAGTAAAAAGATACAGACTACCAGTTGATCTCTAAAGGAGTGAGCTTGGGCTGGACGGAATGGATCTTAAAATAGATTCTAATTTCCTTTGAATGAGGACTGAAATGTTAGAATAGGATTTGAGAAAATAAAGTGAGAGAAGTATGAGCGTGACAAGACCAGAACAAGGATCCTGCGGCACCTGACAATAACGCATCGTTGCTCTACCACTTAGTTTCCCATTCACGTTTTCAAATCCAACTCAAAGCAGAGGTGACGCCAGAAATCTTCCGACAGGGGGGCTGGAGCTTCCGACAGGTGGACTAAAATGACTAAAATAAGCAGTTTTCGTACGTTATTTCGTCAAATTTGCTCCGACAATAACCTAAAATTTCCTCCGATGGGGGGGGTGGCTAGATGCTTCCGACGGAGAGGCTGTAACCCCCTAGCCCTCCCCTGGCGCCACCACTGACTCAAAGCCCTTCCCTGGTCGTGTCACTCGCTTTCATGGTTTGGCTTTGCTAGAATGCATCATTTGGCTTGAAGGAAGACTTTTTAATTACAAGTTTGAGATTTGCAATCTGTCTCTTTCGCATAATCAAGCTTACTCAATCCTCCCTCAATTTCAGTTTTGTCCTAAATATCTGTTACTATTTGTAGAATTCAGAGTAGGATCCCACTCCTCTGAAAACCTTTATTATTTGCATAAGAAAGTTACTGTTTTACCGTTCTGTCGAAAAAACTGGTCTTGAAGTTCATTTTTGTTTGTCATCAAGTAAAAATCAACATATGAAACTCATATGTAACTGCAGGCTGACGTTTTCAAGGTTAGATCCCAAAGTATAAGGATCTATTAAAACTGAAATTTTCCCAGTTTTTTATAGCTGTTAATTTTGAAAATAATATTTTGAAATGAAATTATTGCAAGAAAAGCTTTCAATTAATTGAATATAAAACACTGTTCCTTAAAAACTATATACTTGTGCCAAACGCATAACTGCCATTTGAATTTGGCATAAGTATGTTCTCTTTTTTGTCAAAACAGCCCTGCTATATTATCTTAAGCCTTTATTTAAAAGTTAGTACTTTTACAGGGCCCGCACCACGAATTTTGAAGTGGGGGGGGGGGAGGGGGCAAGGCTAAAAATTTAGGGGGCCAAGGCTTCTTACCCCTTTTATTGCAGTTTTAAAACTACTTGCTTCGCAAAAAAGTGGGAGGAGGGAGGGGCATGGCCACCCCGACCCACCCAGTGGCGCGGGTCCTGTTTCGTGAAAACAGCACAGTCTGATCCCGAAAATAAGTCTCTTATATGAGAGTTTTTGCTGTTGTACAATCGATTTAAAACACGAGTTTCCAGCTCTCCCTGTTAAAAGAAGCCATTTTCCTACCCTGGGTACCAGAGCCGCAAAAATTTAACGGCAGCAACTGCAGAGGCGAAGGAGAAAGAAGAGGGAAGAGGTAGACAGAGTCTTCTTCCCTCTTCTCACTCCTTCGCCTCCGCAGCTCTCATTATTTTTTGCTGCCTAGGGTACCATTTTCCATTTGAAAACTATTTCGCCTTTTTGAATCCTACTTTTTATGTTTCTAGAGCGAACACAAATAAAGACAAACGGCGTAACAGTGAAGAGGTCCAGCTTTTACACACAGCCGAGGAAGACGAAACAGAGGTAGAAGTAGACAGAGAATCGACAGGAAGTAGAAAGATAGGAGTACCGACAATCGACGAAATAGAGTTGAAGGAGGTGCCAGTGTATATGATTTGCCCAAAGTGTGGAGAAAAGGGAGTGACCAGAACGACTGTGGAGAGATCCAAGGAAGCTGAATGTGTTTCACTATGCCTTTGCTTGCTGCAGTGAGTAGATTTTGTGACGTAATCTAAATCTTCCTCAATTTGCTGCATATTTTGATTACGCTATACGACAAATGTTTACAAAGCTGATGTTTCCAGCTTCTCATCAAACTTTAGCCACAGCTAAGCTCAAGCAAAAACTTTGTACAGAGAAAGCTACCATTGTTGCGCCAAATGGTTAGTTATGTGAATACTTTTCGGAGTTTCTATCGATTGAATTAGAACCAGGACTGCTGACAGAGGGGGATGCCCAGGGCCATTCTGGGGCCCGTTATTGTATTAATTGTCATGTTCTGGAAGCTATCTGTTATCAAGCAAGCAGCTTACACGCACCGGTTGCCCCAGGACCCCACCTCGGTGGATTCTTAAAGACACAATTCTTTGTTTACACTGTTAAGATTTACACGCCTTACCAAATAGCTGGAAAATTTGCAGAAAAATTTAGTAGTTGTAATATGTCATTTTCAATAACGATTTACGAAAATATTGCTATTCATTATTAAGCTGCTGATAAATCTTAACTGGCTTGGTCGGTATCATCTTCATAACTTGAAAATCAACATTCTACATAGAAGGGAAAAGGAAAAAAAATGGAAGAAGAACGAAAACCCGGGAAGGTAGTTTGAACTTGGCGCCCTCTTGCTCTTTAATTGCAAAAAGCAGAGCTGAAGTTTCTCTTTACAATGGATTAGGTATCAATTTCAGATATTTGTGTTGGGTATATGAAATTATAGTTTAATCACAAAACCTTACATTCAAACTTACCCAATAATTTCACTCCCCCTTCAGTCAAAGCCTCTTCCCAACGCTTCATGTCAAGCCATCTGCAATTTAGCATTTGAAAATTCATCAGCTCATTGATGTCGAGTACTTCAACCGAAGTGTTCCAAGCTGAACAAGCGAGTAGAATCAACAGCTTTCACTTAAGGAATTGAAATTGAAATACCAAGAGGCTCGGCAAGGTAGGTACTGTTTCCCCTGGAGATGCGTGAAATGCAAACCGAAAGCGTATTTAAAAGAAAGCAGCAATAATCCTTTCCTGAACAGAATTACAAATCTTTAATACCCACGTTTCGCGTATTATGCAAAAGGATGTGGGTGACATAAGTGATAAAATTCGTTCCAATTACGGGAATATTCTGACACCTAGTATCAGGGATGCATTTACCCATGGGCCCACTGGGCCTGGGCCCAGGAGCCCCTTAAAATTCTTCGATTTAGGGGGCCCCGTGCAAAAGTTAAAAAGCCTTTAAAGTGCTCTTGATTTCAATCTTGTGTTTGATTGGAGCTAGGGGGCCTCGTAAAGTAATGAATTATATTTTAAGAATAGAATAAAGGGCGTGATCAATTTTCAGCTCGCTCCGATCGCAGGAGGCCTCATATTTTGTTTTTACCCCAGGACTTTTGAAATTTTCGCTTGCCGTGGTTGGATTTTCTCTCAATGCAATGACTGCACTGAGTTTGTTGCTCAATTCGCCATACAGAGGTTTCTCCAGTGAAAAATGTTTCACAATGCTGAAAAAGGTAAATAAAGAAGGTGTGAACTAAGGTCCACAATGTCACAGTAGCGCATTTTTAATAGCAGCAGATTTTGATGTCCTGGGAGTTTTAAACCCTAATAAAATCATCTAAAGGTTTCAGCAGTTGGGTAGTTTTATTGGGAATGTACTGAAATGCGAAACAGATACAAGTTTATTCGTGTCTTATAGTTGGTTGATTATGTTTGATTATGTTTAGCCAAGTACTGTGCACGTGACACAAATTTTTTGGTATATTTTAAGGGGCCCCAATCAACTTTGGGCCTAGGGCTCCAACAGACGTAAATGCTGCCCTGCCTGGCCTAATCGGCCTAAATCGCTGAAATGCCTATGATGTCCTAAACGGAATTGCAAGTTATCCATTATCAATGTAACTTTCTATGATTGTTTTTCAATGTTTCAAACGTGTTAACTGTATCGTGATATTAAATAGTAAAGGCGGTTTGAAAGTCGTACTTGTGCGGATTATATGCCATTCTCACCTAGCCTGCGCCGCAGACCCAATCCTCCAAAGAGAATAGATTGTCTTTGGAGGATTGGGTCTGCGGCGCAGGCTAATTCTCACCGGGCGTGAAGGATTTCGGGAACTGATAAGTTACCTGGCAGTCGAGAAATCTGGAGTTACGAAATAGGCTCTTAGTCAAATAATTTGAGTTGCTGTTTAGATGTTATACTTATAGTAATATCAACTGGCGCATTATCTTCTTCTTTTGCAAACAGTTTTGAAGTGGAGGGGAAATGGTCTTTTTGCAAGACTAGGTTGTTCCATAGTGTCTCCATCTCTGTTAAAACATGATGATTGGGTTCAGTGAAATTATTTTCTTAATCACACTCGCAGCCCCCATGAGCCAATGTTTTTTATTTAATTTTTATTTCTGCACCCAACGCAGGATGCAGGATAGCCTTTACAGCCGTCTCGATTGGATTTCGTTTGTCTTTTGGCTATTGCTTCAATTCTCCCTCCCCGCTGTTGCGATTTCATTTGTATTATCTTATCTTCAAGAATTAAAAACTTTGGAGAAATGGCATCAGTTTTTCAAACAAATTCGACTTCTTTTTTCATAAGCTTAGAGGTCCTTCCAATGTTTCAAGGCATGCTGGTTCGAAGATATCATGGCATAAAAATAAATTTTATGTGGATATTAGCGTCTTAGCAGACCTGCAGCTAGAATTTTCTAGCTTTTTATACCTATAAATGAAAGGCCTGACAATTTTTTGTCTTTTTGTCGCAGAATATTTTCAATAAAACACGAAATTTCACTTGAGCTTTCACCGTTGCGGTGATAGACTTTACAACGGCAATGTTACCATGTTGACGTCAACCGAGAATTTTAACAACTTCTGGCGATAATCTTGTTTCCGCTTCGGGGAATTCCCAAGTCCAGGCTATGACGTAATTCAGGAACAAAGCAATCTTTGTTCCTGAATTACGTCATAGCCTGGACTGGAGATTCAAAGAATCCGGCGGACAGCCTATCCTGCGGTTCTTCCTTCTTACACATTATGACGTAATTGGCTAATAAAAATAAAAATATCAGAAAAACAGTGAATCTAAGAAAAATTTTTTTAGCAGATTAGAAGTCAGCGACACATTCTGCATCGAATAAGCCAAAGTAATTTTTGTGTGTCAGTTCTCCTTCAAAAGAATAGTGGTATCAAGCCTCCTCAACATTAATATAATTCTAGATATCAAGCTTTTTTTCACAACTGAATGGATTAGACTTTCAAAACTTGTCTCACCCAACGTTCGATTGAGTATGAAAGTGGTGAAAGTCATATAAAGACATCGCTATTACAATCTTAAAAAGATTCTGTAAGTTTGTCATGCGTAGTTCGGAGGTCCTATCGATGAGGATTTCACGTGACGAAAACAGAAAAAAAATTTGCATTTTGCAATATCTGTATGGGTGATTTTCATATTTTTAAAGAAAGAAGGTAGCGAGGCGTCGATTTTATTTTTATCTTGTGCATTATACTTTTTAAAATTTTATGACTAAAGCACTGTTAATGACTTTATTTTTGGTTGGTTGGCTTATATTCTTATGACCAGTCGGCATCTGCGAGCACAGAAGCCGTTTGGAAGGCTCTCAGGAAGTATCCCTTTCCACTAATAGGGGTATTTGAATTATCCTTATCTGCAGAAACTGCCACAAACCCTACTCCATAACACCCACCCCACCATATTTCACAAAGATTGATAAACTTGCGGAGTCAGGTCACTCCAATTAAATCGGATCACTTTTTGAATGATATTTATATACAGGTTAGCCTGCGTCACAGACAACAACTCCTCCTCAGTTATGGTCTGTGACGCAGGCTATATACAAGTATAATGTGTAAGAAGGGAGAACCGCAGGATAGGCTCTCCGCCGGATTCTGTGAATCTTGCAATGAGCAATAATACGAAAGATATTCAGGAACAAAGCAATACGACGACGAGAATCCAATGTAACCAGATAAAATTTTCAAAATAAAGTAAATTTAAGGAATACTAAAAGTAGTATTCCTGAATATCTTTCTTCTATATACAAGTAGGCTGTTCATTCATAGGTGTCGCTGCTAAGTGACCCGATTCTGACATTTCCGAGCGATTAAACAAGAGTCCTAAAATATTTATTTGTCTCTGGCGTGACTAAAAATGCTTACACACATAATAAAGTACTGTATATAAGACTGTTTGTTCTCTTTTCGACAGGTGCTATTGTTGTTGTTGGGTGCCGCTTGTACTGAAGCGAATGAAACAAGTGATTCATACATGCCCAAACTGCAGAAGGCAAATTAGTGTGTACAAGAGAGTCAATTTCCTTAGCAGATTTACAAAATCGGAAGAGCATGATGCCGAAACTTGAACATTAAGTTTTATTGCTTGTTGCCTTAATTTAAAGAAAGAATGACAAATACCAGCAGATGAGCAATCATTTTATGTTTATGACAGTAGTGTACAAGGCAATTACATGTAATTGTGTAATACCAAATTGATTGTTCCACTATTTGCGAAGACTTTGAGAAAAAATCAGGTAAATAAAGCAGAAGGTATCTGACCAAGTTTACAGCTAGGACACCATGTAACATCAACTAGAAAGCTAATAAAAAGGATAAAACAGAAGTTTATCACGATGAAATTTCTCAGACAAGGTTGGAAGAAAAAATTTGTCATAAAAATAAAAAATTCAGCAAAACTTAGGTTCATATAGATTTTCAATTGTTGTAACTTTCGTCAATAGAAGATCTAAATATTTGACTAGATTTAAAAAAAATATGTGAAGTCGTGAATCTATTTGCGCACTTGGAGGCACAATTATGAGAAGAAACTTCATGCTGATTGTGTAAAAAAATTTAATTTCAAAATGCTTTTTAACAAATATGGAAATATGCATAATTAGGTTACGATTAGCTTTGACATAAGAACCCTTAACATATCATCCTTTCTGCTTGAAAATTTGTTTTCTTCTAGTATTTGTTGACTATCGCAGATTACATTTGTAGCTCTTCATGTCTACTTCTTAATTAATAGAATAGATTTCAAATTTTAGCTCTAGTTGGCAGTTCACATCTTTGTTGGTAAATACTGAGAAGTAATTTATCCAGGAATTTTTCATTTCAAAGAGTTTCTAATAAAACACTGTGCTTGCCAAACATAAAGAATTGAGAAATGGCTATTAAATGATCAACGAATGAATGAATGTGTAAACGAATGGATGAATTAAAGAAAAAATAAATAGCCTGAACGATTTATTGTTTATATGAACTATAATGACTTTATGAACTTAAATCAGCTGTTGCACAGGGGTCCATTTGAATGATATATGGATGAATGACCCTATTTAGAATAAAAATTGAATATGCTGATGTACGTTTACCCTTGAAAATCGTACTTTGTTGTCTTTTAATAAATACAACCCCAGGCTCTCTCGACTACATATGGCCTCATACACAATTCAACCTGTTCCTTGCCATAGATATTAACACTAAACTTAATCTTTCGGAGGCGAAAACTAAAATTTTATCATGGATATGACAATAAATAAAGGTTTTAGTCAGGTGAAAAGTTTCAATGAGACCAAATTTTTGATGTAATTAAAATGTAAAGAATAATATCCAATAACAAAGAACAGTTATGTTGAAATTTGGACGCTTTGAGAATATGCAAGACTAATCAGGAACAATGTTTACTAGCAATTGTAATGCCAAGTAAATTGCCGTTCATCGCATCATATACTTTTGTGTTTTCGATTTGAATTACTGCTGCATCTTCTCTGTTAGTTTTTGGATTTTCTTTCGTGAATTTACATCTATTACTATAATGTTTCATCGAAATTGTATTCATAATAGCAACACAATTATCAAAAGCAGATACCGTAATTCCTCGAATTAGCCCTCTGGGGGCCTATTTATTTGATATATTTTTGGATGGGGGCTTATTCGAAGGGGGGGGGGGCTCATACGAGGGTTGGGCTTATAAAATTATTGTAGACATTAAGAAGACATTATTAAAAGGTCTCGTTTAAAGTATGCATTTGTTGTGGTAATTCAATAAAACGCCATAGGCAACCTCAGATGGAAAAATCATCAAATGGAGGGGTCCAATTCGAGAATTTACAGTAGCAGTGGGGGCTTATTCGAGGGAGGGAGGCTTATTGTCAATTCGTAGTTCTAGAGTGAGGGCTTATTCAAGGGGGGCTTTTTGGAGAGGGGGGCCAATTCGAGGATCTACAGTAGCAGTGGGAGCTTATTCGAGGGAGGGAGGCTTATTAACAATTCGTTGTTCTAGAGTGAGGGCTTATTCGAGGTGGGCTCCTTCGAGAGGGGGGTGGCAATTCGAGGATTTACGGTAAATGAACTTAGAAAATCGATAAAATCTTAGTACCACAGCAGCAGTTGTCTTAAATTTGTCCTTCAATTTAAAAGGGGACGAAATGTCCTGGGACGAAAAGGGGACGAAATTCTTATAGGCAGTATACCAAACTGTTCGTTTTCAAATTCATCAGATAAAGCCAACAGCTATAATAACTTATAACCAAAATTATCAGACTGTGCCTTTATTTTACTGTACCTTATGACGATGATTCTGCCGGTCTATCAAGTAATACTCGACATTATCCACGTTACCAACAGCTTTCTGCAGCCAGTGTGATAGTTTTCCTAGGCAAAGATAACAAAGGTGGATTTTTACATGGTCAATAGTAATAGCTTGAAAATAGGGTTAGTTCTATTAACCCTATAAAGGGTGATTCTCTAGTATCGGTTAGCACGTGTCTTAATAAACTTGGCTTCCCATTAGCCTGGTTGAAACTTCCATTCAGAACAAAACTTATCTCAACTATAATTCTATTGAAAAAGTAAAAAGCATAAAACATAGCAGATGAACAAACAGTGCAATCTAAAGAAAAACCTAAGGGATTGGCCTTAACCCCTGATAGAAGAGATAACATAGGGATTGTTGTATGATTTCAAACCTTTCTTGCTCTTGCTACAACGAAATCTCAATTGAAATCCGCCAATTAACATCAATAGTTCAATACTAAATTTCATCAAAACGGACACGCTGCACCAAATAGATTTTCACTATTCAAATAATTTGAAAAACTTTACATCTAGCAATCAGAATGGAACCCTTAAACGTCAATAAAAAAACTAGTTGATTCGATCTTGGAAGAAGCTCGTTTAAACGAGGGGCTAGATGTCCCAAAAAATTGAAGATCAAGAGAAATCAGTCAAGTTTATCTCTATCTTCACGTTGATTAGGTGATTCACGTAAATTGGCAAGATATGGGAGGGTTTCAGTATTCTTTGATTATACACATGGTTGAAGGAAGATGACCTAGGAAAAAAGAGCAAAATTCTGCGCAGCAAAAAAGGATGACATATCTCCTAATATCACCAGGTAGTCACTTTTTCTAAGGAGCATCAACCATTGCAGCTGTTGAAAAAGCTTAAGCATTTGAATTTGCAACACTTATTTCCCAATGTTTTCATGGCATTAAGGTTGTTTCTGACCTTGCTTGCTAGTGTTGCATCAGCTGAAATATCATTCAAATTGTCCAAAGAAACTGAAATTTCAAAAAATTATAGCTCAATAGTTGACCCTTTTACAGATGTGAAGACTTGAAAATTGTTTTGTTAACTAACTAGAAAATTACCTAAAGTTACTAGCTCTGTTTGACAAACATACTAGGGTTTTAATACTGTTGCTGCTTCTACCTCATTTTATTTAAAGGTTTTTTTTCTATTATTGACAAGTTTTGATAACAGAGACGCTGAATTGCTAATTATTAATTGTTTATCAACTGCACTGCTTACAAAGTTATCATCTATGGGCCCCTAAAGTAATGGGCCCCCGGGTCAGTGACCACCTTGACCCCCCTCTCCTCAGCACTGATTGTTGTGCTTTTTGGTATCACCGTTGAATTTCTTATTAAACATGCTTCGAAGCTCTCGATATGAAACTCTCGACCTTCCAAAGCTCTCGAAGGATGCTCCAAAGGACATTTTATTTAGAGGTGTTAAATAGAGCGCCTAGAATTTCTAAGGGGCTCTTTTTATAGAGCATCTTTATTTTCCTTAGAGCAAGGCCTGCCAGAGCCTGAAGTTTGATAAATGTTGTCTGATTGGGGGGGGGGGGACTGCAGCCCTCCCAAGTCCTCCTATGCTTTTAAGTGATAAACATTTCTGTTTATGACTTTTTTGGAAAATGTTAAAACATATGACTCAACCCTATCCAATGCACTTCATCATTCTTACGTAAAAAAGTAGGTAGACCATGTTTTGACAAAAGTAGGGGCATTAATCATTTATGAGTACAAAGTTGCAATTTATGGGAACATTTTCGTGGGTGGTTCACTTGTTGTACAGAAACACTCAACTTTTATGTCCAAGGAATAACCTTAACATTGACAAGGAATAGAAAATGAGAACTTTTTCATTTTCTGCACCCCTGAGAGTTGATAAAATCAAAACAAATTAATCAATCCGAAACGGACAAAAAGTTGACTGATACTTTAATAGGAAAGTGACTGATACAAAAACAATTTGCAAAATATTCTATAAAAATCACATCTATTGATATGAATTGATCACAAAAATTTACCCAAAATTTAACACAGTGAAAATATATATACAACTTTTTAATGTGCCTGAATACGAAATATTCTTATTAAATACAAACATAAACAAATACAACACTACTTAGAATGGGCTCCTGACATGCTCTCTTTTACTTATAGGAAAAAGCTTTCTAAATTTTCTTTTTGGCAATCTTTGGCAAAGGGTCACATCTAGATGCATGAAAACTTTAAAAAAGGAAAATTTAGTGGAATATTTGGAGGAGAGTTTATTTACTGGATCATCTAGTCCATTTATTTATTTAAGGATATACTATATTTTACAATTAACAAATTTATATTCCGATAACTGGATGATAGCAAGGTAGAAACCCAGAATGAATGAATCCAGCCCCTACAATCCCAGGTAAAATTTTGCTTGGGGTTGTAAGGCAAAATTATGGATTAAGGATAGGGGTACTGAAAAGATTTCAGTAAGTGAAAGAAAAAAGGGAAATGCAATTCAATGTATTAGCTTAACTGTATTCTAGGACATTTCCAGAGGGGTTGGGTTGCCTAAGCCCCATCAATCTCAGTGTTCTTCATGTCTACTAATGTTTACTTCAACAAATTGACCAATGAATGGAGGGAAGGCAAGACAAGAGATGGCATTTGCCGATGAATATAGGGGAGTTTGATAGAAGAATGAATTGGCCAAAGAGTGGAGGGAGAGTTTAAAAATCATTTCATGGCTTACACACATCACCATTTACATAAATCTAAATGCATTATAAAGAATGTCATATTTCAAGTCCCTATACTTGCCTCAAGAGAATAACATCTTAGCCCTACAGGCGCGCAACTACGGGGGGGGGGGGGGGGTGGGTCCTGGGGGTCCAGACCCCTGCCCTTTTTCTCAAAAGGGGAAAAGTGCCTTTTCTTGGAAAATTGCTTGAATATTTTGATTATTACGCTAAAATGGTTGGTCATACAGTAAATGACACACTCCGGAGATGTAATGGACCTCGCAGGAATACAGATAAATTATTTAGTCAATTTTTCACGTACTTGTTGGGTCGAACGTCATCATGTTGCAGTAATAGAGTATATCTTCAAGCCCCAACTCTACAGCGTGTTTTATGATGCGCCACGCACTGGCTTTGAAGAAGAATGGTTCTGGGACTCAAAAACCAAAATAAAGGCACAATATTTTGAACGGGATAGAGCCTCTACGACCTCTGGTAAGAAGTTACAAGAAAGAAACCAAGACATTTTTCAAGCCTGTCACATAGTTGACAGGGTCATAGAAAACCTTTGCATGAAACGAGCGAATGCAGAGAAATATTCCCGGACTGGTATTAGCAAGCAGTAAAGATGGCACAAAAAGTTGATGTTCAGCTGTTCCGTTCCTTGTCAGTATTACAAATCAGCTGAAAGCAAGACTTGGAGACAGAAACCAGCTGAAGGCAAGGCTCGTGGAACTGTTCAACCTCCTCCCACTGTAATGCGAAGCAAAGAATTCAATAATAATATTTCAAAGAGCAAAATGTCTTCGGATATGGAAGATGATGGGCTGCTATTCAAAAGTGAGCTGGCGCTGGGAAAAGGAGATGACAGCAGGGTCGCCGAGAGGGGAAAAAAGGGGCAAACTGCCCTAGGGCCTCGAGGTCTAGGGAGCCTCACAAAGCAATGAATTCCGTTTTTAAATGGAATTTATTAAAAGTAACAAAATTACAATTAAAAAGTAAAACATCTTAAACGAATTAGTGAATTTAAGCTATTTGCAAGGGTGTGGTGGCAAAAATGCCCCGGTGGACCTTTAATGAAGTTTAATTAGTGCCCTTTTTGTGTCTTGGACCCCTGCCCTCTGAAATTTCTGGTTGCGCGCCTGCCCTAACACCTAAAATCAAACACTGGAAACTGCTTCATTTTTTCACTAACAACAGTGATAAAAATTGGTCTATTCCTAAAGAGCTAATGGCTAGGTTGAAAACAACCCAGTTATCATAGTCACAGACTATGCAAACAGAAGTTGGCAAATCACTTTTAGTTCTTCTTAACTCAATTCATTTTGGTCCTCTTTTCTTCATCTGGTGGATCTTTTAAACTGCCACAATAGGTGTTGCATCATGGGGACTCAAATCCTCTTCTGGTTTTCCTATTTTTACTTTTTTGTTTTTGCAACAGCAATATGCAAGCAAGCCTACAGCAAAAAAAATTAATGAGTTTAATGCAGCCATCATTGAATAACTGCAAACAGGTCTGACATCTTAGTTTATCTAATATGCTTCTAGGGACTTTACAAATTACATCTTGGCTGGGTCCAAGATTGAGTCCATACCCAATTGCTTTCATTTTGTTACAATTCAGTTCTTAAGATTCCACTTACTTGACTTTTCACATTGATTTACATCTACAGTCAGGATTTATTAATCATGCCTGTGATTATTTTCAGAAAAAAATAATATTCAATACCATAAGCCCAGGGATGTATTTATCAGAGAGGATGTTTGTGGGAGTGTGACACCCACAATATTTTTGTGGTCTTTGCTAAATTTTGCTTGAATTCAGATAATTTTAAAAATTGGCATTACCATAATGTGTCAATTGGAAAGTGACATAAACTTTATGCTTAATAACGTAATTATTTTGAAGATAAACATAGCATAGAATGCTTATCATTATCAGGGGTTCCAAAACCAAGATGGTTTGGGGGTACTTTGTATGACAGAAATGGTAAATTTGTTTCATTTAAAAAAGTTTTACATTTCAATTGTCTACTCTATTACACACCACATGTCTTAAAGCCATATATTTGCTTGGATTAGCGATAGAAATTCAGCTAAAGAGAAAAATACTAAAAGTTCAATAACACTAGCAGCATTATTGTTAGAAAGACTTGAATTAAATTTTCGAGAAAGCTCTAGTTTTTTGTGCAAATTCACCATCAGATCACAACAAAAGAAAGTTGGAAGCTTTCAGTCTAATGAAAAGAAATGATCCTAAATCCCTACTTTTAGATAATACATGTATGATATTGCTGTTTGATGAAAAATTTTCTGCAAAATTTCTAGGTGCTGACTTTCTACCTTTCAATACTTTTTGCAGCTCTGTTGTTATGATTTGGTAATGTTAAGGGTAAAATAAATGTTAATGCTAAATTTCTACTCACCAATCAGGATCAGTAATATAACACACATAAAGAATATTGCTACATCTCTCCAGGCTGGTGATACTAATCTTGAATTAATCTTCAATGACTTCCTACCTGCAATTAAATATTGAAATATGACACAACTGCAAAATATGAAATCTTAAATTTGCAATAAACAAAATAAAGAAAAACATATGATATTGTAGTTAATTTTCAGTATTTATATTACTTTGCTAAGATGAACAAGTTGAAAAAAATATTTTAAATTAAAAAGAAAAATAAAACCACAAGATACATGAAAATACCCTTCAGATTGTTGGTATCACAAGAGGAAGGTCACCCCCTGGAATTTGTTTAGAGAGCAATAGACTGCATACTATGCTAACTTCAGCAATGTTGTTTTTGCAGTTCAAATTCTTAAGAAATATTTTTTTATGGAAAACTGAGCTGGGGATCACATGTAATGGCTGTTTATACATTTTCACATTTGACACCAAAGAGATTATAAAATTGAAATTTTGGAAAATTGCAGACCCCAGTAAGGCTCTTAAAATTACATGAGATATTCATACATACACACACAAACACACCTATGATTTAATTGTTTAGGCAGAAGAGGGACAAGTTTTGAAAAAGTGCTGTAGTATATTTCTTGCGCAATTCAGCCACACATGCTTCAAATTGGTTGGGGTCTAGCTACACTGTAGGAAATTGGGTAATATTTCAACCATCTTTTGTTAGATTCAATTGTTTTATCACATACTGCTACAAAATGTTCTACAGATCATGTGAGATTTGTAGAGAAAAATTGAATATTCAAAAGTATTTTCTTGATGCCATTATATCCTTCGCGTGACGTCGAGTTATTTCGCAAAGAACATCAGCTGATCTTTGACGTCATTACATTGAAAGGGGAATACCCGAAGAACTTCATGCGTCGTGAATGTGTGGCCTAAATGTGCCGCATGAAGCGAATGTGTCACAAGTGTTTTGCAGCATTTATTTACTTGTTATTGCTCAAAATAAGCTTCAATGATAAACAGTGGTTATTCTTTATTAATTTCTATAATCTTTTGGTAGAATGACAATTTCCGTTGAATGTTTGAGGACAAAACTTCGGTAAGTGACTAAAAAACATACACCACCTTTTGCTTCTTCAAATTTCGACCAAGAACAAGAACCAAATTATTAGTTCCCATCCATTTAATTCTCTATTTAAGTGCAAATATTCTAAAACATTATTGCCCTGGACAACATATGTACTATGGTTATATTTTATCTAGATTTCTTTCGGCTGCTTAGGCCATTAACTTATTGTCATTGTAAAGCAAAACATTGAAATAAATGCTGCAAATAAATAATTTCTCTTACCATTAGATGAAATGTTCGCATATTTTACAATATATAGAGCTCCTGACATGGGCTTCTTCGTTGAACTGCTTTTTTTAGGACAACATTTCTTCAGGCACTGAAGACGTTCCGATCCAAACAAGACGATTTTGCAGTTACTATCTCCATCTTCATTGTAGCAAGGTAGCTGAGTGCCAGATTGCGGGTCTATGAAGCCTTGCAACCTCACTTCTCTAATGCAACTTATTTCTATCTTTTCACTGTGTAAGCGGTGAATGACAAGCATCACCAATGAAAAAGACAAAGGCCAACTCATCTTGCCACCAGCAATCGTGACAACCAGCAACTGAAGGGTGCTATTAGCTATTTCTTCTTCTTTAAATTCAGTGTTTTCTCTATTACTAATGCAACAAGACGATGTGTCTACGTTTAAAAGCAAGTTTACATAGACGTCTTCACTGCACCCGTGCCAAAACTCAATTAAGTGCAGTCTTTGAAGGAAAGTCGCTTAAATATTTCTGCAAGGGACTTTCCCTTCGCTTACTGGTTATGAGTCGTTCTGGCTCAGTTCAGTTTCAGTTCATCACTACTGCGCGTTTTGAGTGATTCCATAGCTTAGTAAAACCGGAGGACCCTTTGTAGTAGAATAGCTCAAGTCAGGGACAAGTGATTGGTGGTGTGTTTTTGGGGAATTCAAAAAATGACAAATTTGTTCCCAAAAGAGGCTTTGGCCAGTGTGCCACCTTTCAACCTAACAACAGAAGAAGTTTTTGCACTAAAATTATATTTATATATTTATATTCAGTGCCGTCGGAACGAAATTCTTACTGGAGGGGTGACTGTTATAAAGGAAATATACTACAGTTTAACAATTATGGGGGAGGGGGCTCAAGCCTCCCCAGGCACCGTTTCCAACTAATTCCAATCATCAAATTGAGCACATAGAAAAAATGTTTAGAAATGCTTTATTGACAGTTAACACATTAATCTTGTAAAAATAAACAGTTAGAGTAATTGAAATTTACTCTAACTGTTTATTTGCCATCTAATAATTGAAATTCATGCCTTTTTTAGACTGTGTATGATTATCATATAGAAATCATAAATAGCAATCATATGAGGATCATATAACAATCAAGGATTTGTCATTAGATCATATGTTGTAAAGCTTTATCTCTCTTTCTTGATTTTTGGGGCAGAGACCATGAAGACACCTTTGGTGACATTTATATATTTATTTGCACTATTTACATAGGGTCATATCAACTAACCGGTTGATTATTAGTTGACAGATCCACGTGAGTTACATCTTACCACTCCACTAGTTCCTAGAACTTTCAAGATGCGTGTGGAGGCACTTGATCAAGCTTGAGCACCTGTCCTTGCAAGGCCTGATTCTTAACCAGAGGTATATGCAATTTAGGGTTACATTAGAGATATTTGCAATTTTGGGTTACATTGGAGGTATAAGGCTGGGTGTGTGAAGATGAGACGCAAGTTCTTATGTAAAGATTCAAACACAAAGTTACACTCAATAATTTTACTACTCATCCCTTATGCACGGTTCCCCAATATTTTTACTCGCAAAATCAAGAACTAGTATTTCAATCATTTAACTATTACCTAGAACTAAGTACTCTGTACTATGGAGAAGGGCCTTCTTTCTGTTAGCTTATATACTCATCAAGCTCCCATGCATTTATGTTTTTCATATTGCATTTATTGTTATCTAAAGAGCTCATGAATTGTATTCTGGAGACTTTTTAAAACTGAAAAATGAAGTTAAATGACTGGTAAGCAAAAGATGAAAGCAGAAAAACAATACGTCTTCATCTCTATATTTCTGTCCATTGTTAGTAGGTTGGATTTAATCATTTACATCAAAAGAAAGACATGCAATGGTGCAAGTGCTTTCATCTTCCCAAATTGATCCTGTGCTTAGAACTAATGAAAACTCCAACAAACACATAGGAAATCTTTAACTGACTTATCTGAAGCTATGAAAATTCTTTTTAGTTCCTTTGAAGCTCTTTGAAGCAGTGCTGGGTATTTCACTGACCTACTCAACAGTTGTTACTTGAAGAACCTCCTTAGCTGCTATGAATTCCTCTGTTTCAGCCAAGTCCTGTTCCTTCTCCTAGAAGAGGGATGTAGATCTAACAAGCCACAGATCCAGTTTGTATGCACAGTATCTATAATTGACTATTTTGATTACAGAAAAATTTAAAAAAATTTGAGTTTTCTCTGTGACTTGCTTTTAAATTCATTACCAAGGATTCGTCTGCAAAAGTAACTTGCAAATTTTTTTGCAATAGAAGAAGTAGATGGCACTGAATGGCACTACAGTTGATAAAACTACCAATTACTAAAAGTCGAGTCATATTTTACATGATCAGATGTGGTACCATCCCCCCAAGATTTTAGCCAACTTCTGCTGCCAAAAATATATCTGCTTCCCTGATATGTTAGATGTCATAAAAGTCTAATTAAATGTTTGGTTTCTGTTTCTAAGGTAAAATAGACAAGTAAAAATTCAATGGCAAGCTCTCTTGGGATACCAATTTCTTTTTAAAGGTTTTTTAAAATGTGCTTCGATGCATGCCATATCAATGCATTATTTTCTGCTGGCATACACCCTGTTCTTTGTCAGCATTTTGTAGAACATATACAGCAGCACTTTTAAATTTTGTTCTGGTGCCACCACATTTCTTGATAACTAAAAATGTATGCAAAGCAAATAAAGTTACCAGAAGCTGAGAAAGTTCATTGTGTGCAGTGCGCAACCGTTTTGTACAATCTGGGATCATCCTCCTGGACTCATTAAGTACTTCTATCTAAAAAGGAAAAACTTGTGTGATGCAGACAATCATGGCTTTTCTTCAAAACAGTTCCATCTCAATTAATCAATCCTGCATATTTTATGCTTTTTCCTTTGTTTTTGCCTGTGGTCTGTAATTGTTGATGTATCTAGGTTTAGCAAAACAATTAAATTTAATTGCATAGTAATTTGGCAGAATTGTTATTTGAATTATATTGCAAAGTAATTGATAAGCATTCTACATAGGACTGATTGATAATCAAATTAAATGAAATTCTGAATGGGGAAGATAACAATGAAACAATACAAAAATGTAGAATTTCAACATCATAATGGTCATAACTATGATGCAAAAGTTTTAACCAATTTTTGCAAAAATAGCTCTTTTTGTAGTTTACTCTTTGTAGCGGTGGCTTACACCACATAACTAGTTGATCAAATTATAAAGTGTTGGCTTATGCAGTACACTTTTTTCTTAAAAGAGACAGAATGATAATAAAAACATGACAAAATAATAAATCATCTTAAACAACTTTGGCTTTTAAAATTTCACATGGATACCCATTTTTAAATTTTTTTATCCTAAAACTAGCAAGTTGTGATTTTCATGGTTATAAGAAATTTCTTGAAAAAAATGTCTAATGTCTAAGAATAAGAAAACAAAATACAAACTGATGTATAAAATTGCTAAATAACAACTTTTTACTCCTATATTATTTAGTCTATAATGTAAGCATACATTTTAGGATCATAATAGTCTTGTTTAGTCAATTGATTTTAACAAAAAAATAAACAAACAAATATAAGAAGCCCCAACTTTCTACTGTGTTCCCTGTTTAAAAAAGTGTAAATATCCCATGAACTTTGCAAGATATGTAAAGTTTCTGATTGAATTAATATTTCCAAATCTTATAAAGAATGCTTAGGTCCAATCTAAAGTATACAGAAGATTTTGCCAAAAGAAAATTTCAATGTGGGAGAGTCCAGATGGGAAACACCCTTCAATATCTCTACTTCTTTCAAAATATGACCAAGCAAATTCTAGAAAGAAAGTTTTTGTTGTACATGGACAGAAATAGTTTTCTAATGAGTGTTTTAAAGAGTAACAACTTTGTACAGTCCTGCTCTATATACCATGTATAGCTATGTATATACAGCAATTAAAGCACTATTTGACAGACTGGTAAATAATAATTTTCATTTATTCAAAAAAAGATTATCATTAGGAAGTGATAGGAAAAAATGATTTTTCCAACAGACAATATAGCAATACTTTGCAAAGAATTATCATGTTTGAAAGTTGTGGCAACAAAATGGTTGAGATAGAGGGCTTGGGTTTCTAAAATGTGCATAAGTTGAATTCCCACAAAATCTACAGAGGCTTGAATCATTCATTTCAATTCTTTGTCTGAGTATAATTAATAGGCAGTAAGACATTTTGACTAAATAACTCATGTTCAATGGCCTATGCAAGAACAAGGGTCATGCCCAATCCTGAGGAAATACTTAACATTCCTAGAATAAAGTAGGCCCACTGCCATGACAAACGGGAGCATAACAGTCCATATAGAGACTATTATAGAGAAAAATCATAATGAAACACAAAAGTTTCTCCTATTAAACTACTGTTCAAGTTTTTAGATACTACATCAGGCACAGGCAATGGTGTCAGATACCAAAGACTATAAAATCAATGCTAGAAAAAATAAGCAGGAACAACCTTTAGCAAACAGGAACAATGGGTAACGACCAGTAATAAACCCAGAAACAGCAGACCTGCGAGTCTCAAAATTTTAATGCGAGTCTCATGGTTTCAGGGGTATTAATAATAACAAAGACAACAGAAACAAGCAAAAGATCATCCAAAACAATATATCACACATTTTAGGTTTCAACGTTGGAAGGTATGAGAAAGGGGCATCCTCGAACAAGCATGAAAACAACCTGCAGAGCCCTAATCAATTAACAGGGCAAAATGGTTTTGCTTAGTTCTTCTATACTTGATAAATTTTGACCAAACAATTTGTATTCTCAAGAAAACTGTATGTAATTTTACTTTACCTGCTTTTTGATATCATATTCATCTTTTTGTTCAGCTTTCATTTTCTCTATTTTTTCTTCTTGTTCTTTTACTTCTTTTCCATAAAGACCCTTTTCTTTTCCAAGTCTGAAGAGAAAAATAATGCAACCTTTGATCAAAAGGTAGCTACCTAAACAGTAACATGTTTGGTCATGTACCCATTGGTGGCTCCAGCCTGGGATAAGTGGGGGGACAAAAGGTGTGTCAGGGACAACGCCCTTTTGAACCACGCCCTTTTCCCATGTTTGAAACTTTTTCTTCTGGAGGAAAAGCCTGTTGTCTCCCAAGAAATGTAATTTACATGTGACGATCTAGATAATGTACATAACCCCCCCCCCCGTGAAGTTTTCTTTCTCATCAGGTTTGCAAGGACCATCTTTCTGGAAAAGTGGGGGGGACTACCCCCCCCCTCATTCCCCCCAGTAGCTCCGCCACTGCATGTACCAACTATATTTTTAATATTTGGCCCATCAAAGTTTACTTACATGGTTTTGCAAAGAAAATAGACAAAACATTCAATAATTTAACTGCCTCAACCCTAACTTTCTTTGTCATAGTGTTGGCTTATCAAAATATTCTGAATAAATGCTGCTTGCCTTTAGCATTATGAGATGTTGGCTGTCCACAAGGATGTTTGCTTATCTAACCTGAACATTTGCACAAATAGCCCAAGAATTATCTTCTTTCATTTTTCAATACCTTTAATATCAATAGTATCATTTTAAAGCATTATGGAAAAATTTTCAAAAAAATCTTGATTTATTTGTTTTCAGTTTAATTCAAATTTATTCAAAGAATGCAAATATGCAGGTAATGATAACAATGATAAAAATACATAGTGCAATGAAACTGGGAAAAAGCAGAGAAACATTTTGTAAGACGTGGAGTGGGTGCCTGCAGAGTTGTGAGGAACAGGAACCAGGGAGGCATCCCTTTTTGAGACAGCAAGGAGAAATTCAACCATTTGCCAGGAGAGGAGCTCCAGATATATAACTGTGCTCTACATGCTTCTAGAAAGTTTTATACTTAATACCCCATTACTACAGCAAGGTGTATATGTTCCTAGATAATATCTGGTGGTTCCTACTACTTTTCATGTAAGTACTTTCTAAACATCATATAAACCTGACAAGAAAGCCTATCTTCAGATATGTTGATCAAGTGGGCAAAGGTCTTTTTTTATTTTTTCATTTAATGGCAATGACGCATAATTAGAAAATTTACATTTTTAAACGAAAATTGGGTCAAATGAGACACCAATAGCTAAAAATCTTTGTTTGCACATATTTACCAGATTAATAATTCTTTCCAGTTTTTACCCAAATGCTCAAAATTGGCTTTATAAAAAACGGCACACAATTTGGGAAAAAAGTTTCTCATCAAAACGTGATGCAGCTGTTTGCTCTTGAAATGCTTTATAGAAAAGTGTGAAATCTAGCGATGTAAATTCAGTGATAGTGAAAGTGCACAAATAAAGCACCCTATGAAAACATAAATTTAGAAACTCCTGTTGTATGTGTCTGGCTTTGTAGCCAGTAGGTGTTGATATACACTATACTTTACTTTTATAAAGGTAAAAATATTAGTAAACCCTAATCCACAAGATTGTCTAGAGTTGTTCCATTGCAAATACAAAACCAATTTCAGGAGAATCTTCTGCTACAATCAGTTTCCATCCCTACTCGGAGGCACAGGCTTGCATATGGTTTTAAAGGGGCAAAAAACCACACAAGTTAAAACATCATTTTCATTTGATGCTTAATCACTCTTGTTAATTAAGTTTATTTTGAATGTTTTTAGGACATTCATATCCAGATCTTATTGTGAAGTTTGACTTAGTAGTGACTTTTTCAAAACTTGAAAATGTAAAATTAGATGGTCTTGAGGATTACAAAAGTTTTGAGTTGATGAAGCCTAAAGGCTATGCTGAATGATCGAGTGTTTGAAAGCATCCCAAATTTCTGCAGGATTTCAAACAACAAAGGCAAAAAAGTAGAATTTAACCAACTCTGAATTCTTGAGGAAAAATTTAGGGTAGTGTGTAGGTTATTTAAGAATGATTAGATAAGAATGAAAACAATTAGTTTTGAGATGTGCAAACTTTCTTGCAGACAAGGTTCGCAGACATGACTCAGCCCAACACTAGATCTGTGATCAATTACACAACCAAAAACAGGATAAACCAATGGTCCAACCACTGCTCAACATAGAAATGTCTGATAAATTTTCCCAGAGAGAATTTCAGTCTTCTTCATGCAATGGCAAATGGAAAACACAACAAAACCGGAATTTGCCAGATTGATGGTTATGCTGGTCCCTAGGAAAAACTCTTCTTCATTAAAGAGCTACCAGAGGAGGCCAAGTTCTCTTTAAAAAAATCCCATATTTTTCACCTCTAGCATTTAAACCTATCATTAAAAGTGAAGCATGACCATCTGATATTAAAACAGGCATTAACAGGCATAAAATTAACAAAATGGCTTTTGAGGCAAAGCTCCTAATTTAATGTCATTTGGTACTTTCTTACAGTTGTTTCTAAAAGACTGAACACCCCAAAGAACAGGCTGAACACCCCAAGAACACCCTAGGAACAAGCCATAAAATCCCCATTATGCGGCTGAACAGCCTTTAAGACATATCGAAATCAACATAACATTCGAAAAATAATTTGACTTTGGGGTGGGAAAGGGCCTGATAAGTCTAATGCTGTTGGTATTGTTACAAACAGCTGATGTTTTACACCCCAACAGTGTGAACACCATTTAAACATGCATATCAGCAGAATACAATTTACGCATATGTCTATACATTATATTTAATGTTCATCCTTTGAGCAAATGCCAAGGGTGCTTCCTAGAGAAAGATTTTAAATCTTGTGTGTAGTTTAGAATTTCGGCGTGCAAAGGTATCCATTCTAAAATGATTTCATTCATGCATTTGCCATACTCTGTACCAGATTGAAAACTTTGTCACATTCCCGGAATATATTGCCCAAATTTTCCATCCACCTACTTTGGCAGTGCAAAGTCAGCCATTTAATAGCGTTTTACATTTCTAACACCACATGTTTCTAAATGTGCATGATTTCAGGTGGGCAGTTGCAAAATTTCAAAATGAACTTGTCCACACAAGAAACAAAGTTTCCTGTCTGGACTCTGTAAACTGGCCTGGTAGAGGTTGCAGTTCCTGCCAGAAATGGAAACTTCAAAGTCCAATCTTCGAACACATGATACACTGGATAATCTTTGTGCATCATCAAGTGTCACCATCATGAAAACAATTTCACAAGTCTCCTTGAAATTCTATTAATGTTCCGCATGAAATTTTTGTTTTTAATGTTTCATGAAGATATTTATTTTATCTAATTGCAGCAACAAAAATACTTTATGCTTTATTGGTAAACATACCAACAAACAATTTTTCCACAAAAGGAAAGCTGTTCAAAACACGGGAAAGTGGTTATGAATTTTGTGTTGTACAATTGTTGTAGTCGAAGCACTACATGAGCAAAAGCTCCAGTTTCAACCTGAAACACACATGTATATCTAAGGAGCTTCTGTTTGAGCACAGTACTAGCAGGGAAACTTACAATGCAAACAGCCATTGTCGGCGTCTCCTACCTACCTTTTGACGACACCAGTCTTGATTTTTATCTGCCTAATTCTTGGATCTTGAGTTGCCATCGTCCGCAAAATTCTACCGCCCTTGCTGCAAAACTTCTTCACAAACCAACTCCAGTTGTTGTACAACCATATGCAAGCGCCAGAAAACACAAGCTCCACCACAGCGTCAGTGAAGTCACAGAAATATCCCAGCAATTTTCACAAACACTTTTGGATTTTGAACACACTGCCCGTACACCATAAAAACTCCCAAAATGTGCATAATGAATTCGATCTGTTACACACTGCCTCAGAAATTTTCATATGAGTACAGGCATTTTTACCATCATTGAAATATGAAACAACAATAACAGACCTATCATCATCTAACCACTTAGAGAATAACATTTCGTTGCAAAAAAAGTTTACTTTGAAACGTTTTGCTAAAATTTCTTAAATGACCAATAAATTAATTTAATCAAATAATCAATTAAATTTCATTTCATTGTCCTTCTAATTTTGATGCTGTTTATGTCGATGCACAATGACAGCTCATTTCAGACCAAGGAAATTAAAAAAAGATCTAGAACCGGGTGCTAAAAGCTATACAATTTATTGAAAGTAACTAAAAAATGTCTTTACAAATTAAAAACACTGCGCTGTTTGCCAAAACACGGGTAAATGAGATATCAAGATTAGGGAACTCCTACAAAAAGAAAGTTTTAGCATTTTCAACACATGGCGAAATTATATTCCGTTTAAAGTTGTAAAATTGAAAAATCAAGAAAAAGCAATTTTTAAAATGTTCTTAATGAAACGTAAAGTGTGGAATTTCATAAGTAGAAAACAAAATATAAAAAATTGAGGTAAAACAACAGCGTGTGCATTAATATCAACTTTGCAAATATAGAATTACCAGAAAACTACCTTGAATTTCAAAAGAAATGATAAGATATCATTCTAGGAAATAACGGATCTATAACCCACAATGCATAAATAACTAAGATTCAGCATACAAAATTTTCTTCAGCATATCATTATTGAACGAGGTTAATTGAAAATGCATTTGTCATGGTGGACTTTAAACAATTTTGAAAAATTATGAGAAAAATAAGGAAATAAGCGGCGTTTTTTCTGTAAACTGTCTGGTAGAACTATTAATTTTACAATTTCTACTTTTATGTCACGATCTGGTAATATAATGCAGTAAAGACACGCAAATGGGGACATGCGTGCAAAATAAAAGAAAACCTGGTTCTCGACAGTGTTCAAAAACCATGCTTCACAATTAACAAATTTAGAAACATGTTCACGAGATCTAGAACTCAACAGTGTGAACTATGACACATTAAGACAATTAAGACATTAAGACAATTAAATTTTTTTTCAAAACTAAATTCATAACACAAGGCAGCAACTTTTTGGTCCTTTTATATTTCATGTAGGCCAAAGCTTTTGAATATAGGAGGTCGATGAAAGCAGATTGAGATTTCATCGTCTGCTGAACAAAACGTGTGCAATTGTTTTTCAAGCTTTGCGCTGTAGAGAAGGGTAGGGTTGGAAGGGTAGGGTTGAAAAAGCTCATTGAGAATCTTGGTGAGTACATGTATAATGTCATAAATCTGGTATTAAAAATCTGAAAGAACACATTGGTCAGACTACGAGCAAAAACACTTCGTGTGCACAAAAACAATAGTTAGAACTTAGGTGAGCCCAAATAATGGAATCATTAAGTGTTGTAGCGTAATAACACAGATATTTGTGAACGGACTTTCTATTCAAGATTTGAATACTGGCTTGGTTGTGGCCATCTTTATCATTTCTGACTGCAATTTCTTGTTAAGAAGCTGCGGTTTCTGAACTACACACCCCCTGTCTTCATACCTAGCACAGTATTCTAGGACATACTTCACGCATCTAAGGTCATCTTCGTCGTCACACAAATCATAGTGACATGGACTCTTTCTGTTATTTTTATCAAAGAAGCAGGATACCTCTCCTGACTCTCTACGTGCATTTACAGTGTCACTCACTGACTTGGTATCGACTGTCTCTTTCTCAAACACATCCTTAAAAGAACAAAAAAGGAGGTGAATTAATAAAGGAAAAACTTTCTTTTTCGAAATACTGAAATTGAAAAGTTTCTTATCTTTCAAACACTATCAGATTTTAATAGAACGAGGATCGGTCATGGGAAAAATTAGCACTAAGAAAAGGGATAATTTTCAAAAAGTATTAAATATCTAATTCTTTACTTTAATTTCCTCCTTCAAAATAACTTAATATTTAGATCTGCTTATAGAAATAATTGTGAATCAATAAGCTTATAGAAATAATTGACTATACATAATAGAATAAAAATTCCCTTGTAACAGCATGGTATGGAAAGGGATAATTTGTTAAAGGTAATGTGTCCAGCTATAGCAAGCGACTCTGCGGGGGTTTTTAGAAACATGTGATTTTTCATGTCATCGCCCCAGTCATTATGGTCGTTCTGTTTATTTATCCTGCTGCGAGGTCAGCTTTTCATGTGAGCAGTTTTGCATCGCAAGAATACTAACCAATCGCAAACTGTTATTTTGATGGGTGGCTTGACAAGTTGGATATACGCAGTCCTTTTATATGGACACATTACCTTTAAGTTACATAGTATGGGACGTTACCCAAGATAATAGACAGTTACTAAAACCAATGATTTGTAATATATATATTTCAACTGGGAAGAGGGAAATTAGAAAGATGGCTCTGGACATTCTATCACCTTTTGCGGAAAATCAATTTATCGGACGAAGTACTCGTCAAACTTGATACCATTTTTCATGCAAAAATAATTGACAGTGACAAACGTCTGATTTACATTTCCAGTAAGCTCATGAAAAATAATCAATGAGGTTTGATGAAAGGTGAGCAAAAGTTCCATATTCTAATGGCAATCTATTTTTCGCTAAATTTAGGTTTCCTACGGATCAACTCAGCTGCCACATTCTTGCTGCTTTAACTGTGTAACATATCTGGGACTGTTACAATTGCAACTGTTCCAAGCATTGAAACTTCCGACAAATAGCATGGTAATCAGCATATTTTGGACAAACTGCAATAGCCCTTCAAGTTTTTTTAATCATTTCAAGGCACAGTGACTGTAGCTTTCATTACTAGCATTATCTTATATAACTTTCAATAAACTGACTTTAACAGTAATTTTTTGTTGTCTTCGAGCTTTAGCTTATATACCCTTACACAATTTGTGTGTGTCAAAATATTGTAGGTGGAGATAAGATGGTTGGAGCTGAAATTGTTTTATCTGAACTTAGTTCGACGAAGATATCTGTCCGCTTCCAAATCCGTATGGTATAAATAACGCGTTGCTATGTTTATCCAAGAATACGTTGTGATTCATCATGGCGACAATAAGTTAGTCACGTGACAGGTGGGAATAATCTATAGCATCTGTATCTGTATTCAATATCTACATCATATATCTACATCTGTATTTTATATCTATACAATATATCTTCATTTATACGTACAGTTCATATTTTGCCAATGGCATTGTGTAGGCCCGGTTCTGAAAGTGACCATAATATTCAAAAAGAGACAATGACACTAATTCAGAGGTCAGGTTTAAAAAAGATGAATCAAATGGCTCAGGTCACTTTTGCAATGGTTGAATAATTTAAAAAATTATGACAATCAAAAGCTCAAATATTGATGATTATAACTCACAATAAAAATTACTTACCTCTTCTACATCTCCGCCATCTCCGAGTGTGGGAGGAGCGTCTTCAATTTTATCAGTCTCCCAGTTATAACTGCTCATCAAAACCTGCTGTTCCTTGCATTTAATTCGAGGAACCTTTGGGGCTACATCTATTACCCATTCCTCATACTCTTTCAATGCATCTGCAAATGAGTATGGCTTCTTTGATTCCACTATGGAGGAGAGAGAGTTCTTTTGAAAACTTGCTTCAAAAGACATTAGAGTAAATAATGTCAAACATGTTTCAAAAACAAAGTGTACATAGCACACTTCTTGTATCATTCCAAAAAGCACAATTCATACATAATTTTTGCAAAAAATACTTCTCATTTGTAGGTTTCCAAAACTTTATCATTATTTTTCAAAAAAGGATTTTAAATTTGGCAATGCCACAAAAGTACAACTGTTGATGATAGTGATAAATCATAACGAACACGTCACAGTTTTGTTACAGAGATGACTTTTCAATTTTAAACTTAATAACATATTTGAAATACATGTAAAAAAGTTATTTCAAAGACGATATCCAATATTTTGAGGCCATGTTAACAAAAGAAAAAAGTTATGCTTTTGACAAGGTTACGTTTCGTAAAGAAATTGGCTTACCTTCTTTATCGGTGAATTTTCTAGATTTGGCTTTCTTCTCCTGTCTTTGAACGCTCTTCCAAAAAGGTTTTGATTTCCACCAAAGGGCCACAGCCATTTGCCTCTCTTTTCTAAAGCAATTTTAAATCGAAATGAGAGAGAGAAATAAAGACATTACAACTTCTACGACGTTACACACTGTTTGCACTGTAAATGCATTTTACAATACTACACCATTTTCTCTTTTGATAGATCGAGTTTGAATCTGGCCCTGTAAAATTAAGCACTGCAGACAGGATGTAAACAAGAAAATAGAACATTTCAAAATTATAAGCATAAACAAACTTGGATAAAAAATATTTGTGGTTTCTAAAACAATTCACAACAAGCCAACTGAACTCATCAAAAAATACACTAAACAGAACTTCCAAAGAATCTTCATCCTGGCAGGAAATAGCTTTTTGCTCACAAATCTGTTTTCAATAATTTCAGTAATCCATAACACCTAAACCACCCCACAGAAATTTGGATATACTTCAAGGGGAGCATGAAATGCAAGAAATAGTGCATGGCCTAAATCCAGTTGGATGTGCCTCTCTCTAAAATAAGCCTATAATATCAAACCATAGTCTAGCTAGATCCTTTTGGGTTTTGGGGCATAGAAATTTCTCCCTAAATCAATCAGAAAATGTGCAATTCCTTTCAATAAGAATGTGCCCTATATAATTTACACTACATTAATTTGTTTTTTTCAATATCGAAAGGCGCATTCTGTAAACAGCTGCTTTGTTTCCTCTTTAAACGAGAATTTTGATCACCTAACAGGCTTCTGCTAATGAGGTTCCAAGAAGCACAACATAGATAAAAACAGTTACAAGGAAAAAAATATGCTAAAGCTCTCAAAGCTTCTGCCCCTCTACTTTTCAAATGCTTCTTAAGTCCTGCGAAGAGCTAAATATGACTTAAAGATTCCGAATATATAGATTCAAAATTATGACGTCAAAAACGCCATGCTACGCAAAGCTCCAGATCAATTGAAATGTGAAGCAGATATCTTAATGCTCATTGATTGCATGCAAGAAGGTTTTCCAAACATCTTCTAACCCAGGAAATATCATAGGAAAATCTCTCACTGTTTCTTACCTAGAATAGACTTGATGCCACCACATTTGAGGAATATAAACGCAATCACCCTCCTCTGCATTGCCAACCCAATATTTTATCTTCATAATTTCTGGGTACTTCTCCAAGTCAACTGCACTCGTATTTATATTTGATACACCCTTAACTTTTGACTCATCTGCATAGAAGTTTTTTGAATACACTGGTGAAACCATTATGACCTGAGGATTTCAAAATAAATTTGTATTATCAAAATGAAATAGTTAAATGAAAATTTTATTGAACTAGTATTGACATGGCATGAAAGAGAAAAGCATTTCTGAACACAAAGAAAATGGTTGGATTGAAACCTCATCAAGGAATTTTTTCCAATTTTGCGTGCTATAGTAATTCTGGTGTACTGATTTCAAATCAATGTTATAAAAGCGTATTGGGTTTCGTTCCGGCTCCATGTCATATGAAAGTCTAATTTTCAAGCAGATGTAGCCAACACGTTACCTATTCAAGGTCAGAGAATGGACGGCAGTTGAGTACAGTTACGTTACAAAGCTGAAGAAAAAAGTTGTATGTCAAACATAGTTCGTGGGTGTTATTATATCCTAATATTCATGTTCAGTCTCGTTCAAATCTTAATTGATCTCAAAGTGAGGATAGTCTGATATCAACTTTATTCCGACTTTGTAATTAGCAATTCAAAAATAGGACATGAACTTATTACAGCATATAAAGCATAAAGTACTAACAAAAATTTCAATACCCAAAACAAAAATTAACGTGACAGTGATTTTCTCAAAAGATAATTCATGCATAAAATTGTCTTATCAGGAAATATGAGATTTATTCAAACGGGGCGTCTATAATCTTTTTATGTAGTTAATAAAAAAGCAAAAAGCATTCTATCTTTAATGTGACTTATGCTTCGTTGGCAGTCAAAAGAACTTGTATAGATCGATAAGTTCACTATGGGTCAATAAACAAGTCAGAAAATCCCATGAAAGGAAGCACGTTAGTTTTTTTCATGTGAGTGCTTTAACCGAGTGCAGCCAGATTCGCGAAAATCTTGTTAAAGGAAACTTGGAGAAACTTGTATAGCATTCTGAACATGATGGGTTAATCTTCCATCGAGAATGCTATCGGAAATCCGCATGAAGAGAAAGTCAACAAAAGTGGAGTAGAGCGAAACAAGGAAAGCAAAAAGTAACACGTTGAGCTAGAACATTAGTTGAGTAGGCCAAGCAAAGGGAACTTTTTCCTGATATATGTATGATATGCAAGAAGAATTTTTTTTGAACGTAAAAGATATTTGACAATCGCTTTCTGTTGGCAACGAAATGTCAGGTTTGTTGCAATCAACCAAAATATTGTGCCACCATCGTTCTAGTGGATATCTTCCTCTGTCCCGACCAATAATGGTACGCCATTTGCAAATCTTATTGTCCATTGGGTACAAAAAGGAACGAGTTCACCATCTATGAAGATGAAAATAAAGAAATATGCAACAATGATCAAGATCTTCCATGTGCCGAAGAATCTTGCAAGGCAGTTAAATGTGTGACATGTTCACATCACTGTGGATGTTGGTGCAGCGGAATTATCCAACTTCATGGTCAACAATCTGTCTCAGGAGACTTGCATGTAATGATGGAATTCTTCGATGTGAATGGTCCTTCCTGGTAGGGGATGGACTCGAAGATGCTACACATCTCAAGCAGGGCTGTGAAGCTCGAGATGTATAACTAGTTCAACGAGTGGCAAGCACTATTGTCGTTGCTGGCTTGTCAACATAGCCTTTTCAAGAGTCACTAAAAAAGCTCGCTTTGTACGCTTTTTGCCACATGTTCCTGAGTTAGTGTACGAATTTGCTCAGTCATCCCCATTGAAGCTCAAAAACTCTCAGATTCTTAAGGTCAGAGCTCTATCAAATAATATCATAGCAATCGTAAATTGAAGACGAGCAAGTGCTTGAAAGGTAAGTGTGGAAAGCCTTTAAGTACCGGGTACAATACATATAGTTTGTGAATCCGCAGCACTCAGCAAACTATTCTCTTAGCACTAATGACTCACTTTAGAATATAAATTTAAAATATCGACGCATCTTTATGTAACTCATCCACGAGCAAATAAAAAGATTGAAAACATTGGTTTGTTAGTAAAATGCAATTACTGAAGCATTGATTGACATGGCTAGAGAACAAAGTTACATCGAAAATGTAAAAAGCCCCAGGCAAGACAGGCAAGTGAAAAAGTAACTGTCGACTCTAGTTTGAATTAAAATCATGCAAACATAGAGGTAAATTGCTGATATCTTATGTATTAAAGCCATCGTAACTATGGAATATTTACCACCTGTCTTTTATCAGTTAATCTTTTCAGCAGAATCCTAGCTTTCTCTTTGCATTAAAGCTTTAAAATTCAATTGGAGTAGGTTGCTTGCTACTATTTCAAATGCAGTATATTTGATATCTTTCTTAACTTCTTTCGTTTATTTGCTAGGTTGAGTTGCTAAGTTTACATAAAAGGAAAGCAATGTCACAAAGTGGGTATTGAATTGACCGTAGAAAATGAAACTTTTCGAGTCACTAACGAAATTGTGGGGAAGCCAAGCAAAAGAAATAGTTGATTCTTAAATCAAACAAGATAGAAGGAAATGTGACCACAAGAAGGAAGACACACTTCATAAATCAAGTTGATCCAAACCTAGATAGTACAGTGCATAACAATTTGGTTTCAGTCTGCCAGGTGAAAGAAGATATTAATCACTGTATGCTGAATATTGAGCAAGAAGCACAGTACGAATGTGGGAAGTGAAAGGGATAAAAACAGCAAACACACCTGCTGCAAACGTATTTGACCCAACAAGCAGAAGCTTTGAATATATTAAAAGATTGTGCTGAAAATTCGAAGCAAATAATAAGTCAAAAAACAAAATCGTGTCTTTCTTTGACATGTTCTGGGGGGATGTCTCTGAAACCCATCAAATTTGGCTTACCTCCCTTGGGAGGGACTCTGCTAAAATTTTCTACCTGGTTTAGTTGATGATGATATATTCAAAAATAGAGTATATATCTGTTCAAAGCAAATCCCATTTCAAAGATATGAAGATAATGGAGTACTTTGATGTCATAATCTAAATTCAGTCATGCTTAACCTGGAAAAAATCTTAATTTTATTGATATTTGTCCCTAAAATATGTTTCAAATCATAAACAATTTAATGCATAGCACAATTGAGAAATTTATTCCTGTTAGAAATTGGGCTACAAGAGTGAAAAACCGATTTGCTCGAGAGTGGATGCCTTGGCAAGAGAAATCTAATGTCTGCAACATGCTCCCATTTCTCTGCGTACACCCTTGAATTGAAAGGCTTTTAATAAAAATGTAATTTTCTGGGTTAGCTTAATTTTTCAAGCATCCACTGTTTCTATGCATCTGATGCATCAATTTTTTAATCATTTACAAATTAAAAAGCTCAAAATTTTGATAAAATTGTGATTTCTGTTGTGTCCATACATTTTTTCTTGCTGCCAGAAATTATAATGAAAATTAATTACATGATTAGCTTATCTTAAAAAATTTTAAAGATATCCTAGATCCTTAATCCAGGTGAGGACAAATCCTTAATTTCTGCACCTGAAATGAACCTAGAAAAAGTCAAGATTCTCCTTGCTAATGATAAAAGAACTAAAATACAAAAAACACAAAATAGCTAACCTTTTTATGGCCTTTAATTACACAAAGGAGGTTCTCATCAGTATCTATATGAGCAGATGACATAGTGTTTCCTCCGCTTAGCCAAAAATATGAAACAAAAAAGAAGCGGTCAATTTCTTCACATCTCAAGCATAGGGGCAAGATGACGTCCTTCCTCATTTCTGGTAACACTTCATCAACCATATATAAATTTGTCTTTGCTGTTTGGTAAAGATCTAGAAAATCTGAGAACTTCTTGCCAGGAGGAATATTCTCTTTGTCATCATCTTTTGTTTCCATTAACATTGTACGGTTTCCATAATTTTGGCGCAAATATTCGTCAGTCCAGAGTTGATATGCAGGCCAGTTTTTTGTAACACCTAATGTAAAGGAGTAATATATTGTTTTGTGTGAAAATAATTAATAAATCGCATAGATGTAACATGAGTTGTCTCTAGATTACCATTCATAAACATTTCAAAACACATTAATTGCCAAGCCAATTATATTTGAACAAAAAATTTAAGGGGGGGGGGGGCACAAGGTGGACTGGAGTGGACATGTCCACCCCACTTTTCAAGATTGATCTTCTAGCTTTTCCAAAACTGGATTAAAGAGACACTGATGCAAATTTTTGCATGCCAAGATTTCAATGATAATTTATAGGGGGCTCATAGTACCCGAAAATATCTTTATTGTTTTTTTGTACTTGCTGTATAAAGTAATTGTTCGGGAGACGAAACCTTTAGTCCTTTGTTTCGAAACAATACTGTCTTAACCTAATCAGTGTTGCAGGGTCAATGTACATGCGCATTAATGACAGTATTTGCACAACAGTACTGCTTGTGACTCTTGAACTTCCTGCCAATGCTTCAAGCCATAATGCGCATGTGTAATGACTCTGAAACGGAGGCTAGTGCATGTCAAGAAGGCATGATTCATCTCCCAAAAGGCAAAGTTTTGAGACTTTGAAAATTGAGATTTACATATTTGATATCCCTCTTCTTTTCTAGTCTGCTGCATGGAAACAAAGGGTCTCCTCTGATAGCTATTCTAGTCTGCCTCTGTCTCATTTGACACAAACAATTTTTGACATAATTTCTACATGGACTTTTGACTTTTGAAAAAAAAACTATTACATTTTTTAAGTGCCTCTTTAAAAACATAAGAGGGGGATGTAGAGTTTCTTCTCTGGGATCGGAACTTTTGTTCATTTTGATGGTTATTTACAGTTCTTCTTCAGATCTTATTTGACACAGAGTATGGTGTGTTGGATCATCAGTTCTGTAAATTATGAGAAGCTATAATGAAGATGATCTATAAACCACAGCTTTATTGTGTTAAACAGTTAGTTCTTAGAATGTGGTCTTTGCCTTCCTACCTTGTTAAAGATCATCAGCAAGGTAAAAAGATCATCAGCAATTACCTTTGTGTTTCAATGTCAGAGGAAATGTTGGAAAACCTTGTTCAGATTAGCATCAAGAGAGATATGGCAGATAAAATAGACATAAGAAGCCTTGTTAATAAGTTTGAAACACTGCTAGTTAAAAGTTACCAGGCCTGGCTGTTTGAGGCAAGCAGTTTTGGAATCCATCTACATAAACATGAAAAAGCCGATTAACTTAAAAGAGTCTGCTCTATTAAATCCTTTAAGCAAAAGAGGTGTCTGAGCTACGGTTAAAGCATATATAAACTGAAATAAGTAAAACTGCTCCTTGACTTCAGTTGACAGATACTAAAGGGGCTAAAACCATCTGTAGATTGCCTTTAAAGTACATTTTATGTGTTACTGATTTAGCTCGCCTCAGCAAATGAGGGAGCAATTCACAGCTCATATACAAATATACAAATGGCCTGGCCTGAGTTACCACTCTGATGTCATTTATATTAGCTTTTTTGTATGTAAACCTTTGCCTATGAAATTTAACTCTTCTATTCAATGAAATCGAATTCTTTTATTGAGGGTCACAAAATAAGTCAAACTTGGTTATCAGTAACGAACACAATTTCTCATTCAATGTTTCACTGGTTTTTCACCGGTTTTTTCACCGGTTTTTCACCCTGACCCTTTTATCAGCTCTTCAATTTCATTGTCCACCCCACTTTTTTTGGGCATTCCGTACCCTGAAAAATTTCCAGTTGCCTGAACAGCTCTGCAACTGAAACAACATTTCTTGAAATATTTAATGCATATTAGCATTAGTAGATAATAACAAAGGATTTTGTTTTCATAAAAAATTTCCTGATAATCTTTTACTTTATGCTCACCTTTTAAAACAACAGGCTTGTGTGCCACAACATAATTCATGTAGAAATCCTCTGGTGATATCATATATTTCAGCTCATCTGCATAATAATCAGGTGGCTTATGGGAACCTAATGGCTTCAAATGTCCTCTCCTGAACATTTCTTCTTCTGATAGCTCTATCGGCTCATTTGACTCTTTGCTGTATTTGTTTTCATCTTTGTTGCATTCCTCACATACAGCAGACCAAAGTGGCAAATTAAGTAACAATGCTAATATGAACAGATTTGGCATTACCTCAGCAAACCAACGAGGAAGGCTCTGAAAAAATTGAAAATCATCATTGTAATTATTGTCAAAATCAAGTGTCAAACAATGGCAGTGCCAGCTACTGCAGAGTGGGAGGGTAATGGGCGTGGCCAGCGAGAGCACACCCCTTTTGCCTTGTTTCAGTGCTTGTATCAGGCTAATTTTCCTTAGGAAATATGAACTATACCCTACCTAGCACTTTCAGTTTTATGTCACAAAATCAGCTGATGGTTGATAAAATCTGATCAGATAGAGACACACTAACAACCATCTCCTTGATTTTGCATGTTAAATTTCCATTCTTTTTATTTTATGGATTTACAAACTTAAGGTGCAAAACCCTTCTGGCAAAGCTGTGGATAGACATTTAACATTTTACTTCAGTCCCAGTAAACTGTTTGATAGATCGGCCTAAGAAAGTCAATACAATTGATACTTTATTTAACTCACCATTTTGAAGTCCTCTTACGTTCTTATTGCCACAGTGTTCTAAACCGAATTTGATGAACTAGTGGAACTTCTTAACGTCATTCGATATGCTTCTATAAAGCAGAATTTGACGCACGAGCGGCTTTCAAAACTTCCAAAAAGTACGAATAGGAAGTAATCAAGGAGGAAGAAGCTTTGTATGTCCTCGTTCTCGTGTAATTCCCTACTATGACGAAGGCACAAAATATATTCAATTTCATTGCAATTAGACAAAAGCTACTTAATGGCAGTGTGTCGCGCCGTTCATTGGTTTACAGAAACAAAGAATTAAATTTCTATTTCAATTAATCTTCATTTCCTAATTAAGGGGGTCGCTCTTCTAATTTCGAGGACCCTTGAAATTCAACAAAATGTTGCAATACCGTAAATCCTCGAATTGCCCCCCCCTCGAAAAAGCCCCCCTCGAATAAGCCCCACCCTAGAACTACAAATTGTCAATTAGCCCCCCTTGAATAAGCCCCCACTGCTACCATAAATTCTCATATTGGACCCCTCAATTTGATGATTTTTGCCATCTGAGGTCGCCTATGGTGTTTTATTGAATTACCACAACAAATTCATACTTTTGCTAGTAATTAATTAAATGCTCATAAAGAAATTTCTACTAAAATAAACCAGGTATTTTAATAATGTCTTCTTAATGTCAACAATGATTCTATAAGCCCCCCCCCTCGTATAAGCCCCTCCTCGAATAAGCCTCCATCCAAAAATATAAAAAATCAATAAGCCTCCAGGGGGCTAATTCGAGGATTTACGGTACATCATATTTTTCATTAGATAGAGGTGTTGCCTAGGACACTGAGATAAACCAGGAGGTTTTCAGGCCCAGCGTCCTATGCTATATAAAATAGAAATGATAATAGTTATCGAGGTAAAAATGACAAGCTAACAACTTTTTACAAAATTCAAAGAGGAAATTTTATACAGTATTTGACAGAACAAAACGAGACAAAAAAGATAGATACAAGCAAAGAAAGAAAGCTGGAAAAAGGACCGCACAGGGCGTGACAGGGGAGCGGTAGCACGGCAAACGTCATGAATTTGGTTCGATTATTTTAGAGTTAAAGATGGAATTTTATGAATAACTTTAGTGCTTAGTTATCATTCCAATTATTTCGAATAAAATGTTTATGTAAAGATACAATTTAATCATTGTATGACTTCAATCTCTAATCTTCAATTTGACATATCAATATATGGTGAGTACCAAAACGAGTTTTACCAAGTTTGTCTGGTAACAGTTCAATAAACCTTCAATCGTGCCGAGGAGCGAAGAGAGTCAAATCGAAATGAATACAGTTGATTTTTAAATTTATGTCAACCAAATCTTCTGAGTAAGCAGTAGAAAACGCCAAATCTTCCATCATCATCATCATCATCATCATCATTATCATCTTTGTCATTAATGTTTCATATTTTAGCACAGACGGGTATTTAACAAAATAGCTAGGAATATAATGTAGGGGTAATGTAGGGCATTTCAAGAGTGTGTGGAACTCATCTCCGATTTCGTTGGATGTACACATGCTACATATTTTTTGATCATAACTTATTTGCCGAAAAGAATGCCGATTCATGACTCTTATGGGTGGGGATGTCACAGCCCCCGCAGCACCGACCACCCCTGATCATAGACGTTAGGATGCATTTTCAAAGTGGGAAGGGAGTGACCCCAGCAATCCAAGCAAAATATGTAAAATTTAATGATGAAGTTTTGAAAGGAAAGTTGTTTGTCAAAGAAGAGAAAACTGCATGAAAGGTGTCAAGGTCCCATTTGCCGAAAAAGCTACCAAGTCATCTTTTATTTGCCGACAAATTTAAAAGTTCTACGACGAAGAACTTCTGAATTTGCAGAAAACATCTTCTTTTGCAGTATAATTTTCTTCGAAAGGGGTGTCGCACCCCACACGCCTTAGCCCTGAATGCCGTGCGCAAGACTTTCAAAATATTAGTAACACTGATAACCTAGAGATGGCAGAAAAAAACAGTTCAAAGAAACTGCATTTGAAAGTCCAAATAGCAAATTTCTCGATTATGTGGCAATGTTTTTTTTAAAAGCGCTAGCTCTCCAGGTCCTTATAGTAGATTCTGCAAGAAATGATGGGTAAAATTTCTATGGACATCAGGTAAAGGATTTCAGAATCATAAACACACCTTCTAGTTCCTCGTCTTGATATACTTTATCATATGTCTTCATTAGTTTAATAAACCGTATAGGGCTGTAAGAAGGCAGTCCAGTGAATTATGGCTAAGAAACTCTGAAGACACCACACTGCATAGAAATGAACTGTATTTTTCCTTTACTTTCAAGGTGAAACATCTGCCTCCTAAGTTGGAGATCTTATCGAATGCATGCTTTCAAGCGAATTGCTAAGTACATTTTCTACAAAACCGTGAAAATCTAGACTCCCTAGCGCTGCTCTTAAGAAAAACGTCTTTACTGAACGGCATTATAGAGAATTTCTAGATAGGCTGGAATCATTATCACGCGATCAAGATCATACCTGATAAATCAATGCCGAGGCATTTTAAGTCAAAGTTCCAGAGCTGCACAGTTCTTAACTAAGACAAAAGATATGTGCTGCGAATTAATACTTGAACACAACCAAAACGCGGATATCTACTCATTAAGCAAGCATTTAAGGCAAGAATTAATTCAAATCCAAAGCCCTCTTCGATACTTTCGCATTGTGAATAGACACCGCAGTGAAGCAATGGCAGCGAAGAATGCAGGTATTTCTTCATTCAAAATTCTTCGGTATAATCGAGAGGCATATTAATATTTACCGTGCGTACTGGAAATTGATGAGAAAAGGCGTAACGTCAGAGATGATATACAGCGTGAGTAACAGAGGAATGTTCTTTTATTAGATTTTATTATTATGTTCTTGATTAAAGTAAGTTATTTTAGTCTTGATATGTAAATAGTAAATAAGATGAAGCCTTCTATTGCTGTTTGAGATCACTTGGCTAACGATTAACCGTAAAATAAAGATATAATTTCTCGTCTGAATTAAAACTGAAAAACAGAATTTGGATCATAAGATCAACATAATTGAATGTGCCTAAATTTAATCACATGCTTGCGCTATCAAGTATTTGTCAATGGAAGAAGGTAGGTACCCTGTCAATGTGTGCGAAGAGTGCCAGTAGGCCATGATGCAACGTATCCCCTTATATATTTAGCTATGTCATAATTTCAGGTTGCGACTCAGTGCCAAATCTTTCCTTGCACCCATTGTTTGAAGCTGTCAATTCCTGACCCCTTGTACACACTAAGTTCGAATCAATTCGCGATCGAACCTATCTATGAATATATTTGAAATATCAAAAACACTCTTTCGGTGACTCTCTTGACCATCAGGTGCTTTATTGCTTTAATAAAGGGTATCCTATCTGAGAAGTAATTGACAATCTTTTTACGTTATGCCACACGATTTAATATGAGCCTTGTAGGGCAAGTTTTTATTATCTGATCACAGAAGATGCTTTTTCAAAAAGAATATCCTTCTTAAATCTAAGCGAAAAGGAAGATCTGGCTGATATTAACCGATTAAAATCCACTATCAATTCTAATGTAAAGCAACTTGTGGCCGATGGGACTTCACAATAGCATCGAAAGTGCTAGAATGCTTGTATTCACCATTCGGAATTGATTTTACATGTACAGATAAAAAATGATAAGTTGATGTTTTCTATTGAGAGATCCCTTTGAAGCTGTATTTTGGTATATAAAGGTTTTGTAACTAGTCTTTAGGTATAGTGTTTGGGTTTTTGGACTTGTCGCACAATCCTAGTTGATCTCATGTATATAATAGGTTGTACGCTGAGCCTCAGCTCTAAGTCACAATGGATCGTAAAATATCAATACCTGATACATTTGCTGTCGTTTTGTAAATTTATCTAAAAACTTGAAACCGTAAATATCTATGAAGGCGCCTATAAATTCAAATCAAGGGAAGATTGCTACTCAGCTAAAACGAAAAAAAAAATGTCTCATCAAATTAAGAGAAACCTAACATAAGAAGCTTTCGTTTGGACGATTGATACTCTCTTTTTTAAACTGACTTTCGGTTCTATTTTTCAACTACTTTCTTGACCAAGGTTTTTTTAAGACAATTTAGAGAATTTAGAATTTAAGGACAAACACAATAACCTTCATATGTAGTTTTTTTGTGGCTGACCCCAATTCTACAACTTTCTATTTCCTTCATAATTCCTCTAACGTTTATATTCTGAATTGTGTAAGGCGAGAAAGCGTTACGTTTAAAAACTGATTTTCCGAAATTGTAAGAAAATATCTAAAAATGATATCCATAAGTTTCAAATGAAGCCAGTTATCTTTGGGGCAAAATCTGCAAAATCCCCTAAAAGCATTTCAGAATCCAGTTTTTTTAAAGTATGAAGCACTTCAGCATTTTGATTTTATCTAATCAGGAATTTGTGTAGAACTGCCCGTTAAATAACCCTGCTCTTGACTAAGTGCGCATTTTTGTGAAGAAGATGAGATGTGAAAGAGGCTGCTTGCGTAGGAGCGAGGCATCGGATTGAAAATCACTTCGGATTGCACGTTTATACTTGTTAAAATGGGAAGAGGAGTATTTCGGATTGATTTACACTTCACCACAAAAGTTGAGTGACACTTACTCCGGTTTGGCATTACAAAGGCTCTTTGGATTGCATCAGCTTCGTGTAACTGAAACCCCTATCCGAAGTAAGGACCAATCAGAAGTGAACCCAAACTGGCGTCGTGTAACTAAGGCCTTACACTATCTACAATGGATATAGGGTCTACACATCGACAAAGAGCATCGTCATTCAAAGCCCCAGGGTTGAAAGGGAGAACTCTTGAGTCTTGATATTGAAGATTCCTCATAATTGTGGATGAGAAATCATTCTCAACTTTTTGCTTTACAGCGAGCACACAACTATAGCTGAATATATGCCTACCGAGTTTACTAAATTGGAGACGCATTTAATTTGATACGCAAAAATCCTTTGACGTATTTAAAGTTTCTTATACAGTATTCTCAGATGGCCATGTAATGATAAGAGGCCTGTTCTTGCATTCACGAAGAGAAGGATCATATCTCTTTTTAAAAACATTTGCACTTATCAGGTACATTATTCAAGCACATGCTTTAAAATAGAGCGGTCCATGTTGCAGGATAAGTAGTGGCGCTGATTTATAAGATAATCATAAACTGAAGTTCAGGCGGTATTTCATTAAAAAAGATGCAATGGTGATTGATCAATCTTAAGGTTAAAAAGAGAACCTTTTTTCCAGTGCATCATGACTTTCTACCTAAACCTGTATGGAATCCAGTGCCTATGTTTATATTTCGATACATTCCATTTTAAATCTCGAACTTGGAAAGTTGATAACATTGAGCAGGTACTGCTCAACGAAGAATTTCAAAAAATCAAAATTCATCTTCCAAGCTAAAAAAGGTAACATGTTCCAACAGGCTGGGATTGCCATTGCCGATGTCAACTTCATCCTCTGTTACGATATTTTTTGAAGACACAGTAACTTTTTCTTCAATTATGTTAACTAGAGACGTATGCAAAAAGGGATTCATTGAACGGCAACTCAATAACGATGCTACCGATAAGCAACTAAATGTTCATGTTTTATTTTACGATTACGAGGAAAATCGTTCATTTTATCATAAAATGATCATGCTAGTTGATCTACGCATGTTGATTTTGTTGCTAGTAATCGTTTTACAAGATAAGACAATATACTATTTGGTATATTTATATTGGCAAGAGCTTATAAGTGCACACGATTTTTACTGTATTAAGAAGGAGAGGTGTTTGAAGCACAGGGCGACTGCTGTCAAAGGACTCTGCCGCATTGCATGTTATTTAACGAACATCAAATAGAGAAAAATACGAAATTGAAGGAAAAAACATATATGAAAAACAAAGTGGAGTAACATTAAAAATGAACGTCATTCTAAGCGCTATCAAGTGGTAAAAGGTTTTCAAAATACATTGATCGATTATCAGGAAAATAGCAGCCGAATAAAAACTCATTACCATGAAGAACTAAATGGTTAAGAAATCGATGGCGATTAAGGATGTTGCAGTGCTTGCGTCGGAGATAGGGTGACTAGGAAAGCAAGAGCAGGTGCAATGTCTATTTTGCAGTTTATAATGACTGTATGATAAAGTACATAACTTGTAGCAAAAGATCTTCTACCTAGCAATGAATGTTGATGTACATTGTTTGCAGCAAGAGATCTTTCACAAGTAGCGAGTAAGTCAACTTTTGAATCAAGTGAAGGAAATCGCACTGCAAAGAGCAAAACAGATTAATCTTCTTCACAAGACAGCGTTTGCTGACATAAGATCCTAGAGTGGCAGGTGAAAGAAAGGAGTTTATGATATGAAAGATCCTGTTTTTAAGACATTTATTGTCTAAACAGCAATCATATGCAAAAAGCCCAGGTCACAAACTGGGACGGCGCCTCTTTACTGCAGCACCAAAATTAGTATGAAGGTAATCGCTGTGCGCTTCCAATAGACTTTTGAGGGTGTACTGCATAAACAATGAGGAGGGTTCTATTTTCAGCGACGTCATACGTGGAATTTTTCTAGATATCTGCAGCTGACGCATCATCATATTTTGATATCGTCGGTATCTCTTAGTTGAAAGGAAACTGCGCATGGTGGAACCGTCCAGGTGTCGTCAATATAGAAGATAACTGATATCAGATGTTTGAAAAGGTATTTTGCATGTAATTTTAACTAATATGAGTACTGCAAGTTTTGATAATCTCTATGTGATAGCGGTCAGCGAAATCATAAGTAGCTTTCTACATGGTAGCCAAGGCTCATTCATCAGGAAGTCGTGTTGGAAAAGGCATTTAGTTTGAATACGGAAGACTTTAGAATACGTGCTGTCAGAAAACTAGAACACGCTCGTGCCACTTTGAGTATACATTACACACATCCATTGCAATTGTGTCATCGCTACAAGGTGAGTTGAATATTTCCAGCAAAATGAGTGAACTAGGAAAGGAACAGTAAGTCTAGTAGTAATCTAAAACTAAACGAACTAAAACGATCAACCCTATCTGTCGAACGTTGGCTGAATTGACCCAAAAAGGAATTCTACCAGATTAGCGGATCTCCCACGGGACCTACTTTAAACGATCCACACAGCAATTAACTTTCCCTTCAACGGAAGCCCCATAGAAGTGCACACGTATCTGCGTACATTCCCTGTATATGCCTTTTTAAGAACCTGTCTTAAACTCTTTTCAATCACTTTGCGATCGAAATGGAAATGAATTATTAACTTCATGAGTTAATGATGAAAATCCTATTACATTTTTTATGCTACCGTAATGCGGGTCTATTAAGAGTCTCGCTAAAAGTCCGAATAAGGGAGTTTACCGTAGAGTAGTGAACACAAAAAGCCGAACCGATCCAAACAGACAGGAGGTGGTCGAACAAAAGCAACCGCATTTGTCGAAATTAGAAAATTCATAAGCCGAGTTGGGAAATAAAAGTTGACGACGATTAACGCAGGCAGTATTTTCTTTGTAGACTTTCAGCTGAAGGAGGAAGGAGAACACAAACAGCAGTAGATGCAGTGACTGTGGATATCAGATGAAACATGCAAGGTTTCAGTGGAAATCGGTCACTGATGAAAGATACTGCTGGTTTCCACGACTTAGACACAAAACATTCGCTTGCAGTCATGCTGAATCAAAGTGCCAACTTTTCAAATGAAATGGGAAATAACACTTTCAATTCAAGTCGGCTTTCAAGTAACACGACTTCAGACTTTCTTCCTTTTCCTGACTCGGGAATCCACCCATTGTACGTCGCACTGTACGTTTTTGCGACTCTCCTGATTCTACCTGGAATTATCGGCAATAGCTTGATCATCGCAGCAGTATCGAAGCTGCGTACGCTGCGCAGTGCAACAAATTACCTAATATGCAGTCTGGCAGCAGCAGACTTGATCATGATGTTCGTGATGATCTCATTTCTGGTGTATGATGGCTTCAAACTTAATCTTCCAGAAAATATTCAATTTTGGCTGTTCCCTTCGATGGATATAGCTGTCGCTTCAGCATCAATCATGAGCTTGGCAGCCGTCAGTTTCGACAGGGGCCTTGCCGTACTCAAGCCACTCCATTATGACCAAATGTTCCATCGCAAACGAGCCATTCACTTAATCAAAGGGATATGGGGATATGTTACATTTATCTTCATCCTAAGCGTCCTACGGTGTAAGTTTTCAAGCGATGCATACCAGTATACCGTCCTTTCCATTGCCTACATAATTGGCTTTATCATGCCTTGTGGGATCGTCACAATTTCATATGCAATTATCCTTTTCACAACGCTGCGCATAATCAAGATATCGCGACAGCTAGAAAGATCTTTGAAAGTGAGCAGAGGAAGAGAGGATAATGATAAGCAACACGGTACAAAGAAGCTACAACTTCATGAAGCGAAAGTGGCAGTCAATCTCATGCTTATTCTCGTCCCGTTCATGGCAGGCTGGGGGTTTTATTTTGGAACTTTTTGGTCAGAGCATTTCAATGGTGATGTGATCAGCCGATCTGCGTTATATGAATGGTTCTTACTTGTCATCCCCTGGTTCATCAGTAGCATCAACCCTATTGTTTACATCATTTTCACGAAGATGTTACGGCAAGGTTGCAAGAAGCTGATTTACAAGTACATCAACAAAAGGAAGCAGGGGAGTTCTTTACGCAAGAAGACCTCAAACACACGGAGCATCCTCTTCAGACGTCGTTCCAGCATCGACAGCCAAAGTAAGAGCTTGCTGAGTCTTTGGTCACGTGGAAAACGGTCCAGTTCCGCTGCGAGCGAGACAGTCATGACCCGTTTACATCGTTCCAGTTTTGCGGTAAACAAGGAAGGAGGGAGATTATCTGCAAAAGATATTGAGTAAAGCCGGCTATATCACAGCAGTAGCTGGGAAAAGCAAGCAGTTTTTTCAGATTGGTTTTTCTTTCAGTCAAACTGATGTTCAATTTGACTCAGATAAGCTGAATTCCTAATTGACATAACAGGCTTCAGTGCTAGAGGCCTTAAAACGCATTACTGTAAAAAAATAATATAACAAAGTTAGCTGCTTGCTAATGAAACTGTGTGTAGAAATAGCGAGCAAGGAGTTAGATCGTTTCATAGCTCTGCGCGAGACATTGATTCATAAATAACGTTAGAATACTTAGTATGAGTGCTGGCTGATATTCATATTCGCACTAACAAACTGTTTTCGTTGTGTGTGGCGCTTCAGCTTGCATTTACTGAATCTTAATGAATAGTTTGAAAAAAGACGTGTCTTCTTTTTTTCTTTCCTTTGGTGCATGTCTGCGTTATCGAATAGAAAACCCTCGTATCATGGTAATCTTCAAAGATTACGACAAAGCGTCAAAATTCAACAAGTATCTTGCATTTCTGTTTAGCAGCGTCATAAAAAGCCCATGTTTCTTTCACGTACCCTAAGAAACCTGACATAATAGCCTGTGGAAATATTTTTTAACAAAATTCGTATGTTTAGGAAAATTTTGACACTGATACTACAGAAAATAACACGATTAGAATCCCATTACGTGTGTACTTAAATCAAATAAAATCCGTGAAAAAAATAAAATGAATCAAATATACTCTCCTGATTTCTCTATCATATTGCAGAATGAAAACGAACACGTATTGGAAGAACAAGCGCAGGCAAGAAAAAAACGTAATCTGAAGCCTTACCCATTTGCATATATAATGTCACCAGTTCTATGAATACGAGACGTTTTCCTATACCGAGATATCGATACAAACAAACCAAAAGGCTGACAGAATGCTAAGCTTGTCAAAGGAGATTCCTTAAATTTTTCCAATTGATGAACTACTACGCCACTGATAGCACCCCTCCCGCGCCGGCAGGAAATTAACCTGCAGCTACCATTTTCAGGGAACTGCTTACATACTGTCACTGTCCCACTGTCAATGTCAAACTCCTAATAAAAACATAGAAAAAAATAAACCTTTCTCAAAGAAGAGTCGAAAGAAAAAAGCAATTTCAGTATGTTATGGCTTCGAGTTTTACTGCAAAGTTGAAATATTACTACCACCTATGTCTCAAACAGTGATGGTGCAAAGCTCTTTAGTATGATTGGCAAGAAACGATGTGCAAATCTGCCAGGGTCGAGTTCACTGGCAGATTTTTGACAATGGCTGGATCCCGTTACAGGAAACATTTCAGATTCCTGGCGAGCGGCTCTCTAATGTTTGTAATGCAGAATTGAATGAAAGAAAGTATAATAATTATTTTTCAATAATACAATTACTATTTGCCAAAGAAGAAGATAATAGATAATAGTTTTGGACAAACCAATGAACAAATAACTGAATCTTAACAGCCATAGTTATGTTACCAAAATAATTTTGCTGAAACCACAAACACCCTTAATAATACTAAACAAGTTTTTACCAAGAAAGATTATTTCCTTAAATAAGCTCAACTAGACCAGGATAAAGTAAATCATTATTACATCAACGAATTAAGAGATTGTTACTTGGAATGTTCTAGAATCGCTTCCAATTTGATTATGTACGTTGCATTTGTAAGTGCCAGAATCAGTCTTCGATGCGACAGGGAGCAGTAGAATCATGCCGATGATTTCACGGTCAAAATTGAGAACAGGTTTTTCTATTGCTGATGACGGTAGTGAACCTGCAGACGAAGCAAATTCAAGATGATGAAGCTGCCTTGAGCAAATAGAGTTGCTGTCACTGCGTCTTTCATTAGGCAACAGCACAGTGACGCATAGGAAAACAGGCTCCTATAGATATCAGAACTGCTCTTTCAAATGGCATGAAATTTGCCATGTCTTATTTAAATACGAATTGACAGTTATCAATAATTATTCTGACCAGCTACAAACAAATTTAGACCTAAAATCAATACAGAAGCTATGTTTTCAACCCTGCAAATTGAATAAAACTGCGTGATAAGGTATTGGCTTCCGATGTAAATTTGTACACTGAGGTTAATAGTCGAGAATTTTACCATTATGCTTAATTTTAATAGAAGTAAGATCTATATAGTTACAATGAAAATGACAGTAAATTAAGCCTTAACGAGCAGCTAGCTTGCAGGGAAATTGCTGGTCATAATGTCTTGATACAACGCAAGTTGACCTATAAATTCAGGCTAAATTAGAATTCGAATCATTTAATTTGCAAAGTAAAAGCAAGGTTGATAATATGTTCAAAACAGACATTTTTAACGAATTCACACTGGGCCAGCTCTAGATTAAACTAGGAAAACTCAGAGATGTCTGCGATTACCATGTTTCAGCGTGAATTGACCAAGAATGCTATGACAATCTTAATTAATTCGCTCAGGGAAGAAATATTCATTTCAGGTGACAGCTGCACCAAGAAAGAAATCATTTTAAAGACACAGCAATAGACGTAAAGACCTACTAAATGTCATAACAATGAATAAGCTAAAACCAAACCAGAAATCAAAGTTTTCTAGCAACTTGACGACGAATTGATACGATTAGTGCGTGTAATCAAGAAATTTTGGTCGTCAATTTTGAAGAATAGGCCTGTAGATAACACTCACCACCAACTTTGACCCAAGCATTTTGCGGAGCAGGGAGAATGACTCCCTTGAACAAGCAAGCAATGTTAACAGCATTTCCAGCTTTCTCGCTTACTTGCAAAGTGGGCATCACAAAATCAATCTTAGGTGCACCTAAAATTTTGGTAAATAAAAAATCGTTAAGTAAAATAGCCAGGTAGGAAAGACATAGAGAATCTAATTAAGTAGCTATAGTCTTAAGTGAATCACTTGCAATTACAAGATAAATTGTAATGGATAAATAGGGATCGTTACGACATGGTGACGACACAAGATAAAAATGAAGAAGGGTAGAGACCGCCCTACAAGCTCATTTATCTACAAAAGACCATATAATTGTGAAAAAACTGTTTGAAATATACCTAAACACTGAGCTGCATCACTGGCTCCGGCTGCTAAAGTCGTGGTACCTTGAGGACAAGCCTGACATTCAGTAGAACCATTTAATTCACTGAAGGTACTTATAGGGCAAGGTTTACATGGGACAAGAGAATCTTCAAGGCCAGTGGGTGAAAACGTTCCAGCAGCACATTTCGCTGAAAGGAAAAAGTTAAAATGCAAAAAAAATCAAAGCAAAAAGAATGTAAAATACAAAGATGGGAAGAAGATGAACATCTTGAATTGTAAGAGAAATGGCTGCCGGTTCCTAAGAATGGTAGCAATGGGCATGGAACATAGTTTCAAATGGGAAAGAAAAGTGAAACACCACTCAATAAATGAACGTTTTTGTTTTCTGAGATGGTTATCCTGAAAAGGATATTTAGAAAAGTGTTCAGGCAGCTGGTTTCTGAGAAGGAAGGTTTAAAGCCTGTTATGAAGCTAGAAGAATGCACTTACCGATGCAGTCAGACGGGTGTTTGGATCCTTTGCCTTGCGTAGAGTATGATGCTGGACATGGCTCACACTCACTCATTCCCTCATCATCTTGGAAAAATCCCACTGGGCATTCTTGACAAAGGAGCGACGACGAATTCGCGAAATGTCCAGTTGGACAGTTATCTTGAAAGGAAAAAAAACTCCGATAAAATATGATTTCTTGTGATGGTTAAAAGATTACTAGGATTATAGCCACATCATGTCAACTAAAAACTTGAAATGAAAACTTCTTTTTTAGTTTAGCCTACACCTTCTGAATTTGTGGCGACCATAAACATACTTCTCCAGAAACAAAAAACTTTAATATTGGATGCTTTGGTTAACAGCACATCTCCTACCAAACAAATCCTGCTCTTTACCATAGAAGTCTATATATTTTATGATTTATTCGACTTATAAAGGAGCTAGGAATCCAATTAAATATAATTGAGCTTTTTGGGTACTAGGACAAGTACAGTTTCCCGGGCATCCTACTAGAGAGGTCCTTCCCCTCCTACTCATTATACAAAAATAATTCCCCATAATATTCGTCACTGTCAGAATCCGTAACTCACAGCAATAATGGTCGATTGAGATCCAGTTGTCAACTTGATATTTAATGGAACCTCGAGGACAAGGCGTAGTGGCGTCAGATATCGTGTATTCTGTGTAAGAAATACAGGATTATACATTAAAATATATTATGAAAGACAAAATAGGACTGTTTCAAATGCCTGCTTCCTGATTTGAACCGATTTTTTTCTTTCCGAAAACTAAGGTACTCAACCAAAAATGATATCGCCGCCATGTCTAGAAAATTAGGTAATCGAAATATTACATTTCGTTCTCAGGCAGTTATGTCAGGCTTTGTATACTTTTAACAATAATGTAGTTTTTGTAAACACCGTTACAAAAGTCAGTTTCATGCATTCACATATTTACTGAATTGTTTCCCATCTAATCTAATAATCGATTTCGTCACATCAAGTATGTCACATCTTTTTGCTTCAACGCGCACTCAGTAACTAATGTTTAGACGGTCAAAACGAATTGAAAACACAAAACCGTCTTTGTTTCTTCCCTGAATTCAATTTGATGCCACTTTACAAGACTTACTTTATTCCACTTTACCTTACGAAAGGTTGTAGCCAGTCAACAGAAGGAAGTAACATACCGGTAGTGTTGCAAAGCAGGCAATACTTACTGACGCAGTTTGGAAGAGTATGTTTGATATTATTGGACCCAGTGATGTGATAAATAAAATAATCTCCATCTTTGCACGTTGCGATCTCGCTGTATTGCGAATATGGACCATACAAAGCCCGTCCGTTGGTACATCGAACAATGTATCTTGAGTTTGGAGTCATCTCCTGAATCACTGAGTATTGATCACCAGTTAGCGTAGGACATTGGAAGCCTAGAGAATGGTTTTAATTGTAAATATGCTTGCAACGTTATATTGGTTTTAGCAGTGTTAGGAAAAAAAGAACAAGAAGAATTCATAGTACATAAATATTTGCAAAAAGTATGGAAAAGACGTAAAGCTAGAAAGGTCGAGAGTGACGCATTAGTAATAGACATAAACCGAGCACAAAAAGACACGCACTGCTAACTGAAACCTTAAAGGAGCATTTTGCAGAGTTGCCAGCTGCATCATAAATTCGATATTGCATTGACGCTGATTGGCCAATTTGCCAATACGATCCTGAAGGTATCGCGGGCTCTTCCACCACTGTAACGCCGATCGCATCGTAGAATGTGGGTTTCGGCCATGTTATGATGATTTGTGCTGTCGAAATTTTTTTGTTAATATCTGCTGGACAGTTAATAATCCTCGGAGGTGTTTTGTCTAAAAAATGAAAAGAATGTTTAAATTCAAGCCGGTGTCAAATGATGTGTCTAAAACAGGGCCTGAAGATGTGTTTGTTAGAACATTGTAAACACAGTCTGTAAACTCTATCTATGTACCTCGGTTTGGCTGTATGTCTTTCTACGAATCTTTAAAGCAAAACAGCGTCTCCACAATTATACAATCTTATCACACCGCAATATTTTATCAAAGAATATTAACAAATTTGTACATTAGTCCAACTAAGATTGAGTGTAAGTTAGATGTCTCAATTAGAGCATCTTTATTTATTGAAAATAAAAATAGGCAGGAGAAAGATGCGTGGTAAGGAAATAATTGCATTTGAAGATGTAGACATGAGTTAAATGAAGAAATTTTTCACAAAATTTTTGAAAACATTGAAAATTAAACATAAAGAGGGAGCTAGAAGTTGTTCACATTGGAAACATTGCAGAAAAAACGATTCTATATTTAAAAATGAAAGGAATCTTGTTTATGTCTCTTAATTTTTGTCTCTTACTTATCAGTTTGAAGTAGGTCCGTTGCCTTAATCCTTAGACTCAATTCGAGCAAAAAATGTCATAATTAAAAAAGGTTTTGGCTCAAAATAAAGCACCGATAAAGCTAATTTAAAACTCAGCTTGTTGACCTGAAATAAGCCCCCAAAAGTACAGGATAATCAGGCGCTTTTTGATTTTGATGAACCAAATAATGAAAAATAACTGAACCTTAAAAACCAATTAATAATCTTAAGAAAAGTTTAAACCATACAAGGAGTTTTTTCCCAAGGAGTTTCAAGGATTGACCATGAGCTCAGCTGTAAGTTTGCATTTGCCGCCTGCTGGTCAATCGGGAATAGAAATTACAAGAAACTAAATCTTATTAAAGTAGCATGGTCTGGAAAACTAGCTTATATTAGAAATGTAATTATTGATTTATTGACAATACAGCCAAAATGTTCTGACAATGTTCCGTCTTGAACAGCAGCCTTAAGTTCATTTTTCCAATGAAAGGATGTTTGCCTTTGACTGCATTTCATCGAAAACTATACTTCTCTTCTGCCAAGCACGTGCCATGTGCATTATCATAAGCATCACAGATGAGCAGCCCCGATGTGCGTATTTGTCGAAACAATAAGCGCATCTATTAATAGATTAATAGAGGGTGCAAACCTTGGACAGAGACAAAGACTTGACATGTCTTCTTCACGCCTTCATCACTGACAGCTTCAAACTTGACCACGGTGAGACCAACAGGAAAAGCAAAGTCTCGTGAATGTGAGGCTGAGGATATACGTATATTCGAATCAGGCTGTGGGAACTTGGCTCCAAGATTAACACTTGTGGCATCTCCGCTTAATGTGACTTGAATGTCAACAGGGCAGTTCAGATACGGTGTCTGGACGACTGAAAAAATCAATCGAGAATTTCATTAGCTATCACTCTGCTCCTCAGTTAAAGATTGATAAAATGGACATTCACGGTTTAAACTTATGTGCACTAAATCAAGTCAGCTAAGTTTGACACATTGCTGAATGCATCACAGAATGGAAATTGAAGAAAAACCAAAAGGGAAGCCATGTACCCTCTTGCACAACCGTGGTCAAGAAATCCTGCTTTTTTTTGTTTTGAAAAGGATATACTTCTTCAAGTCACAAAAGTATCTTAATAAGTAATGTACTGTGTTAATAAGTAAAAGTAATGTACTAGGATTTTTGGTAACTCTGTTGTGTAAAACGCTCTGTTGTGCAAAAAAGTATGAACCGCATATTATCATAAATTGATATATCGTTTGATCTAATGATGAATAAAAGTGAACAATTTAGGCTGTATTGAAAAATCTACTTTATTTCATAGTGAAATCTGCTGCAAAAGAAATTTAAATGGAAAAAGAATGGAATCGGTTAGCTTGAATTCAAAAAATTCTCTTTTAATTCAAAATAACACATCGTACTGAGAAGTTTTCAAATAAAGGAAGGCAGTATTCTGCGTCTATAATCCTAAGAGCTATGTCCTAGAAATATGGCCTAAAACCATAAAACAAGGCAGGAACAAATTTTTAAACACTGAAATTGACACAATTTAGGATTTTATAAGGAGAAGATGGCACATTTGGATAAGCTTAGTATAATTGTGGCACAAAAAAGGACTAGCAATGGCCTACTTTTAACACATTCATTTGGAGAATTTGTTGACCAGCTTTTATCTGCTTGACAATACTTTGTGGCTGGTCCACTTAGCCTGTATCCATGTTTGCAATAAACAACGCACCGCTGACCGTACTCCCTGCTTCCTGTTGCACATGCTGCTGGAACAACACCACCATCTTTGGGTCTTGCAAGGGCAGAGCAGAGCACAGCTGAGGAAGGAAAAATTTTAGGCTGCAATTTACTGAATTGAAAAGTTAAAAACATTCTTTTTAAAACTAGGTACTACACAATTCAGAAGAAACTGGATACACAGATAAAATCCAATATTTGGTAGAATTACATCTAGGTTAGGATTTACTTAAATAGAAAAATAGACCTTGGGTAAAAAGGTTTAAATTAAACTTTTCAGATAATCGGATTTGGTAATAAAGTAAGTACAAGAACATTCACACGGAAGAAAAACCTGCCAGAAAAAAGACTAAGACATCACGATGCTGTATTACTATTTCAAATTTAGCAAAGAGATAAATTGGTTGAATGCAAAGCCAAGTTCCTTTTAGCTTTTGATAGAAGAAGCAAATGTAACAAACATTTAATTAGAGGAGTAAATGTTAATTCAAAAGAGAGTGAAAGATCATTGCTGATACTCAACGGTGGCAAGACGGTGTGGACCTATCCCAGAATCCACTAGCTTCACACTTGACGTTTTTTATTGTGATGCCCGGACTCATTTCAAAACCTTTGGTACAGTTAAACTTGCAGCTAGTCCCTCGTTGAATATTGGAAAAGCGTGTTGTGCAAATAGCAGGACTGACAGATGCACGTGCTGGCTTCTCCAAAGCTCTACAGTATATTTCTAGAATCAGAAATAGAAAATGAATCGAAAAGCAACTTAAGATACTTAAGTAGCTAAAAATCCTGAGGATGGTGTGAATAGCCTGAGGGCGATTGCACTTTGACCGCCTATTATGCCAATTGTGTTTTCAAATAGAAACGCTTGGAATCACCGACTAGCGTCCCAATGAAGATGCTGTCTTTTTGTCAGTGACAGTAAAAACAGAATGAAATGACTGAAATTTCAATTGATAACGTATTTCATGAATATGCCGCATTCGGACGTGAACTTGTACCTTTTTCCAGCGATGGCCCTCGATATGAAATTCTAGTGGTCATTATACTCTTGTTTATCATAAAGCTGCACTTCAAACTGCCTTGCAACAATCTAGCAACAAGAAGTTGCAAACTCGTGCTGTTTGGTGAGATGATTATCTAACAGATGGTAGTCCTTTAGGACTAATGAATGTTTAGACGTACGATAATATTAGTAGGCATGGATCTGGTTTTTTTAAAAATCAATTCACTAACTACTTCGCCATAAAAAATCCTTGAACTTTCTCAATCTTTCAAAACTATTTTCAGGAAAAATTTTCAGTATCAAATGCAATTTATATTTCAAGAATTGTTTTGATTGAACGGTTCGTTTTACTTTGAATTATCTGCAAAGCTGGTCTGATTTCTTTATGCTCGGCTCTACATTATTCATAGCAATACTGATAACCGGATTTTGGAAAAGAGCGTTAACAAATCCTGCAAATAAAAAAACACCGCGTCTTGCTTGTTGATTCATCTCTAGAAAATCAAGAAGATAATGAACATCAAGGATATTACCTTCACACGTGGTTCCATCCATGGCAAGACGGAAACCGGTGTTGCAAGAGCAGTATCTTCCTCCGTCAAAGTTATGGCAGTTATGATCGCATCCACCGTTGTTTGTCGCACACTCGTCGATATCTATGAATAAAGATTCAGTTAGCAGTATATATTTACCTATTAGTTAAGAACAATCACATGATACCCCAGTCAATTATGCTAAGGTTTGTCAAAAATAAAAAACAAGCTTCTTGCGTATGCATATAGCCTGTAGCTTTGATTAGAATCTGCATCCTGAGCACAATTTCGTCTGGACAACGTTACCATTTAAACAGCCCCCTTTTCTCCATTTTTTAAAACTTGAGGATATTTTCCGGCTGGAGCACAAGGAGCGCGATTGGTAGAGCACAACGTATGAAGTTATTACGAACAACGCTCGATTATACGGCTGAAAGAACAAAATTGTTCTACCATTTGGTGATAATACTTCTGATAATATTCAAACAAGATCATAGTTCCATCAATGCTTCAAACTCTTAAGTCATACCTTCACACCCGTATGGGTCATTGTTCTTTCGCTGGAACCCAGCTCGACATTCACACAGGTATCCACCATTGGTATTTGAACACATTTGCTCGCAGCCACCGTTTCTTTGCCCGCATTCGTCAATATCTTTGAAAGGATATAGTTAAAACAAGTTAAAAAGTGGATATTTTATATGTAATTGAGTGTACATTATATATAACTTAACATCTACAATAATTGGATGATTCACGAAACAATTTTAAACAGAAAAAATATCTAATAAAGAATATAGGCATTAAAGAAATAACAAATTAAGATATTTATGTAGCTAGATAAACAGGTAACTTGTTCAAAAGCTAATACTTTATTTAATTGGGTTATAGAGTAGAACTAGCCAAGGGCAAGATAACAAATTGCCTTTGAGAAAGACCCTCTTCTATTAAATACCTCGCTTCAGAAAAATTTGCAAGTAAAAATATTATAAAGGTTAAATATGAAGCTTATATTAGACATAAAAAACCACCTTAAATAAAATGTGAAAAGGTGATCATGGAATGTATCTTTAAAATTAGAATGCATTTTTTTGACTGCTTACTTAGAATTACACTTTTTGTCTCTCTACTATTATTACAAGTTGGAGAATTTTTTATTTTTACTCAGAATTCAAGTAGACTTAAAAAAGTTTGCTGGAGCTGGCTACAAAAACGAAGTCGATGACAGAGTTGATTAAAACGACAAAGGCAACATACCAACACATTCAGTTAAGCTATTTTCTTTTCGAATAAAACCTGCTTGGCAAGCACAGTAATATCCACCCGGATAGTTGGAGCAGTAAGCATTCTTGTCTTTTCTGCAACCACCATTATTTACTTGGCATTCGTCAATATCTGAAATGTCAACGTCAATATTCAATTATATTCGAGATTCGAGATGATAATAATGACGTCATAAAAACTGTTCCTTGTAAGAAGAAAAGATAACAAATAATTGATTTGGAAAGACGTGAAAGGGATAAATCTTTTCTGCCCAAGCAATAATTAAAGTAACCAGAATAGTTTTTATACTAGATTTCTAAGATTGGCTGCTCGATGCTTTTCAAACAGGTCTTTCTTCACAAGTTTGAAGTGGTGTCCCAGAAACTCAAAGATATTATGTAATTAGAAAATTCTTCATTTCAATCGCATTGAAGTAGATTGAACTACGTACCCAAAATAGTGTACATTGGCAGAAGAAATTTAAGTTTTGAGAATCTATAAACATTTAGGCAAACTTAGCAAAAACCTCGATTTTCCGAAATCCACATTCGTGCTCTTTGTCTCGGAAAGCTTCCTTAAGTTTTGAAATAAAAGTCACTTTAGCACAATAAAACTAACAGCCAACAACAGACCTAAGCAGGTTTTTCCATCGTAAGCCAGTACAAAACCAGGTAGGCAGCCACAAGATGTCCTCTTGTCACACTTGTTGAAGCATAGTTGGTCGCAGCCGCCATTTTCAAGGAGACAGAAGTCAGCTAGGCCACCTTTGTATAAGCAATGAGAAAAATTATAGACTTGGTGCTAGAGACTACTATAATTAAAAAAGGGTTCAGTCTTAACGATAACATATGCATTATGGATAATATTTGATAATTTTGAAATGCAATGGAAGATGCCATTGATGACGATGATGTCAACAACGATGATGATGATGCTGTTATAATGATGTTGATCTAATCTTTCCAATGAGACAAAACACGCACAGCAAATTAATTAATTTATAGAAACACAAAAAAACAGGCTTTTACAAAATAGGCCAAGCTTGTCTCCATGAAAAAAACTTTTCTGAATGTGCTTCATTTTTTGGATTTGAATTCTTTCATTATTTTCAATTAATTTGTCTATAACTTTCTCGATATTTTAAACCATATGGGCTCAATATGATCCTTAGTTTTTCACCACAGATAATTGGTGAAACAAAAAAGACATATTTCACAGGAAATATCTTAACTTTAAATAGTTTAAAAGTGAGAAGAGCTTTAAGTTGTTGAATAATGACAAAAAGCATATATTTAGAAAAAAAGGTCACTGACCCATTCTTGAATTAACAATCACTTCACACACTGTCAGAATGCCTTTTCCGTACATTTGCACGGCAACGAATCTGCCAGGAATTGGAGGGTTGCATTGAACTCTTACTGCTTCACCGTCACCAGCACTGTGAATACGATCGTGGCAAACCGGGTTCATTTTATGGTTTGACTCGTACTTTCCAATGTGAACGTGTATGTTCTTGAAGCGTTCGCCGCGTTCCCCTCTGTTTATGATAGTCACATCTGCATGGCGATATTTTCAGCATTGTTAAATTTAACGTCAATTCAGAAAAACGAATAAAAAAAATAGCATTGTTGACAGAATTGTCTTTTCCCTGTTTGAAATAATTCGAACGCTTCTGAAGATAAAGAAATGGGCCAAAAATGTATGTTAAAAACTGCTTCCAAATACTAGTTAAAAAATACGAATAATAGTAGCGGCAAATTTTAATCTTAATAGTAGGTTGAAAATCACTGTCAGTCGAAAGAGGCAGTGCTTATCCCAAATATGAAAGACAATTATTCGCAGCACCATAAAGAAACCAAAACTAGATCTCAAAGCCATATTTTCTTAGTAGGGATGCCTCTGTTGGCGCTGGATCACTGATCAAGATAACGAAAAATTTTTGAGTCAAACATCTCATATAAAAAGGTCTTTAATGTATCCATTAAAGTATTAAAAACATTCCTAATCAAGAATTGCAAACGAAGAAAGCAGCTTTAGTAGGGCAGAACAGATACGTTCACACATTAATTACTAGACCACTTACTTAATCTTTAGTAGATAATAACCAACACTTAATCACATAGATAATAGAAGCAACTGCGATCACATACAATAAAAGAAGGTAAATTATTGTAGATTTTTTATATATATACATATAAATAAATATGAAAAGAGCTAAATTCCTTGATACAAAAGAGAATTCGAATAATAATATAAAATATCAGACATGGTAACTGTGTAATATAAGTACAAAAAATATTGGTTTAATTCAATGAAAAAAGGGCAAGTTGAAACACCAAACAACTTAACAAAAAGATATACACATAATTTCACCCACCTGTAATGATATATTCTTTTCCAAGATCAACTCGCCACCATGGATCTACCTCATCGTTTGTGTGTGTACATGATTTATCAGACCAGTGGAACTTGTAGTTCCCATCAACAGCACGACTGGCAAACCCATCATGGGCTGTACTTGATTGCACTGCAGTCTTATGCAAAGCAAGGTCTAGAAAACAAAAAAAGCACTAAGTGATCGCTCGGTTGTATAGAAAGCATATTAGACGCTTACATATTACATATAAAATATCATATACTACATATTGGAAAGTCTACATTAAACTGAAAGGAAAACATCAAATCCCTACTCTCCTTGCAAACCAATGCTCTTTCTTAAAATCGTATAGATCGATGCACGTAGAAAGACCAGAACGTAAATCAGAAGAGGACCTAAGTTAATAAAGTTTACAAAACAAAGCATTGACAACAGTGGCCTAAGCCAGCAGTTAAAGGACAGAAGCAACGTGCAGTTCTCTGTAATGTTAAAGGACAAAAGCAATGAATTTTTACACATATAAACCAATTCACAAATTGTTTATTTACTTCATAAAACCAGTGGATGCAGTTTGGCTAATAAATGGTTTGAATATATGCCAATATTAGAGAATGTTTTGCAAGTAGCGAGCTGCAATGTGAGATAGTAACATAATTTCTATATGGAATAGTTGAATAGGTGGTGAGAAAAATGAAATAAATCAGAATGACATATAATTAAGGTTTTAAACAATTTAAGGATGATTGGATCAGTGGATCAGAAAAGGTAGCACAAAAACATCTTTAGGACATAAGTTAGGCATTGAAGCTAGGTCATGAAAATTCAAAAGATTACGGAAATTCAAAACTCTTATGAAATCAGTGAATATAAGAAATTGATATAAAATGAATGTTATACCTTGGGAGAATTTCGAGCAAATACTAGCAATCTCATCATTGCTAACTTCAAATCTTTGATCCAATCTCATGTCACTGAAATCACCACAATACTCCATTTTCAAGTATTTTTCCTCTGAAAATCGAATCGAAATACATAAAATCGTTTCACAAGCTTAGAAGGAATGCTATTCACGAGCTGCAGACTGGAAAAATCCAATTTAGAGGTTATTTTCCAGGAAAGGGTTTATTATCCTGTAGTTGACATACTTTTCCATTTATAAACCAATTATCATAATGCATCATATGATTAATGTAAAGTTAAAGTTTGTAAAATATTGATGCTTTATGCACGTTCTCTATGTTAATTTGTCTATTATGTTATAATATTTATGTCACATCACTCAAATGTTTGGTTGCATGGTCAACATTACTTTATTACGTTTTTCTTATACATATCAGACTAAATGTGCTGAGAATTTCCAAATTACAGTTCATATAATGTTTTAATTTTCTCCCTAAAAATGATTGGAACGAAAACACATTCTAATGAAAGGGTAAAGAAAGAAGCAAAAAAAGATTAAGAAGCAAAAAAATATAAGGAAATTTTACAAGCCATTGGCATATTCGTATGGGAAGGAGCAATTTGGCATCTTTCTTATGAGGTAAGATAAGGGCGTAGAGGAGATTACCACGCATTCCCATCAATTCTTTTATTCATTAACCTCCCCCCCCCCCAAAAGAGAGATCTAGAACGATGCTGAAGAGTAGAGCCACGAGTATCTCTTGATGATATTAAGTTTCTCTTGTATCTGATATTATTCTTGATGATACGAGTATCTCTTGAATAGGTAGCTCAAAACAACCAGGGCGCAGATTGATTTTATTTTTGGAGAATTTTGGGACATTATTCTTCATAAAATTCTGATAAAGTGGCAAAATTTTCGTTATTGTCTAAAAAGATTTTGTTTCTAGGGAGCCCCTGCCCCCTGCCACTAAACCCCTGAAACAGTCCAAATTGACGTAAACAGAGAAATAAGGTGATAGCTGTATAGGAAACGTACTTGGAATGAATGAAAAGAGCAGCTGTGGGTCAGGCAACCTTAGTGATGTTGATGAAGCACTGATGTAGTTGCAGGTTGATCCAAGTATCAAAACAGTGCCGTCGCTTGGTATCATTTCCTGTAAAAATGGGGGAAACGAAAGTTTCACGTCTAAATTCTAATACAATGCAATTTAATTGTAAAGGAACAGCATGTGGTATGTAAAGTGCAAAAATATCTCAAGAGACTTTTCAGGACGTATCGAATCTCGCGTCGGAAAGAAACTCCTAAATCCAAATCCGTATATTTTTTACAAAAGTGGGCATGATGGAAAAATGCTGTGGTACTGCTTGAAAAATTAGATCAAACATCATGAAAACTCTACTCATTTTGTGGTCTTGCGAGAACTACGATAAAACAAAAAAATATCTGCGCTGACCTTGGCTTTGCCCCTAAACCCACCAATACAGAGTAGCGGAATGGTGAAACTTTTTTTAAATATAGAATAAATTCTCTTCTAGTTTTTCATAGTTATTCTTTATACTGTAAAACACCTAATTAACAAACTTGCAGTTTTTCACTTAGGTAATACATCACATAATCTTGCCGTTTAACAGCAAATAGGAACTTTTTAAACACTCTATCCAATGTAATTTTGCAATTAATTCCTGTCTTTGGAACGATTTTTGTAGCATAATATATAATGGTTAAAACTAGCCGGCCAATTTTTGTGATGTTGCAACAGCATCCAGGTGCCAGTGAGCATATCCCTTATTCCCGGGGATAACAAACTAACCTTATTGGCTGTTTGAACACAAAGTCCAGTTTTTCTGTGCTGTAAGGATCCCTTTGCAGTGAACCCGAATTCGTGGCATCCTGTGGTAGCGATTTCCAGTTGTGCATTCGCAACTGCATTTCCACCGACCGGTCGAACGCAGTGTGAACTGAATTGCATACTTCTCAAAGCATTGTTGTCATCAATTTTCCACTCGGTGCTTTAAAATTGGGCGGAATAGTAAAAAATTGGGAATTTAGTCATTTAATTCAAGAGTTTGTAATAAGAACTACGAAGCACTCTTGGGTAATTTGTTGTGGCTTTTCTGCTAAGATTCCTTTCACACTCACATTTTACTGTCGCAAAATTAGCTTTCGAATCAATTAATTTCGTATCATTTACTTAATTATCCACTTGAATAATATGGTCTAGCGATGGTCAATACTGGCGTTGATTTAAAGAACCAGCTGCAAAACTATGAGCTTCACAGTGTAAAAATTATATTGTTTAATAAATTATTTCATTTTGATTATACAAGTATCATCGATCACTATTAACAATAAAAATTATCATAATGCAAAATGAACTCGGGCAGCCTTTTGATATACACAATAAATAACTGAACGAAATTCCTTAAGACTTTGAAGTTCGTAAGACTGAATCCATTGTTGTAATGGTTGTTTAAGTTGTGTTGCTGTTGCTGTTTTATTACATTTTATCGATAACGTTGATCACTACACATATCTTCTTGTTCTTTGTTATATGTGGGTGGCTTTTTATGAATTACGTGAAGCAGCTACAAATACTATGAATCTGGAACCCTGATATCAATACGCATAATCTCGTTATCGTAACGCATATTCTACTAAAAACTTGTAAATGGAACCATCACGTTGACTGCCGAGGCAAATGGGAAAATCATTGCGTACGAAAAATTGTGGCTTATCATTTTAAAAAAGCAATCAGTATCAAAATTTGTATTAACAAAACAACTAACCTATCCGTTTGACATTCTGAGCTTAGCATAAGCCTATTCCTTGAGTTGACATTAATGCATTTAAGAGAACCAAGGTGAGACAATGAACCAGGTCCTTTTGGAGATGTCTTCGCGGCTTATTATTGCAAAAAAAGAGACATATATAAGTACAAATTATGATAAGGTAAAGTAGAGCTTTATCAATACATACATTTGAGAATTGCTGGCACAAACAAGCGATAGAAGGTATTTTTTGGGAAACGAAGATTGACTAACAGAGTAAATAAATACTGTACGATGACCTTTAGTGAATCTAAGCGATTGCCACAATACTTTGAAATTTATTCGGCAATGGGGATCGAAATAAATCAATGAACTTTATGAACCAGCTTTACAGCATTTTCCTTCTCAATTGTAATTTAACTACATTGTAAATGAAGTACAGCTTGCATAAGGACATGATTCTGATACAAGTTCAAAAAACAGGTTTGGCAGTGAATTATAAGTTTAAAAATTATACGCTCATCTATTTAGACTAAGGCAGGTGCTTACCAACTGTAACACACATGTCACTTCGTCTTCTCTTCAAGGATCGTGTAACAACATCGCATTCGTATTTTTGGTTGTTTGTTTTGTCACTACAGTCCTTCTGCACAACATGGGCGCCAAGGCTGTTGCTCAGGTCGATGCATTTCTTCGAATGACGATTCTGTAAAAGAGTTGAATAGGTTTCAGCTATATTATTCTTGTTATAGATTAAGTGCCATTAAAAGGGTACTTGCAAAAATTTATAACTGTAATAGGAGGTCATTATATTTTCGAACGAGCACTTTTAAGATCTTAAGAATTACTAAAGTCATGTGCATAAGTTTAAGACATGTCACTTTTTAACATTTTCTAGCTTAACAGTAAATAAGATTTATTGGTTAAAAACCATTGTAATGCACTTTACCGGAATTTGAAAGCAAAGTGTTTATCATAGATATCTTTATAACAGTATATATATAATGATCATATGTAAAGTAGTATCTGTTTTTTAATATTTCTGGTTTTTTTAAATACTTGCGTTGCTTCTCAATTTTTCTCTTGGTCTTAACCTTTTGCACATGACTGTAGATACAGTAAATCCCCGCATATAAGAACCTACTTTTTTGAGGTTCAGGCTGAAGTAGGTTCTTATTGGAAAGGTACTTGGATTGATTTCAGGGTATGAAGGCTCTTTTTCGAAGGATCCCTTATTTAAAATTTTAGGATTCATTATCAAGCGATGCATTCAACCCTATTTTTTTCCTTTTGGCAATGTTATTAATGCAACATTACAAAGATATTTACAGGAAGACATTTGAGCGCACTGGCTGCCTTATGACAGTGGATGGATCTGGAGATGATCTCATACGTCCTCAGGAATTAAAAAATTATGAATTCTAATGCTTTTATTTCATTTTTCAAAACTTTGGATTTTGCTTTATATAATTATGTTGAAAAGTCAAAGTGATTTTAAAATTCTCTTTCGGTAAAGAGTATAAAATGCTGCAAATGCACAACTGAAAATTAGTTTGAAATTCATACAATAACTTCTTTTATCTTTCAGCGAATTTTGGTACTTTATTCTTTGAATGAGGAGAAATAGACAGCTAGCTTATACGACAAAACTTCCCCCAGACAGTTGAACAATTCAAGGAGCAGGCAAATAAGATGTTAATTCCCAATTTGATTTGATTCGATGGAGTTTCAGGGGTCTTATCAAGAACTGAGTCACTAGATAATTTGGTCTTTATGCTAAATGCTTAGATTAAATCTGATTTTATTGAAAAAACACAAACATCATTTTAGGTAAAGGCAGGCTGAGAGGCTTGTAATGGTACCGCTCCAAGGTCTTCGTTAGGTTGAAAAAGGCCAGGCAACATAAAGAGCATATCAAGAAAAGTTGATAAAATAGCACGAAAAGGCAAAATACCTAATACAAAATTTAGGAAAACATCTTTCGATACTGAATTTCCTCTGTTGCTAGCCACAAAGTAAGACACCATAAATGAACTTACAATCAAAGAGCCTTTGAGGGTGTAGGCCCATTGTTGCTTAGGGTCAGTGCTGTTACATCCCTTCAAGACCAATTTTGAGTTTGCGTTCGAATCAGTCACAGCCACACATGCACCTAATCGAAGCTCCATTCCCGTGATTGTTGCTTCGATTCCAAAGTGTCCTGTTGAGACAATTTTATGAGATTCAGATTTTAAATGACCGAAGATGGAAAAACACTCAACCTTACCCTTCTAAGCAACTTCATTCAAACCAGTCGTTACGTCCTGGGTGACGATTCGGTGATGATTTTAGGATATTGTCAGCAGCAAATTCATTTAATTTCACAATATCACATCTTTATATATCCTTTATGCTGATACACATTCAATTTATATACCAAAGAGAATCGATAAGGAAGCTTTACCATTAAATTTCATTCACGCATGCAAACTTCCTTACCTGACAAGTCGAAGTCTGAAAACGGATTTGGAGGATCATAGGGATCATAAGAAACCACTGATGTTCTTGCTTGTTTGACACCTTCTTTGTAGTTGTATAGAGCAGAGTCCTTTGCAGATATAATGCTTCCAACCGGATCGTTCAAACTAAACTGGGCGCCAAAATGCATCCGGTTTCCAAATATAGTCAAATCGATCTCTGCTGCCACCATGAATCCGCCGCCAAACTTATGCCCAAGACCCAAATCAAAGCGAATTCTAAGAATCATGATAAGAAATGTAGTTGGGTATACAACATAACATAACATACATAACATAACATAACATAACATAACATAACATAACATAACATAACATAACATAACATAACATAACATAACATAACATAACATAACATAACATAACATAACATAACATAACAGAACATAACATAACATAACATAACATAACATAACAACATGTCATTCTCTATATGGTTTCAAACGACCTACCCATGGATAAGGAACATCTGCATAAGGAACTGGATGGCTGCATTCACCCACCCAACAACTTTCTCTGCGACCCTCAGTGCGGCTACAGCAACATCTAAGAAGTTGCACAACCCCTGCCCGATATAATCAACAAACTTGCATGTTCCGTAACACATGTATTCTACACCTAAAAGTTAAAATAACATGTATTTAGACAAAAAAGAGAGACTTTTGATATCTAACAAGTGTTCCTGCAACTCTACTCCAATAAATGCTTGATAACAATGATATATATCGAAACTGTGACAAAAGACCTACTGGTAATATTGTCTAAAAAGTATTTCTAACATTTTGATTTAGTCAAAGCGTTTTTACTTTTGCTATGATGAAGCCCCGTATGCTGGGCAAAATATTAGCCACAGTTGATTCACGTGTGGTTATTGCTGTTCGTTCTCAGCGGTTTGGAGTGTTCAATATTTGCTATATTTCTAACATGTCACCCTTCGATTTGTTAAGTGAAAATCTTAGACAGGCAAATAATTAATATGATAGATTGAAAGACTGCAGGCGGAAGCATTTGAAACATACTGAAAGCCAAAAATTCTAAGAAACTTCTCAAAAAATGGCTCCACGGACATTTTATGTAGCTGTGAATTCAAAATTAGCGGATAAGCAGATTAGTGCACTTAACATGTAAAGGTCAATCAAGATCTCTAGCCAATTACATGGTTTAAAACTCCAAGTGAGAGTAACTCCAAATGAGCCTTAGTCCTCCAAGAGAGTTTAACTTAGAGTGACTAAAGGAGCACGAGTGCAAGGAATTATATTTACCTTTGCATCCACCACCAACAATGCCTTCGCAAATAAATTTGCTCACAAATCTTTTGCTTCTAATATGAAGGTCAAATTCTCCATTTCTTTGCGATATCAAAGATCTCCTTCGCCTCCAACCCCAAAGTGCCTTTTTGATGACCTTTCCAGCCTGTGGGTGTAAAAAATTCAATCACGATTTATAATAAGCCAGGGATGTTGTTGTTGTATAGAAGAGCTCCCAAAAAGAGATCATGTGCGAAAAACTTCCTTTCTTCCTTTGTTATTCATGAGTTATTCTTTTCTCAAGCTCCCATTTGAAATCGATTTTAACCGATTTGCTTATATCCAATACATAGAAATATTTGCTGCTAAAATTGATTGCATAAACTAATTTTTGTAAGACCAAGAGTTCTAAAGGATCATCCACAACCACTTTACTATCTTAGATACTATATGTAATCCCCCTTTCTGAGTTACATATAGTGAATGTTCATTTTGAAAGCGACCCTATTCAGCCACAGATGGAAATGTTTTTAAACAATGGTTTCTAAAGGATCATCCACAACCACTTTACTATCTTAGACACTATATGTAATCCCCCTTTCTGAGTTACATATAGTAAATGCTCATTTTGAAAGCGACCCTATTCAGCCACAGATGGAAATGTTTTTAAACAATGGTTATCAAAAATAAGTCTGACATGTTCCACACAAATAGCGTTAAGGAGTCTCAATCAAATCTGGAATTAATCAATGATTGTTTGAATGGTACAGCAAAACGTGTTTACATTCCGTATATCACTCTTACATTAGCATTTACATAGCAGTTCCTATCCATGGTTGGTCTTCTGATCACAGTAAATGGAAATGAAGCCTCTCAGCTCTATAGAATTCGTAATCACTCACCTCTACCCTCCTTGAAGAATTTTCAGGAATTTTAAGATTCAAACAAGGCCATCCAGCGTCAGCAAGTACTCAGTAACACAATGGTATAGTATAACAAAGCATATGAATAACACGGACCTACCTTTGAAAGACCATCTTTGACTCGGTTGAAACTTTTTTTGACAAATGACCCTGTTCAAAATAAATTAAACAAGTTTCAAACATCGATAGCTCGAAAGATTGTCATAAAAAGCAATGATTTCTTGAGAAACTCCTAGCAGTCTGGAAAATTTCAAGAATTTAACGAACTTACCAACGCTGTCTATGGCCCCACCGATCCATTTTTTTGCTGAGTCAAAGAAACCTTTGCAGTTTTCTTCAGCCTCTTTGCATTTCAGTGCCATGCAGTTATTGCATCTTAGCTTAAGTGTCTCTTTGCATCGTTGTTTGGCACGTTTTACATCATCAATCTTTTCAATAAGGGTCGCTTGTGCAGACTTAAAGGCTTGATCTACAGCTTTCCGGGCTTTTTCGATGGCCTAGGAAAGGATTGAGTGATTGAAGATATATTGCTTTGATCAGCTAGAGTTTACTTAGAGAAAACTAAATTCAATTGTGAAATACAACGGTCGAGATCTATGTGCGTTATGAAATAGAAAATCTTGTCTCTGGAAATTTTTTCCGATCAATGATATTAAAGAATACAAACTTAAGTATAAACAAGCGAGAATCAAACTTTCGTGCACTGCACCTATAACAAACATTAATATGGTAGTCATGTGTATCATTAACCAACAAATTATGTTTTATTGAATCAGGGAAATTATTAAGTCATCCTAAAAGGCCTGATTAATACCGAGCTGATCCATCATGATCAAATGGAGAACATTCAATTCAACAATACGACATCCAATAGAAACTCTTGACATTCTGATCCATCCTTATAAATTCTTTGTCAAGTCAAGAAAATATAGCGCCCTTATAAATTCCGGCCCTTCTTAGGGGCTGTACCCGGGGCAAATTAACAAATCCAGCCCCTTCATCAGTGTGCCTGCATTTCAATCCTCTCATATCCAATCAATTCTGCCTTACAGATTAATAAACTAAAAGAGAATCAAACATTCGATACTCACATCTGTAAGTTTACTCAGATCAATCAAAATTCGTACATAAAAATGGGCATTTTTCAAGTCTGTGACAGCGTAACTGGCAGAAATATATAATTCTGCATAAATTAGATCCCAGGCTTTTCCCCAGATGTAGATTTCTGCAGCATCCATAGTTATATTGATGAAAGTATAGGATTCAATGCCAAAGAACTTCCCATACCCTTCAAAGAACATCTGTAGGCAAACGAAATCAAATCAGTAAGATAAAACCGGGGGACTACAAGATTTTGTTTCAAATACAACCGGATGCAACAACAAGAATATCTATGCGAACAAATGCACTTTTGACCCCAGATCAAAATCAGTACATAAAAAATTGCAACGTCGATGAAAAACTCATTTCAGATCCTAGAGACTGCTAATATACACTCTTTAAAGAAAAAAGTCGAATTTAATTCTTTAGCCATCATAGAAAAGAAAAACAAACGAAATAAAAAACATTCCTGAATTGTACTTAAAAATCCCACCTTTCTGTAAATCAGACTATAAATGATAACGAAAACAAAATGATGGATTGTAAGAGAGACCTTCACTGTATAAAAAAGTTTTGGTTCTGTTTTTAACTTAAAAAAACATAGAAACCGAAGAAATAACAAAGTCTTACTTTGAAAAATGGAAGTCTGATTATAGATGCTTTGCTCGGTCTGTATTGGAAAAAGAGTTTCGGACCAAGGTTTTTGTGTGTATTGTTCCTGGTTATTTCAACTATGCCTCCAAGCATGATTGGATCGCACTCCCCATCAATATAGACTTCCTGCAAAGAAATGAAGTATGCGTTAAAGACATCGGAGCTTTGAGAAAACTCCTGAATAATAGTAAAGGTCACTTTATGCAGAGTTCTGGAACGCCTCGCAGTATTTTCATTAACCAATTTGAAACAGTTGCAAAAAGTCGTACTATGAAGATCTGAAAATTGATGACAAGAGAAAACCCAACAGTAAGAAGATAAAAAGACCTTAAACAGTTACTTTTTAATTTTTTTAACAATTAATGTGAATTATTAACTGTACGCTTAACTGGCTAAAATGTACTCCATTCGTCTGATAGAGAGTATATCATTGACCTTTTTAATATAGTAACTAAGAGATAGACACTCCCTTTGAAATATGAAAATGCAAATTGCAGTTAATGCTCAAACATCAGGCATAGAGTTAAATGAATGTATTTGTCAGACAAGCAAACAGTAGAAACAAAACAAATCGAGCCTGATAAACATGGGACATATTCTACGAAATCAATAGAATCATACTTTGCCTGAGAATGGTAAAAAAAGAAGGAACTTATACATTCATATTTTCACAACCCTTTGCAGAAATCATGATTTTTTAGAGTCCCTTAAGGTTGGTTCTTACTAGCCACACAATCACAAACAAAACATAAGCAAAGAATTACATAAGCAAAGCCAGTAGTGACGGTCTAGAGACAAGCCTAAGGCTTACTAGACAAATGAATACTCTTACTAGAAAAATAGCAAAACAAAGACAAGCACATGCATAAGAACAGCGGAATGTTTAGATATTCTTGTGCTTGTGAATATGACTGCTTTATGCCTGTAGTTCGTGCTTGTGTTGCCATTGAAGACCAAGCTTTAAAGATACAACGTTCAGCAACCCAAGATATAATATAATTGTAACACTCACCATATCTCCTATTCTGATATCAACACGAACATTCCAGCCAAACAGATTTAATGTTCCTTTTACCCTCCAGCCAATGTAGATGTAAGGACCATTAAGAAATCGAAGGTCTACTGCAGATTTTCCTCCATTGAATGAAAACTATGAAAGTATCATTTCCTTTTTGTTATTCAGGTGCAGCCAATTTAATAATGAATATCTATTCAAAGTTCACGAATAGAACACGGGTGAAAATCATGGTTTATAGAAATGCTGACAAATGTATCCACAACTGGGTGTAAAATTTCCATCGTGTTCTTTTGGAGCCTTATTCTTACGTTTTATTCTCTGAGGAGTGTCAGACGAAAAAGCTTTTAGTATGTTGTGAAATGTTTGCTTTTTCAAAGCCATTTTCAATTTATAGCTTATAAACTTTGCGAGTATTTTGGATTTATTTTGCAATGATTTTTTTAAAGAGCAACCAGGTTTGGCAGTAAAACACAAATGGCCGCTGAGAATTAAAGAAAGAGTAAAATCACGATCATTGATAAATGTTTAAGCCAAAGAAAAGATCAAATATGAAAAATAAAGGGAGGCCCTATTGGCAATATTAAGAAAGACTTTGTAACAAGGCCTTCGTAAATAAGTGTAATGACAAGGTTGAAATCAAACAGCTTATTTAAATAGCATACCATAGCCCCCGTAGGAAATCCTGTTTCTGCAACTACGCTTGGAATTCCGCTAGTATCGCCACCAAACATTCTAACAACTTTTCCAACAGTCAATGCTGAAACCTCCCCGTAAAAATACGTGTTTGGTTTTCCCACACCGAAATACACTTGCATACGTATACAGTGACCCTGAAAAATGGAAAACATTTAATTCTCAAGCATTTGAGTTGCGTTTATATCATTATTATTATTATTATTCACTGCCTGCAATAAAAGAAAATTGAGATGATTTAAATTTATCCAAAAAGAGCTAAAGACACCGTTTTTGCTTCTCATGTCAAAGGACGAGAAGACAGAAGATTGAAAATAAAATTAGACTTTTCTTCCTCACAGTACTTCTATGCGAAGCATTATCTTAAGAAGAAAAGAAGAATCCAATAGCACAAAGGCAAAATCTGCCAGCCAGCTTCTGGCCTCACCACTCCTGGTTTGAGTTTCTCCAATTCGTCATAGTAGAGTAGCCTGCGGTCTTCACTACTTAATTGTTAAAAAGTTTTATTCAATTTTTAAATCAAACAGCTAATTTTGCACAATATTTTACAAACAATTTAACAAAAATAGACAGTCGATTACCAACATGATATTTCAATTATTGATCATATTGCTTACGTCATTATTGAAATCATCTTCGTAAATACAGTTCTCTCCAAACTCTAGCAATGCTCCAAATTGAGCTCCTGACAACAAAATTGGGCTTTCTGCAGATATGGTTAATCTATAAAAAATAACAACGTGATTCAGGAATAGTTTGTTTTTGAACACACTCGCTACAATCTGGTAAGATCTATTAAAGAAACACCGTCCAATGATCAATACCAATTTAAAAATAAAGGAAAAATCATTTCCTGTAAAAAGCAAGCTTGAAATTATACATGGTCAGCTCGATTTTCGATCTAAATAGGAAAACACTCGAAGTGTTACTGACAATAAAGAAAATATCATTATAAGAAAACAACTAGAAAAAATAACTTTGAATTTATTTTTTGCAGAATATGTCACTAAATCCAAATTTGATGGAATTTTTCTCATCAGTATATCAGTCTGAAATTAGGAATTCTAGAAAGGAAAACAAGATTATCATAATGAGCCTTTGAAGTTATCGATGGATGTCACAATTGATATGTTAGCATGGGCATCCAAACCGATGAATCAAGATGGAAATGTTATATATCACTGAAATTCATTCGAAGATAAAGAGACAAAGAATTGTGCAGGGTGCCGCTTAAAATAGCAAGGAAGCTAGGAAATCAAAGATGCAGGTAGGTTAAGACCTTTCATTCGCTTTTCAACTTTAGATGCCTATGTTTCAGAAACAATTAGAGCAACGCGAAAAATATTGATGCCGTTAATTGATAGTCACGGTACACAATCTAAATATAACTTTTGCATGTCAGTTCTCCTTTAAAGCCGCAAACATTGAATCAAATCTACTTCTAAACTAATACCATTAAGAATCTTCTACGCCTTTCCTTTGGATCTTGGGTTTGTCTGTGGCTGAAAAAAGTTACTCTGTTTCTCAGAAAAAATGAGTCACGGTTACTCCCTTTCTGGCTGAAAAAATTTAAGCAACATCATTGTACACAAAAGATTTCGAATTGTACTTAATGTGTTTCGTACAATCTCCAGTAAGCAATTAAAACTTTCTCACCCAAGATGGATATTTCCGAAAGCCAACCATTTGACTCCAAACGCTTTCCTCCAGACACCCTTCATATACAACTTGCCCACTACATCAGATGTTCCTAGTTCGTGAGTGATCATACCACCAACATGCAAGAAATTTTCAACTTTAAATCCATCGGCATAAACATCGCCAGATTTAACAGGAAATTTCACTTCAGCAACAAATCCGAACTCAGCTAAGCTTTTGTTAAACTGAAATCATACGTGCAAAAACCATCAATATTAATGAAAATAAAGGGTGGCAAGTCTTCAAATAATTAAGCAATAGGCAGGGAATTTCTTTCATTCATCGAAAACATTGCCCTACTTTTTTTTCTCGCCATATCAACTCGTTAGAAATATTCAAAAGTTACTAGTCAATGACGTCACTAAATGGCTTTACGAATATCTAAATAGCCTAATATTCCTGCCCCTTCGTCATTCTTACCTACTTATCAAAGAACTAGCTGCCTAGTTAAAAATATCTACAAACTGTACACATTATTCTTCAGAATGCCCAAGATAGATTAAGTATAAAACTATTACATTTGCAAGCCAAAAGTTAGTTGCGCCTTTAGGAAGTCAAAAGAACTTGACTTATTAAACATTAGTCAATAACCAAAGAGATAGTGAAAAACGCTGCCCTGTAGTAAAAAACAATTGAAGAAACAGGCTTTTCAACTTGCAAACGGCCTCTCTTACCTTGAGTATTAAATCAAGTCTTGAAAACGAGACTGTGTCTGTCAGGCGTATGTTCCTGAATCCTGCAGAGATTGTTACTTGTCCAATTGCTGGCATAGCAGCTGAAATCCGAAACAAGGCGTCTGGGCCAAGGATTTTTTTTGTCACTCTACAAAACGAGCTGCCACCACAATCCTTTGGTAATTTAACCTAAAAAATATTTAAGTAGGGTAATTCCGTGAATTCCAAGTGACAGTGTTCTAATTTCATATCTACTCTTCTAGAGGTTTCGAGAACTTGTTTTGACATTTCTCTGATATGTAAGGCTCTGCAACTTCTAACATCAAAATGAAGCTATTCTGCCCAAAATGAACGAATTCGTAAAAGTAAAGAAAAAAATCTCTTTTTAGCCCTTCGGATGATGTGAGTTGAGAATAATGGCTTATGTTTTTTCTAAACGCTGTTCATTTGAAGAGGTATACAAGATGGAAAACGTCAACCTCTATGCATTTTTCTTTAAATGTAGTGTTACACAAAAACATTAAATAGTCATATAAAAATACTTGAAGATGATGATCCAGTTTATAGCGAGTTGATTATTATCAATAAAACTCGCAATGGCTTAGGCATTTTTTCCATTGAATCCCCCATAAATAAGAACTTTTTCATACTGAAAGGCAAAATTGTAGTTTCCGGTACAAGGCTGTCTACTTTATTGTCATAATTTAAGTAGACGAGATTCGCTGTTTCTAAAATAAGAACCAAATACTTTCATCCAATCCAAATTTAAAGAATTTCTAGCAACAAGAAAAAACAGACCTGACCAACGACAAGAAGACCTTTTGGAATGGCATTGGTCATGTAGTTGAGAGGATCCTTTGTAAAAGCCGTTGCATGCTTTGATACCATGAAAGGGTCCATAGGATTGAGCATAATACCAACCTGAAAAATACCATTAGACATGAAAATTTTTTAAGAAACTTTTTTGAACAAATAAATCAACTGCAAGAGATTTACTAAAGGGACTAAATATATTGAACAGTAAATTTAAAGAATACTGACCAGTGTACTTAAAAACGTGATCGAGAGAAAACTTGATCGGGTATGGTAGCATATTAAAAAAAGGAATGTGATTAAATTTATCAAAAAAATATTACCGAAATATCGACCCCAATATTGTCGAAAAATCCACCATCTGGAAGCCTCTTGCCATTGATTTTGCCAATGGCAGCACCAAATGACTCGCCATCAAAGGCAAAGCCAATAGCAAAGATCCATCGGGTGCCCTTCAAACTTGCGATTATCTCAAGGTGAACTGGAATGCCCTCGATGTATTTCGTAGCCGTGAATCGGAATGGCGTTAATGTATCCAGCCATCCAGGCAGAAAATCATAGCCAATAGAGCAAGGACCGAATTCAAAATCCCATACTTTGATGGCTCTAAAGGTTTAAAGTAAGATGTTACAAAATATACATGCATTTGAAACCTTAATATTGAATTTCATATAAAATCAACCTTCGGGTAATCTGTAGCAAGGCGTACTGAAGGCTCTTTGATTAAAGAGAAACCAAATGAAATGATTATAATGATATAGTTTAAAAACCCAATTTTTAACTCGATAAAAATTAACTGTAATTGAACATATGATAATAAATAAATCTCTTATAAAATTGCTCTTTCTAATAATTTGGTTTTTACATCCTTTGTAAAATTAACGATAGTCAAAAGATTATTTGAATGTTATAGTTTTAACAGTTTTCAGCTTATTTTAAAAGATTTTTGTAAAAGTGCCTCACTGTGAACACGTAATCGTTTTTAACTACTGCATGAAATGTGTTAAAATAAATAATATAAACTAGAAAAATTGCTTCTCCATCACTGACCTCAAAGCATTCTCTATGAGACTTGGTACATTTGTAATTCCAAGAAAATGGAAGACATGTTGAATCTTCATTTTTGCAGTTTCTCCAGTCATGTGAACAAGCTTTTCACGACGAAATATCTTCGACTTAAAAATTGTTGGTGAAAATCTGTAATATTCCCCTTTGGCCATAAAGCTGCTTGTAGCTCCTTCCGTGTTGTAAGTCATGCTGAAAAAAGGAAATAATATCAGCTTGAAGGAATCAGCACCCATTAGTTGCAAATGCAGTTACTTTACCCAAGTACCGAGCTGCAATTCCAGAAGCGAAGGTTTGGCGTCTTGTCACGTTTTTTGCCGGTGTAATATGCGTTTTGGTACCCTATGCAAAAGTGTAACATTGTGAAACGCAATGTGTTTCAAAACCTGTGATTTCATCGTAGTGCGATGTTATTTGTATTTGTTTCTACCTAGCACCCGAAGGTAGTTTTGAAGGACACTGAGAAGCTTATGCTTATCGAGTAGTGTCATGGTCCTTCCTCTCGATGTGACCAAACCTCGTGATTCCTACGCCTGGAATTACAGAAAGCTGGTGACTCTCCACACTCTGGTCGAAAGTTAGGTCATGCCAGGGACTCGAACCACGGACCCTTGGGTCTGTAGTCAACGCCATTCGTTCGTGTACCAGGACGGACCGTTTTGCATGCTAATTTCCACCATTCGTTTTGGTACCCTATTGTTTAAATGCTTGGGTACGTTTTTGCATAACTAAAATGGTCATGCATTGTGTACCTGGACCGAAATGCATACGGTTACCGAAACGCATTTGACACCGGCATTTTTGCTACAGTCAAGTTTGAATTAGCGGTCAATCTAGGGCCTGGTGGCCATTTTGAAGGGACAGCTTTTTGCAGAGAAAAACGTTGAATTTTTTTATGTTCTGCCAGATTGTTAACTGGTAAAAAAAGAGCGTTCTTCTATCGATTTCTCATTCGAGAGCCATCCTGTTAGGCTTGTGAACTGAATTTTCAACAAGAAATAGGTGTTACTTATGAAACACTACGAGACGAAATAGAAACTTACGAGACATTACGAGACGAAATAGAAACTTACGAGACGTTACGAAATTCCATATTTTGGCCGGCATTGAAATAGATCCTTGTGTCAAGTCCAAAATCATACTCGAGTGTATCATATGGTGCTGTATTCTTGACTCTAACAGAAAATCCAGTTACGGGCCTATTTTCATCAGCAGGTTTCTCATAGCCTGGAAAAGGCACAGCCCTTCTGTATGAAGGGATGAGGTTGTCTGCAATCTCTTTGATTGTGATAGCTGGTTCTGGGTCGAAACAATACTTGAAAGAAAGCATAAATCTTTGTAAACATTTTTAGAGATTTTTTCAAATAAAATGGAAATTTCAATAGCTTCGAGAAGCCATATAAGCGACAGGATACAAAAAGAGATCGAAGGTGATTCAACAAATAGTCCGCCCACTTTCTTGCCTGCAGGGATTTTTTGTATGAAAATTAGTCGAAAAAGAATATGCTAGAGAATAAAACTAAGAACTCTATGATACATAAGAACGGATAGGAAAGTTATTACTATATCTTATCCAAATAGCATTCGACTTATCTGCGTTTTACAAGGGACGACTTTGGCTGGAGATAGAGGCAACAAAACGTTTGCATTTAGCATTTTCACTGTCAATCGTGCTTACACATTTATGGACCACACATGTCCATGCACTTTTTAATTTACAATAATTATGATTCCACTTTTGTAACCTGCTTCGAAAATCAATACTGCATTTCTGCTGTAAATGTTAATATTTCAAAAATAATAAGTCCATAAAAACAAATAAAAATTGGTAAGGGATGGTGGATGACAGCAGACAAATTATGCAGTGGATCAATAAGAAATTCATTAAAAGTTACCCTGATTTCCTGACCCTTATTCTCCAATTTGAAGTTGAAATAACCATTCTTAAAATTCTGCATTTTAAATGCCAATTTTTGATAGACTTCATCGGGAACCCTTTCATTTGACGGTGACACAAGGCGATATTTTTTATCAACACCACACTCATGTCCCATGTACGAGTGTGGAAAGACTGGAGAAACTGGTGACAGTGTTGGCACGAACTCTAAAAAAGAATCATTCAAGATTAACAAAATCTAAAAAATACCACAAAGAACAAAAACTGAAAGGCAAATTTTGCAAAACATGTTACATACAAGCACAAGTATGTTGCACAGGCAATAATGATGTTGAGATCTTCCCTCTGTTTAAAGTTTACATAAGTTCATCTTGAAATAATGATTAAGGCGAAAAATCCATTTCAAAAAATTCGCCACAATATTTTGCTTCAACGGCAAATGCTCAATATAATTGATTATCACATTACAATAGAATTCAGGGCAAGAAGAGGGAAAACGAGCTGGAAACAATGGTTGAAACATTAATGTACGAAATGTAAATATATCTTTATTTAAATAGGACATACGGATGCAGTTGCTTGATGGGCATGGCTGACTGTCTGTAGCAGATCCAGGGCACTCCTCTCCGCCGTTCTGAGGGGCAGGGTTGGTACAAGCACGTGATCGAGATTGTTCTCCTTTCATACAGTACTGTGAGCTACATTGGCCCCATGAAGACCACGGGGTCCAACTGCCATTGACAGCATCTACAAAGGTTGTTGAAGCGCAAGTTAGAGTAAGAATACATGCCAAGCCTAACCTGATTGCATCTCATTATTTAAAGTAGCTTACTGCAATCTGTGTATTTAGTAATATATTTTCCGAAAATATGTTTAGCACAGAACGACATAGAGAAATTTCACACGGTCCAAGATCAAATTACATTGTGCATGAAGCTCTTTGTAATTCCACATATACACAGTTGTATGAATGTTAGCGGTATTAGAGGCTTCAAAAGAATCTTTACAAGAGCATTAGCATGTACTTCTATGGACAAAATGTTGAGCTATAATTCAATCTGCAGAAAAGCATGTATGTGTAAAAACATAACAAACATGATGCAAAAAAGGAACTTTCGATACCACAAAACATGTATGTTTTCAGATATATTTGACGATTTTTTAACATAAATTTTACAAAATGTAATCTATTGAACTGCAAATTCATGAAAAAAATTTCAACTGTGGCAAGAAAACTGTAAGTTAGAAGCAGACTAGGCAATGATATCAAATGTCCAAAATATTATCTGAATGAAAATACGACTCTTTGACAAAAAATAAACATTTATAATTTCGTTTTTGGAAATTTCATTTGCTACTGAAAAAATTCCGCAAAACTAAACAAATCTCCAATGAGAAGTTTAGAGCTGTACTGGAATAATTGAATACTATTGATTAAAGGAAAACCAAGATCTAGCTAAGAAAGAAAGAAAGTTGAATGGAGATGTTTTGATAGAACATTCTATTGTTACAAAGGGTCAAAATTACAAGATATGCATTTGTTTATAACTTTGCAGAGAGTATTTTCGTTTGCCAGATAAGTGTAGATAAATTTTCTACAAGAAAATAAGCTTCAAATTTAGTATCCATAAGCATCATACATTGAGGGAAAAAGATAGGAAATCCATTTAAAAACTAAACTCTCTAACTCACTTATGCAATCTCTTAGTTTGCATGACTGTTCCACTGTAAATGCACCAGTGCAATTCTTTGCCCCATCACCCTTTGGTTCAGGATTGTTGCAGTATCGATAACGTGTTTTCTTTCCGGTTCCACATGGTCTAGAACATTCAGACCAAGTAGACCATTCATTAAAGCCACCGTCCCCTGAAAGCAAGCACGTCAAATTTTGTATAAAAACTTATATATCGGGCAGCATTTACTAGAAGACCCAGATTGTGCAAAAAACTATAATGGCGACATGTTTCGGATTATTGGTAAAGCCCGATTGTCGTTCCACCTAGCAGTTCTAAGATTTATCTAGATAAGAACGAAAAAACCGCTACTGTGTAGACAAAAGGAGTTCGTTTTCACCTTAGGACTCCATTGGTAACATTCTCAATAGGCAAGCGGCACTGATTGGTCAACCTATACAGTCATGTGCTCGTGTTTCTGAATGGCCTATTTCGATCCACAACTGGGTATATATATTTCTTAGCGTAGAGTTTTCGATCTATGTTCTGACGTTTTAAACTCTGAAGAGTGTCAGACGAAAAGCTTTAGTTTACTAAATGTTTGCTTTTTTCAAAGCCATTTAAAAACTTATATATATATATGTGCTAGAAAATACTAAATTCTATATGGAAATTCTACAAATACAATACCAGGTAAAGATGAAAACTGGTCTTAAAACTAAACTTGGTCAGTTTTTTTTCTGCCTTTCATTCAATAGTGCTTTAGAGAAACCTGATTCCGAGACTTACTTGGACACTTGTTGAAACAGGACATCACTTTTTCCTCCCTAGTGCCCAGGCAGTCGTCGCCTCCATTCATTGGTGGTGGTGAATTGCATTGTCTCGTTCTGGTTATAACCTGGCCTCCGTTTTGCGAGCACCTTTGTAGACAAATCGACCACTGAGACCATTCTCCAAAACCTCCGTCGACTCTTCCATCTGCAAAAGTTATTACATGTTTTATCTATAAACAGGCTAAAATGTGCCACTCAATATTTAACATTTTAGATCTATAGATGCAGTATATACTTGAAGGAGGTATGTATCTGGGAGATAGGTTTCCAAGAAACTTGGATAAATCATAGAAAAGTACGGGGAATTTATTTGAAACAATGATAAGATTGTAACGAAAGCAATATTATAAAACACCAACCTGGACATTTCGCTAAACATTCAAGCTTAGATTCTTCATTCACCCCGGTGCAAAGAGCGCCTCCGTTGAACGGCGAAGGATTGTTGCATTTTCGTGTTCTGTTCACGACAGAGCCACCGCAGGGTCTCTCGCATGTGCTCCATTGACTCCAATCACCCCAGCCTCCATCGACTAAGACAAGAAATATTCACCTTTGATGAGATCAGACTTTTTGTAGCTTCTTATTTTACTCACTGGAGAAATAAGATGCAAAATAAAGAGGTCACATTTTCAGAAGTGAATAAACTTACTTGAGCCAGGTTCACTTTCGGCATTGTCACCTTGGCAATAATTACCATCCGAGCTTGGTGCTGGACTAGTACAAGTCTTGGTCCGAATACGCTGATTGCCATCGCAAAGACCCTTTCCCCAGCCGCTCCATTCTGACCATGGACTCCAAGAGCCGTCAACTAAAATGAAATTAATATTTTCTTTATCAAGCTAGTATTGGGTTCTAATAAAAAACGATAATGTGGGAAGAGTGAGAAAGATCGACAGCTTCTTCGTTTCTAGATGTCTAAAAGTGTAGATCTTTATCAAATTTTCTACAATGGCTTATCCATTACCAACCATTTTACACCTTTGATTAGGCAGCCATTTCTAGCTCAATTTGCTTGAATTCTATAACTTATCTGACAGGCAATTAGCCACCAGGAATACTGGAAAATCTCCCCTTCTACTTCTGTTTTTGAAGCTACAGCCTTGTAATTTATGTTTCAAAGTACTGCTAAATCTGACAGTAGAATTGATAAAAATCTAAACAAAATTAGTAAATTTAAACAATATTATAGTTCCTCGTTGTCTTATTTTGTCTTATTAAGTAAATAGAACTTGTACAGAATGTTCTAGCATATGACGATTCAAATCCCTACATTTAAAGTTCTGAACAGGAAGATACGGGTCTTAACAATTACAGATATTTAATTTAGAAGCTGTGAATTAGCGACGCGTCATGCTAATGCTTTTGTAAATATAGATAATTAAAACTGCCCCTGGACAAGCAAAACGAAAAGGCTTTCAGACACAAATAAACACAGGAACAGTATTTGAAGAAGATAATCACAAAGGTAAACATAAATGAATTGCAAATGAAGTGCATGTTTATCCATCCTCTAAGACTGCATAAAGAAACAAATCAAATGTACCTGCTTTCTTCCGAGTGTATCCACTTAATTTATTGATCTAATAAATCACAACAAACAATGACTCGGGCAACTGCAGTAAAACAATAGTTCATAGCATAGGAGGGTCTCTAGTTCTCAAACACATTTCTGGGATATGAAGAAACAGCTTTTTCGATCAGGATTCTTCAAAATCCTTGACCAATAAGGGTTATAACCAGATAGGCTTTAGGGGTGCATTCCAATAGGACTTAATACTTTTTATTCTTTTTCAAGAAATAAAAGGTGAATAACATATTTCTAAACGGAAAGTCGACATTTAGCTTTTAAAGTATGTCGCTGTGGCCAAAGTCTCTTCGAAACAAAACATCCCCTTTCACCTCTGAATTGTATTTAAGGGCATGAAAGTAACATTCAATGGGCAAAGATTTAGGAATCAAGGCTGAGAGTACAGAAAAGCTGAATTATTTTGAGAGTGTCGTTGTAAGTCAGATTTTAAGAATTGATATAGAGCATAAAGGACTCATTTTGGCGACAAATGTGCCTCGTATGCACTCTTTCAGGAAAGTGAGGTACCTCTTTGTGCCGCTCAACCTACAAATTGCTATTAGCCACCGAAAATATTATAGATTTTACCGTAGAATATGCTTGACAGGCAATGTTATGCAGGGTTTTAAAAGAGACAAGAAATAGCAGAAGAGGGGCTAAGAACGAAATGATACGTCAACAGGGTTCAGCTAACTTATAATACCTATCATAAATTGAAAGGTCCGTTTAGGGAATAGGGTGCCTCAAGCCACGGGATCGTTTTCTACGAGCCTTCTGGCACAAATGCTACAAGGTCCAAAGAGACATGATCAAATTGAAATCTGATCATTTCGAAATATGATACACAACCTTGCTGAGATTTATTGTAAGCAGTAGATAGCAAAACCTCATGACGGTACTTTTGAAACTTTTGAAACTACATGATTTGTTTTCGATAAAAAACTATACAATATATTGCATAATTTCAATTAGACCTGAAATCAATTAATTTTATTCCTCATGTTTTTCTAGATTTTGCAGAAAAGCCTAACCTCCACTCTAATTGTTGTCAAAAGCTGAAGTCACCTATGAATTACCTATGCGCCACCTATGAAGTAACCCCAGTAAAATTACAGAAAAATATCTTCCTCGAGGATGTAAGCATGCTATTTGTTCTTAATTCTATGCACTAAAGCTTGCAGATTCCTGTTCTGTTTAATTATTCTGACTAGCATTGGCTAAAGAGTTGACCGTTTCTAGAATTGCAGATTCCTTACGATGTAACGCACAATATTCATGGCATTCAAATCTTGAGAAGCATTTGCACTTGTTATTTAAAAACCACAATACTTGAAAGACAAAATGTTCCGTTCAAAGTAAATTGATCTAAAGCTAGTTCTAACACAGTTTCATGCTATTTCTGAAATGAAGAACCGTACATTTTTGCAGTCAGCTACTTATAAAATGACGCTATCTAAAATTCAGGGTAAAATAGTGCCTAGGAGAATGTACAAGGCAGCGGAGAAGTTTGCAACAAAGTATCTTTTATTCAAAGTTCCCACTATAAATATACAATAACACTCTGTGTGGTTAGCTGGATTACTGTTTAACGTAACAGTTGATTGCCTGGGTCATTATAAAATTCATTTGTGCAGCTGAAGCAAGACTTTTGTTATATTGCGTTGGATATACTTGAAACTTCTGAGTGCCATTACCGTTGCATATTTCTGTATAAACAGCGGTGATTAATCTACTCTGAAAATACATTAGTCGTATCTTTAGAAACTAACGATTAACCATTGCTCGGAGAAGGACCAACGAACAAGAGCCAATAAAGCGATCTACCTTTTTCTGGTTTTCCCGGCTCTGCAATGATGCTAGGTAGAAAGAAGGCAAACGGTTCCATTCGACCCTTTCCTTATATCAAATTAATTTCAACACTGCATCCCAAATTATTCATATCATTTTACACACTTTGTTCCATTTTCATTTGATTTGATTTAAAATATTTATACATGTTGAAAAGTTTGAGAATAGCCTGTCTTTTTATCTGAATAGTTAAACAAATCTACGTTACAAAAAGAAAGTTAGCTACAAAAACACCTGTTGATACTGATATTATGTTTGTATATAAAACTTAAGAAGAAATGATTACCAAATTTTACTTAATACTGTCTATAGGCAAAAGGCAATGATTCATATAAACTGAAGCTTAATAAAACAATTTATAAATGGAAGCTGCTTATAGAGAGTGCAAACGTAGCTCTATCTGTCTTTCTCAAAGGGTGTATCGTCTATAGCAGAAAAATTTCTGGCCTTTTTTGTTTTGAGTAAAAATCCGTCGAGCATAAATTCGATTCACTATTATTGAAGCATCTAGTGACTATCGACGACAAGTAATCGGGAGCCAGCGAATTTAAGGATTTGAGTATTGCTGATTCTTTGAAAACGGCTAGTCAACTAGAAACCATCTAAGAACGATTTGCCTAAAAATACTAAAGTTTTCACTCCATCAAGATCGAGAAGTGGTGAATCTTAATATTTTGTTCCTGTTTCTCCTTCCGATATTTCGCAATAGACCCTATATCTGAAAAATCTATAGTCTTTCGTTTATCTTTTCATTTTCTGAGCACGGTTACACACTCTTAATAATATCAAAGTTTTATAGAGATCATTAAGCTATATAATCTGCTTGGGTCATCTTAAAACAGTCAGTTAGCCTGGTCATCTCTTAGATACTTTATAGCTTCCCTTCCAGCGTTAAGTTGTAGTTGGCGCTTGGCCAAACGAGACTAACTACATCTTGCTTCCTCTAGCGGTTCAATAGCAGAGCATGTTTTCATGCATATCAAGCGTTTTAATCCTCACATTCACTCAAATGGGGTCCTGTATGCTGAGATGAAATGTTAGTATTTTTATTTCATCACCTATTTTGGGTTGAAAATTTCATTTGTGGGTACTTTGCGTTGTTCCTGAGAAAATCAGGAACAGACTGACTGTAAAAAAGATAACATATGTACGTTGGTAGCCTTAGATTTTAATGCGAAGCAAAGACATCAACGTTTCTGAACACATATTAGCTAGCGTTTTTGCTAGGCAATTTGGTTCTTGGACCGTTTGCCTCGAAGAAGCATCCCATGTTTGAAAAATGCATCTAACAAGCAAACTAAAAGACACTCCAATACCGCGAAAAATTACTCTCCTAGATCTACATCATAACTGGCGCGCTGGATGTTTGATAATAATAAAAAAAGCTGTAGAACGTTCAATCATTAAATACCCAATATCACGATAAAAAGACCAGAGGGACCGCAATCCGCTGGAAAGAGCTGCCAATAATCTTTATAGAAAAAGACCAATGTTACCTCACGTCGAAGGAGACGTGTTCAAAGTGCAGCCTAAAAAGGTTTTGGGACACTTCCAGTGACAAAAAAAGATAAAAAAGAAGTTTTGAAAGACACAGGGTAGAAGTAAACTTGATAGCTTCATAAAGGCTTTCTATGTACAAAAGAACACATCATACCATCTTTATTTGCCACTTTAAGAAAGAAACAAAGCGAGCGATGTTATAAAGAAACTAAGCAATTAAATGATGACAACCGACAATGAAGGTTCTCTTCATGCACTCAAAGATTTTGAGAAAGCAAAACAGTACAAGTATAAAGCGATGCTAAAAGTGAATAAAGATACAGCGTTGCTAGAGAAAACGATAAGTTTTTCTATAGTTATGTTTGATTTGGACAGTTGATGAAATTATTCTGCTTACATACCAATGAACCGAGGTCAAACACTTACCAGCTGACTGTGCCCTGTAACAAAGCAATGAAAGAACAAGGACAAAAAATTGTCCTTGGATCATGACGATGAAGTATTCTTCTAAGCTGCAACAACCTGACTGGTGTTGTCAGCTTCTGGAAAAATATGAATGGTTTAGGGAGAAGACAGGAGATATAGTTTATAGAATAACCATCAGATTTTCATTACATTACGTTTGATCACCTGAAAAATCTTTTCACAGCTGCTTTTGTTTGCTTACCAAATAGTATTAGCAAACTATAATTTGCTGACAACCAGCTGGTTCAAAATGCATCAGTAAAACAAATCGCCAAAGCAAAAGAAAAATATGAATATGAGCCTGTCATTGATTTGAAACCATTTCAAAGGGACAGCTTCTAACAAGAGCTAATAGCAACTTACATATAAGTCACACTTTAAAAAATAGAACAGTAGCCAGAAAATGGAACATCTTCCAATTTGGAACATTTTAAGAAAATAACAAATCTTTCCACAAATTTTATAGTTTCTAATCGCATTACCCCATTTCAGATACACAAGTTTATATACAAAACTGACCATAGTTTGTCTTGGAAATAGTTTTCAGATCTTCTGATACATAAAACCTTAAATGTCATAACCTTTTGCAAACGTTTCTGCATCTCACTACAAAGTGAATTTTGCAACTTTCAATTTCTTAAAGATGGTCGTAGAGAATAACTCTGGTAAAGAAAGAAGAACGAGCATGACTTGATACAACAGCGGGCTTCCAACGATTCTGCAGATAAATTCATTCTCCTCCAAACCACGATGGAAAGAATATTCCAATTTAGCCACGCTGGTAGGGAGCCAATGTATGAAATAAATACTACACGATTAAAGAGACACTTCAAGGAATAGAACCAAAAAATGAAAAAAGGCCATATCATTCTCCATAGCATCACTAGAAAATGACTGCATAAGCGAAATGTTATGTCTTATTTCCATGAATGTCATTATCTTATTCCTTTTGCCCAAGGTTATACAGATATAAATGTATCAATTAAGAAAATAAAACATACGATAATACCTTAATACCTTGCAAAAGCGAAAAAGAGTATGTTTGGACATCTGCACTAGGGACAACGCCAAGATCACCAAAAACGTAAAGAAAAATTTAATTTGCACAAAAAATTCGATGTTATGATATTGACAGCAAATAAGACTGTGAAATCGGTAATTTTTTCAATTTTCTGGGGGGATACTGATGGTAGAGTGTAGAGGATCAAAAATTTTCTTTATTTGAAAAAACAACAGACTTTTTAAGCCTAAGTAATGATCAATGAAACTAACCAACTGATTATTTTATAATTGTTGACCAATTAGTTCATGAGCTGTAATAATTATCTTTAGGTGAAACTTTTGGATTTAAATTCAAGGACCTAAAACATTTCGTAGAAAAGTGACTAGCAGCCTACCAGACCAAAACTTTTCTTTCTTAATAAGCCGTATTTGTTAATCCCAGGCAATGAATGAACAAAAATCAAAATTTGCACCATAATGCATTAACGTCAGACAAAAGAAATCAGGCAGCTCCGCAAACAAATATGGCTATGACTCTGTTTCATATTCAGAACGTTTACTGCTTGCAAAAACAAAGTAAACAACCACTCAACGGTCTCTATGAAAATAAACGAAAACTGGAGTTGGGCATGAGCCAAGCATTATTGCAAAGATGAACAAGCTCCACTCCTGCAGTCGAAAAGAATGTACTTCGAACATAGCACTGTTGAGCTGCTCAATGAAAGAAAGAAGGGGGATAACCCACAAATTAGAAGACCTTTGCGTGTCTATCTACCCAGCAAGAAAATGAAATAAGATCTTTGACTGTGTCTGCGTCGATTTAATGAAACATCTGGCATATTTCAGGCAATTAAAGCGTGCAATCAACTAATAGTAAAAATATTTTGTTCATTTAAATATTGTTAGAACACGTTTCAGTTGAACTGAGATGAAAATCTTAAGAAGCAAGCTAACAAATTATTTCTCAACTACAGGCAAGGTATTCTGCATTGAGTTTACATGTTTGTGAAAAAAATTAAAAATATAATACGGTGTATTTTCAAGATAAAACAATAAATTCGTTTAATGTGTTCAATTTTCTAGATTATTCTCAAAAAACTAATTTGGTTGTTTCCTCACTAAAATCGGGATTTAAAAAATACTTATCTTCAACATTTACTTTAAATAATCTAATCAAATACGCAACCAATTCACTATATTTTGATATCTTACTCCTTTATTCAAATCATCTTCAAATTAAACAAAATAGTCCATTTTGGACAAATACCTAGAATTGACATTATTTTCTACTCAAAGTATTTAATTCAGTCAAATTCAATGAAGTCAAATTACCAGTAGTAGTTATCTGAGAATAAAATACTCGCCAAAAAGAAGAAAGAATAACTTAATGGATAAATCTTAATGAAGATATCATTAATAGCTAAAATTCTGATTGATATTTGTACTATAAAGTCTTCCCAAAAAGTTTCAACTGATAAATAATGATTCGTCCAAAGAAATCAGTACTAGTGTTAAAGTTCAGTTTGAATGAACTAGTCAAGACAGTTGAAGGAACAGGAAATATCTGGTGCAGAAATTAAGGAACTGTGGTTTGTATTAAAAATTTATGATCTTTAAACAATTTAAAGACAAACATTTAGATCCTTAGAAAATTTCAAAGTTAATTAAGATACAGAACATCAAAATGAATTGCTGGAGCTAAAGAATATAAAGAATCAAATTTTTTGCCACTATCTGAAGTTTTTTCTGAAAAGTGTCAGACAAAATATATATTGTGATACTTTGCTTGATAAAACTGCTAATCAGTTATCAACAGTAATTTTAGAGAATCGAGTGACTTGCATACAGTTTGAAAAAAATGAAAATGAATGAACAACAAATCAATAATGAAAAGATACTTGCATTTGGTTGATATCTTCAGGATAAAAGTTAAAAGTTGTCACTTTCCCGTCTTCAGATTGCATTTCAAGCTCACACTCTTTTCCAGCAAACCCTCCCTGGAACTGAATTTGTATTTCATTGATCAGAACAGGACAGCTGGATTGAAAGCCAATGACTTGCTGCTGACCCTGTCAGAACAAAGAAAATTATCAATGAATTAAAATCTATTTATGGGAATTATAAACTCCCTATCATTGCTTTTCACCCAATGGACTAGGACAGCAAATTTTTGTATATATCACAAAGTACCAGCTTAGGCCTCTTCAAGGCTGATCTGCGTCGAAATCGCTGATGCAGGCATCAAGGCATGCGCAGTTATGATTTTTGATTTCGCAGCAAATTCGCAAGAAAGTAGAAAAGAGTTTGACTTTTTCTCTGCAAAATATTTTGCAGCACCTAATAACCATTCAAAGCATGGTATATTTGTTTGATTTGTAAAAAAACAATCTTGGAACATTTGTCATGCATGCAGTTCTGAAAATGGGCACCTTAAAGTTGAGTTTTGGGGGAAATTATTATATAATTTTGCAGCAAATTTGCAGTCTCGTGGAAATCAAAGACAATTTCGAAGGGAATTTGCAGCGAATTCGGTGCAAAATTCGCATTCGTGGAAATCAGCCTTTATGCTGTTTTTCCTTTCAGCTCATTCTATCACATTCTCACACTACAGCACAGGCACCCTCAGAGATATTTTGGAAAAATATTATTCCTGAAAACTTAAATGCAAGCTTTGTTCTACTTTCTTCAAATTCTAGACCATCTAGTACTACTTTTATCAACATCTCAAAGATCTGCCAACCTAAACTGACAACAGCATCTCAAGCTTAAAACGACCCCTTGCCCAAATTTGTTTTTAAGAAGTAAAAAACTATTTCAATGGAATGCAATAAAAAGGTAGTTTTTAGACAGATACCATATAAGTACTTGAAAACTTTACCTGGTCTGAATTCCAACAAGTATCTTCCTTGCCATCAAACATAAACTTTTTACCATACTGCTTTACATTCTTGTTTAATACTGAGCTGACTCTAAGATTGAAAAGAGCAGAAGATTGATAGAGGCATTTTTGAAAAAGTGGATTTCCAAAGTGCTTTATTAACTGTCTTTGCAAATAAATAATTTCTTACAGTCATCATACTGCATATTCTACCTCTGTCAAAAACTTGTTTAGCTCTAGCCTATATCATGTCCTGCAAATAAAATTTTCCTGAAGAAGCAAATATGACAGCACTCACATGGATATTTCCACTCAGTTACTCTTTCAAGCAGGTATTGATTGATCATCAAAATCAAGAGCGATGATGATGATCTTATAAATGGCTCCAGATACACTATTATCTCAGCTCGAACCAACTTAAATGGCATCTCAAAACATTTTCCTTGAGCTCTTCATTGTTTAACTCCATATAAAAATATACAAAATGTAGTAAGAAAAGAGAAAAAATAAAGTTTGGCACTTGATATGCTAGCAGTGCACTGAAAGGGGCTGGCAAGAGGTTGTCAGGGGGCCTTAGGTATATCTGAAACAAGGAACTTCCCTGTGAGCAAAGCAAGCAGACAATTTTCTTGACCTCGCCCTTTAGATTAGCTTAAAATACATTTCAGAAAGTTTCTTCCAGTCATTTTCTTGCAACCATTAAAAAGTTTATGAAATATAAGACATGCTTTTGTTACGTTTGTTTTATTCCAGTCTTAAAATGGAATTCTTTACTTTATGAGGTCCCATAAATATTGGCCTAGTCTTTGGAAATGAAGCACTATTCTTTTCTTCTATTTCTTTAATTTTATATTTTCTTTAAAACACTCTTTTGAAAAAATGGGGGGGGGGGCTGGAGCCCCCAGCCCTGCCTCTGGCACTGCCCATGTGGGTGTGTGATAAAAAGCAAACCTGGGGAGTTTTATGTATGTATGTATGTGTATGTATGTATGTATGTATAATTTTGCCATCAAATAAATTCTAATTTAAAATTTAGAAAAAGAAAAAGATCTAATTACAGATATATAAAATTGACAGATAGACTAAAAACACTCCAGGTTAAAAATGGCAGGGATGGCATTAAAAAGGTCAATACAACCTTGTTTCCATAATGGTCCCTCCAGAGGTGTTATAAAAAAGAAATGAGTTCATGAAAAATAGATTTTGTATCCAAAACTTGGAAAAAAGTAATTAGGGCATATGTGGAGGTGTGCACCTGCCATTGCACGCCAAATATATCCAGGACTGCCCTTTTAATGAAAATTGCCTTTCTTGGCTAACATTTGAGCATTTACAGAACAAATGAAACAAAGTTATATTTATCCGTAATTTGATATTTATAGTTCGGAAATCCCTGGTGCAGAAAAAATACTTTATTGCCTGGCAACATCAGAAGGTGAAAACAAAGTTCGACTATCTTGAAAGTATTTTATCATGATGTGAACATAAAAGAACATGCTGGGCCCAAATTCGTCCGGTGTGTAGTACGGAGATAAATGTGGCATGTTGGTATTTGCTACTTTTTCTTGATTTTCTTGATACGTCCTAGAAAAACATTTATGACATAGAAAGTTTTCAAGAAAATGCACACTCGCACTGGGGGCGGGCAGATCAACATAGATATCTGCTTCCCGCCAAAACAATTTTCACAGACTTTGTGGCATTTGAAGCGATAATAATACAGTCAATAGCCACCCCCATTGAAAAATTGCTTAGAAAACGTTAATATCTGTAAAAAAAAACCTTATTTTCAAATCACTTCCTAATTTTGCAACCAAATCTTCGTCCTTTGATTCACTCGCGGCAGACATTTTGAACCACTTTGTTACGGTTTCAAGTCTCGTTTCCATAGAGAGGCAAAAATGATTATCTTCTTCGTTCATCGTCTGTCGTTTGACAACGATTAACTTTGAGATCTTTGATGATAACAGATAAATTGGCCTATCATTCTAAGGAAAGACAGAAAATGTCGGTGAATTATGCTGCCGGCCTAAGTGACTATGAGCACAAAGGAAAACTTGATTTGAAAGAGGTGAACTGGATAGTTTATTCCTTATGTGTAATGTGTGGTGACTGTTTGATATTTATACTTGTTTAAACAAATATTTTGCATAGGCTCATTCAAGGCCTGTAGCGAAACTCACAGTCTGCACAGAAGAAAAAAGCCTGTGGGTAAGTGTCCATATTAAATAAGACAGCAAAAACTTTTTTGAAAAGCACTCCATTAAAAACATATGCATAATCTTGAAGCTTTATCTGCCTTTTGTTTGTAAGAACTGCATGAAAACCTAGACCAGCCCCTGGATTTTGCTTCTACAGTTAAATGCTCAAGTAAAAGATTTGCTAGATGCTGCTGCAATACACCATCAGGCAATGGCTGCAACAGATGCCTCTATGCCTACAAATCCATTTCCTGTTAGCAAATATGAAATCAAATACCACTTCGTATATGCCCTATAGTTTATTGTTGCTTCTTCAAACCAAGGTTCACTTAATGTCAGGAAGACTCAGTCAGACCACTAAAATATTAAAAACATAATAGTTGAAAACCACATGGCAAACCTTAAAAAAGAAAAAAAAATATTGGAAAAGAGCTTTAAATCCTTTCAAGTTTTCTTCCCCTCTAATAGAAGTAAGTTCTTGAAATGGGCCTTCCTATTAGATTTCAGAAGCTAATGGCTTGGCCAGTCTTGCCTGTTGTTTTTGGATCATAATCGACTGCTGTTTGGAATTCATTGTCACATGTTAAAAACTGTAAAAGAGAAACTTCTTAGAACTTTAATTTGAAGGTTTAGAAAGACTGCTATTAAACTTAGAGAACTGTGCCTAGCATCCCCTATCTATTGTAAAAGCTGTGCACATATTTCAATCAACTGGGCGAGATTCGAATTTTTTGCAAAGGAATATTGATGTATACATATTTTCTATCCACTAAAAAATTTCCTAATGAAATTGGTACTGGCTTTCTCAAATCTTATCTTCTCTTAACTTATCTCAAACAATAACCAGTGAACAAGAATGCTTTAACCTTAATTCTGCTAATCTTTTCAGTACATAAAAATACTATACAAATTTTAAATAATTACTTCTGCAATTTGATAACTCCTGTTTGATACAGTTGCTTTGCAAAATTGATAATAATGATTCAAATTTTAGGAAACCGACAAACCAGATATTTTAAAGGAAAACTTAAAGAAACTGATTGAAATTGTGAAAGAAGCAAAGCATTTAGTTGTTCATACAGGTGCAGGCATTAGCACAGCTTCAGGGATCCCTGATTTCAGAGGCCCTAAGGGTGTTTGGACCTTAGAGGCAAAGGGGATTAAACCTGAGTTCAGTACAAGTTTTGAGGATGCTGTTCCCTCTAAGACTCACATGGCACTGTTTGGACTTGTTCAAGAGGGAATTGTCAAACATGTTATCAGTCAAAATGTTGATGGCTTGCATTTAAGATCTGGAATGCAAAGGTCTGGACTACTTTCTTCATAGTTTATATCATCTTATCAAGAGCAAGGCATTTTATACTTCATTGTCATTGACTTGGGTTTTATTCTCATATCACTAGGAGAACAGAAAATTAATCTGCCATTTTGGGTTACCCATGGTTGTTTTGTGATGATATCATATTACAATGATACATCAATGTTTCTCGTTATAGGTAGAAAATTGCTAATACTTCTGACACTTCTGCTCTGATTGCTTCTCTGACTTATGCCCTTCTGAAGAACTTTTTCTCTAAGTTCTTCTTTCCCCAGACCTTTCATGAATTGTACTTTATCAAATGATTAAAGTCAACTTTTTTTCTAAGAACAAGTGCCCATTTTGCCATCCATAAGAATTCCTTGTTCAAATTCTAAGAAAATATTTGATAGAGCGCTTTTCTGTGTATAAAAGGCAGCTCTTTCTCTCTGTAATTGTAAAACATGTATATTTCAGCAAACTGTGGCAGAAATTGGTTCTTACCCAAAATATGTACCATTGTGTTTGAAATTATCAAATAGAAATGACAGGTTTTAAAATTGATGAAATTCTCCCTCAAGTGTTTGCTTTGGGAATTCCAAAATTCACCCATCTCCATTTCCATGTGCCAAGGCAACTTTTAGTTTGATACCAGCAGGATAGGATGTGCATTTTTTTACCATAATAGGCTTTAGCTATTCTAGGCAAAATTTTATCTTATGTTGAATATATCACCTGTGGCAAAATTTTGTAACTGATTTTTCAGATTACATTGAAATGTGACAAGGTTGGATTTCTAACTATAGTAGAGGAACATACTCCTTCTCCCTTAAAAAATGATTCTGAAATTAAGTTTATAATACTAAATCAAATATTTTTATTAGCTGGCTATATATAACTTTAATATTTTTTATAGAAATAAGCTATCTGAGCTTCATGGCAACATGTTTGAAGAAAAATGTGAAAAATGTGGCCACTCGTACTACAGGGACACCCCAGTACCAACCATGGCACAACAAAGAACTGGCAGTGACTGTAGCTATATTGGAAAAAGAGGAACAAGATGCAGGCAAGTTTACTTCTAAATATTTTCCATGGTTATTTTTTGGTAGAATGATGGCTTTTGGGCCTAAGGTTATATTATTTTAAATTAAATTTCATTTTTAATAATATAATGAAAAATTGTTTTATTTTAAGACAAAAAGTACTTAATTTTTGAAATTCCAGATCATTTGGAGAAAGTGAATTTGATGAAGTACCCTATGCATTAAAATTTATCCCATTTAGCTGTTGAAAACTTGTTGAGAAAAATTTTGAAAACCTTTTGACATTGTTAAAAATTGTTATTAAAATTATCCAAATTTCTTTATGCCAACAGAGGAAAACTGAGAGATACTGTTCTAGATTGGGAAGATAATCTTCCATTCAAAGAGATAATGTGTGCTGAGGAACAATGCAAGTATGTAACAGTCTTTCTTCATAGATTTTTGTCAGATGCTGCATTTGTTACTGATGTTTAATTAATTAACAGTACACTTGTACTGAGGCTTTGCTGAGTAAGGTTTGACCCACACCATACCAAAACCTCAAATACTCTTAGATTAATCAAGGGAATTGAAGACACACACCACCGTGCTCTTGTATTACATTTCAAATCCTCAGGAGGCAAAAAGACTCAAACTAGAGTGGATAAAAGGAAAACTTGGGGAGGCATGGCAATAACAAATAGCAAACAATGAAAAATTCAGCCAAAACAATTTACTCTGATTAAAGTTCATTTGAAAATCATTAAATATTCTAAAACAAGAATAAAATAAAATGGAGGGCAAAAATCTTCCTGAGAAAAAATGCAATGAACATCAGAATGTCAGTCCCCTAATCATCGAGAGCAAGTTGGGCCATTGGTGCATTTTCACAAATTGCTGGTTGACCCTGCAGTTGCAGTTGGAAAATTTCTGCAGTTGGAAAATTTCATTGTTTTTGATATTTTCCTTTCTACCTTTTTCTCTTTCTGCAATATTTCCATCCTAGTTTTTTGCAAATAATGATATGAATCAGCCACCCCTGTAAGTACAAAAAATTACCATACAGTGTGAAAGGTAGCATCAAAAAGAAGATTAAGAAAACAAACAACTCACTATAGTGAACATGTTCCTGAAGACGAAGCAAACCATATTTTTTTCAGTCGCTGAAAAGAGCAAGATTAACTCCTACCTGAGAGACTGTACTTTTTCTTCAACGAAATATTGTTGCCTTCAAACAGTTAAACATTAGGTAGTTGCAAAACTTTCCATGAACAACTAGGACAGAAAGAGACATTGCATGAATTTGTAATATGATGGTTTAAACCATGTTCTATGTTATAACGTAATTTTCTTAAAGAATAGGTATTTTTCTTGCAGGAAAGCAGATGTATCATTGTGTCTTGGAACATCTTTACAAATTAACCCAAGTGGTAACTTACCCATTTTGACCACCAAAAATAAGGGAAAGCTAGTCATATGTAATCTATCAAAAACTAAACATGTGAGTTTCTTTGATATATCACTTCATTCATTCTTTTTGTGATTAATTTTATAATTAGAAAGCACTTGGGACTTCCTGCAGCCTTCATTTTTTAGGCAGCCCCCATCTCTTTACAGACCCATTTCTTCAGTGATTGCTAGTTTTTCAATTTCTATATCCTTGAATTAGTAGATCAGTTGCATTTGCATCTCTGATTTAGCTGCAACTTTGCTACAAATGTTTTCTGGCATCCTGCCTGCAAACCTAGTAATTATAGGCTGTAATGTTAATAAAATAATAATGTTGATACCAGTTCTATGGTGCAACTCTGCATTCCATGTGGTCAATATTAATTATAACGGTAATCTTGTTCATATTCTAGTTTTTATCACCAAGTGTAATTCCGATATTTTGCTCTCAGGATAAAAAAGCTGCTTTGGTTATCCATGGATATGTTGATGACATCATGGAACAACTAATGAAAGGTCTTGGAATCACCATTCCAGCATATGACCCAAAAATATACTTGTCAATGGTATCATTATTTTCCAAGTCAAAACGTGAACATAACGAAATCACTTCTAAGTACGGTGTTATTGAAATGGGTGATAACTGCATTGAGGCAAAACGGCCCAAAATGGAAGACATTGTGGTGAATTCAGCAACTCTTGACATTAAGCTCGAAAATGAAGACAGTTTAGTCAAGAGCTAGCAACCAGTTTCTAGTTGCAAACATATCTTATGGAGTGAAATTTTATTTTCTTGAGGTATACTTGAAATTAGACCTACAGGTAAACCTTGGTGTCTTTTGCCACCTTGAAAAACTGACATAATAGGAACTTGAAATGTTTTTTATCCACGTAAAGTAGCAATATTCATTGTCACATTATGTTTTTTTAACTAATAAGCCATTCAATTGTGATCAATACCTTCGTCTGCCTAGGTTTTATCTTCTTTGAGTGCAGTGGTCATCAGGGATGTAGCTGGTGGAGCTGGGGACTGGGGGTGTATGGGGTGTGAACCCCAAGTCTTCCATATTTTGTTGGAAAATATCCCCGGTTTGTCGGTAAAATCGTCTATCGGTTAATGAAAAAGCACCTTATCTAGATGCCTTCGTCGGTAAATGTTATTATCCTTGACAATCAAATATTTCGTAAGGCATCTCCTTTGTTCTCATGTTTGACCATGTTTTACGGATGTTTAATTCGTTTGGCCGGGCCCTTGCACTTATAATTCAAAGGCCCGTCTACACGATAAAACATCGTCATAAAAAAATTATCCAGCATCATCAAACATTTGTTGTACGATGTTTATAGAGCATAAAACATTATCATACATAATCAAACAATGCCAAACAAATGTATGGAGATGTTTGACAAAAATTCGCGCGAAAACTTTGATGGAATTCAGCAAGCATGGATGATGCAGACATAATATCTGCAATTTCAGCCTCTAGTATAATTTTAGTCTTAACTAATAAAGACGAAGGAAAAAGCTCAAAGTGTGAGAAGGAAGAACCGCAGGATAGGCTGTCAGCTGGATTCTGTGAATCTTGAATGAGTATAATATAAATACGAGGATAAAATTCAGAAACAAAGCAAAACGGCGACGAGAATCCAATGTTGTGAGATAAATTTTCCAAAATAAATCAGGGTCGGGGGCCATGCCCTCCCGCAACTTTTCTGTAGAGCTAAAAAAAATTCAGGCAACGTGGAAAAAATGTAGTATATGATTCTGTAAGTAACTTTGCCTGATATTCTCTTAAATGTGTCCTTAGCTTTACCTTGGTTGCTATGCGTTTACCATAGAAGACATGCATAAAATTGAATATGGGAATTAAATCGAAAAAACGGTCATTGTCTAAATTTTACAACGAGTAACAGCTTGGCTTAGCAAATTGATCGAGAAACCTAGTCCAGAATAACTTGGTGCCAGCACAAATTGACGGAGTTTCGTTTTTTCCATTGCCTAAACTTGGCACACAAGGTCTATTTGTTAACGAAAACTTTTACAGAAACATTACAAAAAGAGAGTAATCAGCTGTTGAAGGAAAAGAAACAGCTGGAAAGAACATTTTTGAGGATATGATGAATAAAGTATGGGTAGATTTGTTCTTAAAAAGTATTATCAAGAAAACTTCAGAGTTTGATCGTTTGGATAATCCATTCTTACTAAGAAAGAGAAAATAAAAATCGACGCAATTATAAATTCTATTTAAACTCATTTTGAGAAGCCCAGTTTGAAGGTTTTTCAAATTTTTGTTAAAGCACTCAATTTCCAAAAAAGTTAAGATCAGATGTTACAAAGTTATATATCAAAACTGTACAAAATTGCTTAATTGTTTATCTTTAGTTGATGGTTCTTCTGTTGATATTTAAACGTTGATGCTTTTTATTAATCCGTGTTTCATTTATTTTTCTCCCCCATTTTATTTCGGGTACTCTTAAAATCTTAAAAAAGGTTTATTACGAGCTATATGATAGTGGTTATTCTAAAATTTTGCAAAACTTATCTATTTCAAGTCAACATCACAATAGACCAGGGGCGGATCCAGCGTCTGCGTTTGGGGAGGGCCATTTATGAAAGAAGAGGAGGCCTGCGAAAATTTCACAGACACGCCCTTCAAAGTCTCACCGAACGCGGGAAACGCCCCTTTCTATCAAAAAATTTCATAAGAAGGTACACTCTCAGAACACTGAAAATTAAGAAACTTCATTGCTGCGAGAAACTTCCAAGCAAAGTAAAGGCTAAAATACATGATGAAAAATTGATGAACTTTGGCTAATCGTGTAAACACGCGCTTCTTTAGTTAAACTGATGAAAAACGGATATAGAAATAACTTTGGGGAAAACTGACATAAAAAACTGATCGTGTATTTCAGCCTTTACAAATATTCATATTGAATATTTGGTCAGCAGCTTTCGCGCTTGACTTGGGAGGGGAACTATGACGCATCAGAGTTCGTGAATGACATTATAATTCCTGTGTTCAAGAAGCCGGCATAAGACACGTACCCTTAAGATGAAAAAAAGATTTAGAAAATGAGCAAAAGTCCCCACGTATTTGGTGCGTTTAATTTGAATGGTAAATTTTCAAAATGGGTAGTCACCAAAAATTCATCGCAGCATAACAGGCAAAGCTGAGTAGTTATAGGTACTGTTTTGCTTTTGTTGGAAATAGTGACGCTTTTTGGGTATCACAATCGCAATAACACGATGAACAATGTTTGAACTGTAACCCATTTTAGCCATAACTTTCTCAACCATTAACGTTTGCAGACGTCATTCATTCATGATCGCAGTCATGATTTGTGTTAAACCATAGTCCATATGAGCCGCGAGATCCGGTCACATCTAATTTTGCATTGAACTATTGTTTTAGGCTTATCATAATTCTTGTGTTACACATCCACTTGCAACTTATTGCCTCACTGAAAGCGAGAGAATAAAGCCGACTGGAGGTTTGATTAAAATGTCTGGTCCGCCAAAGAAATCAAGAACTCTTGAATCATTCTTCTCAAAAAGTAGCCGCACCAGTTCAGTTGGAGATAACCCTGAAATCTCTAAAACATGTGAAACTACCACTTGCCAAGAATTTGAATCAAAATCTACTGGTGAAGAATTCGACACACAAAGCCAAGTTGCGGTAGTCCAGGATTGTCCTGAAGAGGAAACACACCCAGACCTCTGTTGTATGGCGACACAAGTAAATGTTGCAATATCTGATAGATATGACATTGGTAGAGCTATAATGAAAACAAAACGAGGAGAACAGCTGACAGATAACGAAAGGGAAGCATATTTATCGAAGAGGTGGGTGCCGCAGAGAAGGGATGAATATCCATTTTCTGAAAAGAAAAAACCAAAGAATCAGCTCATGGTTGGTATGTCCTCGACAACGAAGCGTTTTCTGGGTGAAAATCACTTGAAAACCTTCCCCTGGCTAGCTGTCAGCAGAGAGCCAAAATGTTGCGGTGCTTGGTGTGTTTATTGCGTTTTATTCAAGACGTGCGAGAGTGGAGGTGGAAGAGGTGCACAATACGGAGGTGGAGCAGGCCAGTCAATGGGCAAACTTGTTAACAAGCCTCTTGTAAACTTTTCAGACTTGACAGGGAAAAATGGAGCCCTCACAAGTCACCAAGAAACATCTTTTCATAAGACATGTGCCATAAAGTACACGGAGTTCTTGAGCCGTGCAACACCTGGGAGTGAGAAGGACGTTCGATCAATAATGAACATTGAAAGGCAGAAAGAGATTGAAAGAAACAGGACTGCGCTGGTTCCCATCATCGACACCCTTCTAACATGCGCCAGGCAAAATATTGCGCTTAGAGGCCATCGTGATGATGGACCAGTAGATTCAACTGGGATGGAACCCAAGCACAATGATGGAAACTTCAGGGCATTGCTGCGATTGAGAGTACGGGGAGGAGATACAAACTTGAAAGATCACTTGAAATCTTGCAAACGCAATGCTTCTTTGGTAAGCAAAACGATACAAAACGAGCTAATTGCCTGTGCAGGAAATATTGTCAAAGAGGACATAGTAAGAGATGTAAAAAATGCAAAATTCTGGACAATAATGGCCGACGAAACCCAAGATTGTGCGAAACGAGAACAGTTGGTCATTGCAATTCGTTACGTTGACACAAAAAATGTGCCAAAAATTATCAAAGAAGAACCGGTCGCAATTTTAGACCTGATTGCAGACATAAAAAGCAGTGACCAATCAGATGAAACAGAGCACAATGAAATTAAGCTATGTGGCAAGGCAATAGGGGAGACTCTACTCCGCCATATAAGTGAGCTTGGGTTGGATTTGCAGTACCTCGTTGGTCAAGGATATGATGGTGCTGCATCGATGTCCAGTGAGCGAGTTGGTGTTTGCTCCTTTATCAAATCTGCTGCGCCACTCGCTGACTACTTCCACTGCTGCATGCACGCGCTAAATCTAAGTTGTTCTCGAGCCGCAAAGATACCAGCAATCAGACATTGCATGGATGACATCAAAGATATCAACAATTTCTTCAAGCATGCGAAAAGAAACAGCTATTTGCAAGCAGTCATAGCACGAGAATCAATTGAAGAGCTTCAGCGACGGCAGTTGGTGACCCTCTGTGAAACAAGATTTGTCGAAAGACATGAATCAGTTTTGGTTGCACGACAGCTTTTGCCTTACATCGTTGTGTGCTTGGAATAAATGCTCGCTTGGGACTCATTAGATACAAGAAAAGATGCCAGGAGATTGTTAAAAAGTTTGCAAGACCCTCAGTTCCTTGTAGCGCTAGTATTGGCCGAGAAAGTGTCTGCTGTACTTCGCCCAGTGTCCCGTTCTTTGCAACAAATTGGTAGCGATCTTGTGAAAGCAATGTCGACGATTTCTGCGACACAGTCAAAGCTTTACACGTGGCGTAAAGGTGAAGAAAATGAGTTTGCTTCGATGTTTGAAGAGGCAATGCTTCTTGGCGAAAATATTGGAGTGACCAGAGAAGAGATGCACGCAATTCCTCGAGCAGTCAGTCAATCCAGGTTCAGATCAAATGCAGGTGAAGCCAATCAAAAAGCCATTGATTATTATCGTATCAATGTGTTTTTACCTCTTCTTGATGAAGTGGCTGGAGATATGAAAGCAAGATTTGGTCCCCATCAGCAGAAGATTGCGACGCTTACAAGAATTCTGCCTTGTTTCGTCAAAGAATCAACTTGGCAAGATATTTTGCCTGCAGCACTAAAATACGGAGTCTTTTTAGACCCCTTGTCCATTGTTGAAGGAGAGTATGAAATTTGGAAGCAGCAATGGCTGTCACGTGGAACAAGTACAGTAGCAAATACCGCTATCGGCGCTTTAGGCGACTGCCAAGGTGATGTATTTCCTAATTTGCATACATTACTCAACATTCTCACTGTGCTACCGGTGACAACAGCAGAACCCGAACGACTATTTTCTAAACTGAATAGTACCCTGACAGCAATTCGGTCAACAATGTCTGAGGAGAGATTAGAATCCCTACTTCTTCTGCAAGTTCACCGTGACAGAACACCAACGAGCGATAAACTCATTGACTCATTCGCAGCATTAAAATCAAGACGAATCCCATTAAAGCTGTAAGTAGTTAAAAGATGGACAAAATGACGTTGCTATTATATCGCAATACTCAACATTGAAACACACCACTTCTCGCGCAAAATGAGCTCGCATGTAGCTTTTCGTTTCAAAGGCAAAATCTCCGATAACGTTTTTGCTACGATATAGCTACTTCCTTTTCAAATTCTTTTCTGAATATATTGACATCAGTTGGGATCACTGATTTCCACAAAATTACTCAATCAAAGCTCTCATGTTTCTATGCTCGCAGTTAGTGTTCTCATGTAATGTAATAAGTAATTTTGGTTTGTTAGTTATATAAACAACTAGTTTCTTGTTATGCAAAAACTTTTACCTTATCAATTTACATGTTTAGTTAATGTATTTACTGTCTTTTCATTCAAAGTTTCTCGTTGTCGAATCGTTTGGGGGGGGCCATGGCCCCCCCGGCCCCCCCTGTAGATCCGCCAATGCAATAGACGTAACTATGCGACACCTTCAGTCAAAATTCATTTTAGATACAGTTTCTGGCCATCCCTAAGACACCATAATTCTAAAAATTTTCTTGCCACCAGCCATGGTGGTGGCCTTTCCTAAGCCCTTTAAGACTTTGATATGTTGGCCCCTCCACTTTCAAATACGTTTCGCTGGCCCTGTAAATTAAATAAAACGAATACTGATATTTTGCCCCCGGCATGCAGGGCCTCATCAGTTATGGGTGAAGGACTGGATCAGGGAGCGTGCAAACCGTGGTGTAATCAACTCCTGCAGCTCCTTCCGCCATATTTCTCGTTTTGAAGCACGAGGAGCGCCATGCGCACCCGCTTATTCTGCAAATTTGATTGGAGAATATCTTGAACATCGTAAAACATCGTCAGATTGAAAAACGTAAAGCATGCCGCTGCAAGCAGCAAAATCCTTGAACATCGTCAAACATATTTGATGATGTTCGAGGTTGCATAATGAAGTTGTCTACACGATCAAACATTTGTTCTTGAACATAGTCCAACACATATCTGATGATGTTTGACGATGTTTTGTATGACGATGTTTTATCGATGTTTTATTAAGAACAATCAAGCCTCAAATTTGCGAAAAATTCAACTGTACTGTTCCTCTCTATATAAAGAACTATTGTATTGTAAGAAACAGCAAATCTTATGCATTCCCACTGAGGTATTATGATTGCTTTCATAAAACAAGCATTGTTGCCGTTTGGGACTAAAATCAGATGAACCTCAATTTATAGAATAACAGATTTTATTTTGTCCTTCTCACACTTCCAACTTGATTTTGACAATCGATTATTTAGACAATAGATAACAACTCGTCCCTTGCGAGTTTATAATTCTTAGGCTCAGCTACTGACATTTCTTTGCTCAACACAATTGACTATTGTTTATTTTTCTCAAAACGAAACGAGCGCTTTACCCTCCATTTGAAATCCTTTAAAAGAAACCTGTGGACATTTCTTCGCCAATATTCTTGAAATGAAATGTTACCTATTTGTCTAGACCGAGCATGCCGTGAATTTTGAGTCCAGGATTGTGAAATCTTCTCGCATTCTCACGTTTGATCGCTAAATTTATCACTAAGTTAAGTATTTACACATTCGTTTTTTGATTGTGTGACGTCCTATGATTACGTCACAACGTTCCTCAAAGTTTTGACGACGCCAGCCAACTATTTCCGCCTTGGGGTTTGGACACTATTCAACAACTGGGTGGGATACAATAAAGGTTCGTTTCGATAGAAATCTATAAACAGTTGTACGAAATTTTGTGCGTATACGGTTGAGATTGATCTACTTGATTTCAACATCAGAACAGCGTCTTCGGGTGAAGAGCAACTTGAAAGCGAAAGAAACAGAGAACTGAGCATTTCATGCTCTGAGATTGGTTGTTTGAACAAGAATTGTGTAAACAATTTTTGCACTTCCGCAAAAATCATGAGTTCGCTGGGAAAAAGCAAAAGCCTTCCAGCACACCATGGTGGAACTGTCAATAAAAAGCCCAAAGTTCACAAAATAGTCGTGATGGGAGAAGGAGGAGTTGGCAAATCAGGTATTCTCGTTTTCAGTCAATTAATCATTTTGAAAACAGGGGAGAAGCACCAGGTTGCAAATGCAAAAATATTTCGAAAATGCATAAAGATTGGGTCCTTTGATTATGACCAATACCAATGCATGTCAGGATATATTTTAAACCATTTTGTATGAACAGTTTTATGAAACCAATTGTTGTACCGAAAAGAGAGATAAGGAGGTCTGGTAAAGGGGTTTTCTTATTTCTCTAAATGAGTGCAAACTTCTTTTATGAAACTTTTAGTATCATCATAGTTCCATTATTTTGCTATTCCTTCAGTATTGTTCCCTTTAATGTTTGAATATTCTGGCTACGGCTCTAACGCTAATGTTAAATTTAGAGGACGCAAGCATACTTTTAGACAAGTTTCTTTTAATAGAAAACAATGAATTGTTTTGCAGCAATAACATTACAGTTTGTGAGCAACATTTTCTTGGATGTTCGAGATCCTACAATAGGTAATGTACTACTTTCTACAAATTTGTATACTTCATTAAATTGCCTCGTTTCAATTTGTCTCTCAGATCAGATTTTTTGTATCATTGCCATGTGGGTATTGCTTTTCTTCTTGAGGAGACCATGCCACCGTCACCTCTCTATTGACAAACCTTGTCTATATCTATAAATATTTAAACCCTTTACATTTCTCTTTGATTTTTCCAACAAATGCTATGGTAAGACAACGTGATAGCAGATCCAAAATATATTATGGAATTACCATTATTGCTGAAGAATATCGTGATATGCCTGGTAAAACTAGAGAGTAAGAGAGAGTAAGAGAAATTTTTGCATTCGCTTTTGATGCAACAATGAGTATAAAGTAAAACTGAAAGTGTATTAATGTCTATTTATTATCATCAACATAACAGTGGCCTAAAGATTAAAGGAAAAAATCAAATCTTTTTTACGTGTTGTTTCATCAAAACACTAAACAATAACACAACAGAACAATAAATGTGGTATAGAAATACAAATCTAGTCACTGAGTCACACTCTAGAGTTAATTACTCACAGAGCGGATGTTTGTATTTCAAAACGTATATGTGCGAGAAAGTGACAGTTTTTTTGCTTGGTGAGAAAACTAAAAATAGATAAAAAATCCAAGTCCTGATGGAGCTTGAGCCTAGCATGTGCTCCAGACCCCTAACTTGAAAGTATGGTTCTTGAGAGTCTGGGACTACTTTCAAGTTAGGGGTCTGGGACACAGGCTTCTTGAGCCTGGCATTGTTCTTAAATTATTATTGAATTTTAGCGATTTTGAGCCTCAAAATTTCTATATGTTATATTCTTATTAAATAGTGAGGATTTTTTTAAAGGCTCTAGCAGGTTTCTTAAGTGCTTATGAATATCCTATGAAAACAGTAACATTTGCATTATTAAAACTATCAAATATCTACGTGACGTCATCTGTCCTTAAATATAATTTTGATTTTGCTTTATCAATAGAGGATGCATATCAATCTCAAATAGTGGTAGATGATGAAGCGTGTATGCTGGATATCCTTGACACTGCAGGACAGGTATTCCCTTGTTTCATTTTTCTTTGTTTTATGCATAGACTAGCATCAGTGTACCTCAGAATGGGAGACGAAAGGGTTGTCGGCAATGCAGTGACTTGGCTTGTAATTGTACCGCGTGTTGCCCCATCTCCTGTGAATACACCCCCGATCGCTTCCTACCTGTTAATATATCCTAAGTTAATATTGTAAAAGGGGAGTCAAATGAATTTACAGCTAACCTTACAGCAAGTTCTTTGAGGCAGTCAATGTTTCATTTTCTTTGAATGTAGTGAACTGAGGGGGGGAGGGGCAGTCCCCGCAAAGGATTTCTAGGTCCCCACCGTGGAAGCTTATTTGAATGTGAGAGGGAAAATGTTTTAAGATGGAAGGATTTAATAATGACGGCCACTATGGTAGGCGGCAAGAAAAGTTTTAGAAGTATGGTATACTAGGGATGGCCCAGAAACTGCTTCTAAAACAGATTTGGACCGGAGAAAACTCTGAGGAAGTATTTCCAAGGTTTTTATTTCATCACTATGCCCTATAGTTTTATGCATTTCAATGTTGACACACAGAGACGCCAGGTTTGTGGGGCAAGAGGAGCAAAGCGCTAAAAAAAGGGCAAACAGTAACAAAATGAAAACGCTGGATAAAATTTTTCAGGGCAACGCCCCCGTGTGTCCCCCGCGCCCCCTGTTGACATTAAATGGGTATATAAGAATGGCCCCGTTTCGCTGCCTGTATCAAAGATGACCTGTTGTATTTAAAGCATGCCCCGAGTTTTTGTTGTTTTAAAATCAACTTCCTTTAATGTTTACGTGCCTGGACATGAACTTGACAGATACGCATTTTATGAGATACAAAACATATTTTTCGGTATGAGATCCGGTTTTATAACTTTTAGTCAACTTAAAATATTTTCGAAGTGTTATAAGAAATATGAGCTTAATATTTTGAAACTCGTTTCAATAGATATTTATGGATTTTGAAATCAAAGATTTTGATAAGAGATTTCGAAATACTACGAGCTACGCCGTTTTTTAATCATTATTCTCCTTTTGTTTACACTTTTTCTGAACCCAAATAATTAAGTCTGAGGAAACATGCAGATGTACGCTTTTACGCTGCTCAGCTCAGAATGTGCTTTCTTCAACAGCTCTTGATTTTTTTCTCCTTTCAAACAGGAAGAATTTGCTGCGATGCGAGAACAATACATGAGACATGGAGAGGGGTTCATATTTGTTTATTCCGTAACAGATTTTAGTAGTTTTCAAATGCTAAGCAAACATCTGAAGACATTAGAAAGAGTGCGAAATTTTGAGCCTGTACCTCTAGTTCTTGTTGGAAACAAATCTGACCTAGATGAAAGGCGCCAAGTGAGTTTTAATGAAGGGGCTGCTTTAGCTACTGAAATGGACTGTTTGTTTTTAGAAGCATCAGCACGGACACGGAGAAATGTCGATGAAACATTTTGTGGTATGGTAAGAGAAATAAGACGACGCAAAAGAAATGGATCCGAGTTGGGGAAACTAGAACACAAAAAAGGGCTTTTGAAACGAGTTCGGAAATATCTCAAAAACTTAGTAAAGTAGACTTGAAATGTTCGAACTTCAGTGGACATTTCTTTGCTGACAGAGAAATAGGCGGGAAAATGTCCCATTAATAACTTCACTAGATATTTAATTAATCAGGCAGGGCCTGGGAGAATCCAATATCTACCCTTGGAATGCGGCAGTGTGATACAGAAGCAGTTTTTTAAATAAACCGCTATCGTAATATGCTACTGCTTTGTGTGTTTGTTGTTATGTTAAAAAACTTAGTCTTACATTTTTAAAGTAATAATTAGGTTAAAGTTTGCGTACTTTTAGCACTACTATTAATTTCAGGGAACAGCCATTTGACCGTGTCTCTCTTCCCCGTATTTTAAAATTAAAACGAAACTTTTTTGTTACCTATCATCTACAAAAAAAGATAAATTTGTAACTGAAAATGAAAACCCAATCGAAAATGGACGATGTTTGGTTTGGTTTGAGCAGCTTCTATTGCAACTGAAGGCTCTCAGAAAAAAAACTAGGTGTAAAATTTGTTGGCTCTTGACAAGAATTTATAATCAAAATTTAAAAAAGGTAAATTCCCGCTTTATTTTATCCACGGATGTATGGCTGTTAAGCTTTAAAGGATTGAATTAAAGTATAAGTCTAAATCAGAACAAAAATTACATCTCGTGAACCCAGCCATAAAGGAGAAGAATGTTTTTCTCTAATTTCCTCTAAATTCTTAAGCATCGTCACCAGTTTTTTGCCAAAGCAAATTGTTATTCTCTTTGGTATTACACAATGAGTTATTTTGATAGCATTACGTCACAGTTAACTTTATTGCTCAATGATCTACATAATGTAAATATATACATGATATTGGTGAATATTGTCCAGACATAACGCTGTATTTGCTTTTTGTCGAATATATTGCTGTTAGAAACTTTTTAACTTACAGATATATTTATGTATTGTATATATCAGCACGTTTCTGGTAACATACAGTTCAATTGCCTTCTTACACTATGCCTTCTTCTTTGTCTTGATACGTTACACTAAATTTGTTGCCAGTTTTTTGTTGCTTCTCTTCTCTCGAGTTCATGTGTCTTGGTGAGAGTTTCAGAGCCCCAAAGTTGCCAATATGATGCAAACCTGATTATGGGCTTAACCATTTCTTTCTCAAAGGGGAGGGGGGGTGTGGAACTGAATTATGTGTCGTTTTCAACAGGAAAGTGTTCATTTGCAAGAAGGTTGTTTGGCTAAACGGTTTTTTCGTAGTTTGGTAGTCAAGGTCGTGCATTGGAACTTTGCGAACACATGGACTTCCGATTGGAATACATTAAAATCCACAAAGCTCTTTCTGTTTTAGTTTTTAGCAATGCTTTTCTTGCTATTCGGTTTATAGCCCTCCCCATTCCTCTCTTTATATAAATGCATATCACTTTTTATGGAAATGTGCTTTCTAGATCTACTTGTAGGGGAGTTACCTGACTTCAATGTGATGCAAAGTTACTTCCCTGTAGGGAAGTCATTTTTTTGAAATAAAACAGAATCAAAGAGAATATCATTTAAGAATCGGTAGGCTGAAAGTAACCGAAAGTTGAAAACAAGCCCCTTTTATCAGAAGTGCGGTCTTGGGGACTTTTGGGAATTGCGCCCTCTTTCTGATATACAATCTCTTTAAACTTTGAAATAGTTCCTGAAATAGCTGAAAGGGAACTTAATTCGACTTCTCAAGTAAACATGTTGTCCTGTGGTCTACTTTTATTTCCTGCAGACCAAACTGTATCTTGCTAGGCAAAAAATAGCCAGGAAAGATTCGAAGGTAGGGCAATATTCAAGTGAGCCAACGGCTGACACATTCTTAATGCAATATTACGTTTGCTGAGGCCCCAATTTTTTCAACTTTGACAGGAGGAAGCAGTTCTGTATTCCTTTGTGTCAATATTCGTGGAATAAAGGAATTTGACAATGCCTCATCATCAATGTTACGCAATTATGCCTTTTACCAGGAACAGGTTTTTTTAGGCTCAAACCACTGTGTCAGTACTTCCCTGTCATTTTGGTAAAGAACCTGGGCCAAGTAAGCCGTTGTTCTATAAATTTGTGTCATTTCTTCGATGAGGTCAAAGTCGACGTATCAAAGGCATTCCATTTGTAAAAGAAACATCGTAAGGACTTCACTACGAGAAAAATAATACAAGTGCATATCAGGACACCAAAAAACAGCAAACAGGAATAGCTGCATCGCTGCATCATGCACCAGGAAATCTCTAACAACATTGTCATTCTTGGATCAAGCGGCGTTGGAAAATCAGGTTTGCTCTTTTTTTGTCACTTAAACTTTGCACAGTCTACCTAAATGTTTCAAGATTCTATGGTATTATACAAAAAAAGAAAGCACTTTCCTAATAATGAAATCTCAATTAATGCAATAATTTGTTATCAAAAATTCGGTACTCAAACATACCCAGCTTCGCTGCAAGTGAGGTTTGCCCCTTTTTAAAAGGGTAAAACTATTTAAGTATTCCTTAAATTAGCAATTTAAACTTTCTTAAATTAGCAATTTATATTTCTTGGAGATTTATTGAAATAATCTCGTTATCAATTCTAATAAAGAGGAAATTATAAAGCTTTTTTTAAATTACCAAATGAGTAATTTGAAAGGCATCTAAAAATAGTTTTACTTGAGAGAGAGATCAATGGGGATCACAAATAATAAAACTTGCAAAAAGACTTAATTATAGTAATAATGGGCCATAGAATGTTGAATATAAAGTTGTTATATATGAATTGATTTTGTGCTTTATCTATTTCTGTCATTATATAAATAGCTTTTTAGTATTAAAGTCACTGATAAAGTTTCTTTTCACTGTAGCTATCACAGTCGCGTTTGTTAACAGGCAGAGTACACCCCAAGGTATGTTTTAAAACAATTATATCTCGCGTATTTTGTACACTTTAGACGCAATTGTCACAGTAAATAGCCGTTTCTAGTTAGTTGTTATATGTTATAAGTCTGTGTTGATGAAAGCTATTTGAAGATTTTCTTTTCTTGGAATTCGTGAACCCAATAAAGCCTTTCCCTAGCTGTATTTTTTAATTGTGTGTGTAGCATTGGAGGTTATGCTTTGTTGTATAGAACAGGAAGGTACTCTGTGTTTCATGCATAATGTTTCATTTTGAGTTTCACGCTTTATGCGATCATCAGACAACAGATTTTTTATCATATCTCTGTGGCTACCAGATTTTCATCATGTCTTTGTGTATTGAAAAATCAATAGAGTGGAAATTAAGAACTGCTTCTGTTGGATGATTTAGTTCGTATTAATGACTGATATTCCCAGAAATGGAGAGTGGTCGTAAGGATAAGAAAATTTTTGGCCACCAAACTGCAAATTCAATTAAAAATATAAGTTTGACTCGTAATCATAGGCTGTAATATTCTTTAAAAAAAAAGGAGCACTATCTATCTAGGTTGATCATTATAAAACGATACAACTCAATTTGTCAGGTTGGGAAGCCCACACGTCGATGACAGTGGATGGAAAACAGCATTCTGTTAGCATCACAATTGAGCAGGTAAAGTCATCATAGTCGTGTTGTTAGTAGAAAGCGGGGGCTAAAACCAGATGGTATAATGGTACATTGCGAGCAGTGTTTTTTGTTTTCAGACAATCAAAAGACTTTTGTAAACTTCTTTTTCTAAATCTACATTTCATTTAAACCAAGGACGTCAGAGTTGTTCAAGCCTGGAAAATGCACTTCTTAAAAGGGGGTACCTTCAGTGTTCAGTAGTCAGTAGAGGAAAGGTTGTAATTTAACCACGAAAGCTTGCATCTACCAAAAAGCCATGTCACTCAAAAAAAGCCTATACATTGTAGGCAACGCCGTAGAATTCACAGTATGAAAACATCAGTGATTTCGGCACAGAGGACCTTCAAACCCTTTGGTGCGGATTTTGAAGGTTTAAATGATTTTGCCTATATAAATTTGGATGCTGAAAACTTCTTCTATGGAATTTTACCTTGCTCATTCCGAGCGAACATGTTATACATTCTTTAGAAACGAGACCCAAATGCTTAATTTTCTCAAACGCAAAATTACCGAATAAATTTAACAAGAACAATATTAAGGAATCGGCCTTAAATGTAGCAACAATCTAAATTTAAATAGGTTTGCTTATAAAGCATGGCTAACCTCTGTTTGTCATCGAATCCACTTGACCGTGCTTTTCTATTTCTGCACAGGATGAATTCGTCGCCATGAGGGAGCAATACATCAAACAAGGGGATGGATTCATCTTCCTATACTCAATAACAGACTTCAAAAGCTTCACATCCCTGAGCAACCATTTACAGACATTTTACAGGTCATGTGACTCACGGCGTAAGCCCATAATGATTGTTGGAAATAAAACGGATCTAGAGGATCAGAGGAAAGTTAGCTATAGGGCGGGCGCATCGCTCGCAGGAGTATTAGATTGTAATTTTATGGAGGTATCAGCAAGTACTGGCAAAGGTATCAAAGATATGTTATCAGTTATAATCAGAGAAATCACAAGAGCTAAGAAAAATCGACGGTGACTAAGCGTTGGGACAGATAAATAGGCATGCTGTGTATAGATCCTGCTACTGCTCATCGATGCTGCTCAAGATTAAACCAATGATTAAGAAGATTACGAATATACTGCAACTGACAATGTGACCGTCCCCGAGTCGATTTTCAGTGCTTTACATGGCTCTGGGAAATTTAAATATTCAAGAAAGATTAATATATACTGCAGGGGACATCTCTATCGAAAGACACCATCGGCATTGACGTTGTCAAAAACTTTGTACTTTGTAGATATATCTTTAAATATGTAGAAAATTGTTGAAAATTCTCATAGTAAGTAAGGAAGCATAACTCTAAATCATTTAAATACATGAATACAAGACAAAATAGAATATAAAATTTTGCATCAAAATAAATGCTACATACTTCTGTCAACTGTTATACTATATGTTACACAAAAAATATCAAAGGACTTTCCAATGCTTCAAATACACTTTTTGGGAAGTTGACGGTATAAGAGGCAAGAAGTGAAAACTGTATATTGTTTACAAAAATAGATATCAAGGGACTTATGTTTATCTTCCGAAACAAAGACGCCATCAGCAATAAAGGCAGCGCTTATCAATATTTAACAATTTTTCTGGGACTCATTAAGGTCAAATCTCTGCCAAAATCTTCAATACACTCGGATAAACAACTGTGATAAGTATATAAATACATACAAGACATTTATTGAAGCATTTGGAGAATCATGTTGATTATTACTAATTCATTTAGGTAAACAGAGCATAAAAGAAGTTATAGAATACTGAAGGCAATAACGTTCTTCTTATCTTGTAAAAACATGCCATGCCAAGAAGTTTGATAACAGCAAATATATATTGTCGGTTGTAAGAAATGAATAAGGACTTGATGATGTTAAAATGAGGCTGCCTCCTATCGATTAGCAGATTCGGCTTTCCTCAGTCTTTTGCGAAGCTCTCGTGGAAGTTTTTCGTGACATTTCAGACAAAGTGGCTTCATGTCAAACTCATGAAATTTGCTCCTACGAGGGAAGTATAATGTATACAAAAGCCTAGCATTTTGTTGAAACGGCAATGCATAAAAAAGGGCATTCATATTCAAGATATTCACAACAATATATAGGAGGAAGAAAGTAGCAAAATTGCATATTAACTTAGAATGATAATCTAGAGGTTTTGCTAAAGGTTAAAGAGGATTTCTTGTAGTGTAGCACGATTTCTAAAAAACTTTAATTTTGCCTTAATGCATAATGAAAGCATATATGATATAGAATGGAATTTTGTGTCAAACCTAAAAGATCGTCTAACTAACTGCATGAATGCTGGCGAGCAGATTCACCTTTTCAGGCCTATGTGTAAACAAATCGACAAAATGTTCAAACACAGACTTACTTGAGGGTGAGTTTGACATTACAACCCCAGCAAGCAAAATGCTGCACACAGTAGCACTTATTCAAGGCAGTAACGACTGAAAAAGAAACAATTTAAATTAACAGTTCATCGATATTAACAGTTATCGTGATATGCATTAACATAAAAAATATCGATGGTATGCCTTTCTCTTCACCGTGAATACTATTTAACAAAGTAAGATTATATGTCTATTTAATTTCGCTCTTGAACCAGACCTGAGATTTTGTTGTTTTATTAACTGAGCTATCCCATAGCTTGATGCATTCCAAAAAAGGACAAACTCGCCTGCAGTCAATGATTTGTACAAAAAGTCTTCAGATTATGGACATCTCCTAAGGAACATACGGGTTTCCGCTATAAGGAGAAATCTTTTCACCCCTAATTTTCTGCTCCTTACTAATCGCGGCCAATTTTATTAAAAATTAAAGTTGAGGACAGCACAGACAAATCTGGTAGAAAAAGATCCAGTAGGAGCCAAAGAAAAAACACAAGATTCAAGAATCCTCCAGGTAACCTGAACGGTAGCTAATATGGCGATTGTAAGCAAGACCATTCCTTTTATATATATAAATTCTCTTCTTTTACATGTTGAAATTTTCTAATACCATATCCCGGGGTCCTATCGCGTCATAACTTGATAAAAATATAAATGTAGGTCATTCTTTGAACCAATGTCTTAGAATTTTCCTAAATTTTAACGTTGAAAAGAAGTTTGAATGAGCAAAAACATGTTCCAAAGTAGTCAACGTCAACCCAATGAGTGACAAACGAGTAACTATTTACAATCACTTCACCTTTGACGTAACGCTAAAAAGTGACATTTTTTGTCACTTTTAGCTGACACTTACCATCTCGGGCAATGGCACGGTTGCAAACGAAGCAGATGTCACCAAAGAGCTAGGGTATCAAACATGAAATGAAATCAGTCGGAAAATCCGTTATAAAACACATAATTAAAATTATCTTGAGTTGAAAGCTGTTGCTATTGTAACAGTTTTTTAAAGCAATTTAGAAAAATTAGAGTCTTGCAGATCTAACCATTCTTCTCTCCAGGAAGCAATGCATATTGTACAGCAGATTATGTAAAAGAAAGGATTTTTCAATCGGTTGGCAGAACATTTTTCAGATAAACACAAAATAACCCTCGCTTTGAGTTCGGATAATAGTTGCTGTACTGTATTGAAATTTTAATCGGTATTTTAAAAAAAGGCTCTTACTTCATTAAAATGTGTTTCGCAGTAAGCCAGGCCGTTCTTTTCGTAGTGTCTGTGACCATAAAAAGGCTTCTCGCATTGTGCACAACAGAAATGCTAATGGAAAATTCAAAAAACATTAATAAATTAATGCACGAAAATGAACCAGCTCTACCCAGGTCTACATATGTGTACAAAGAGAGCTAAAAGAAATGCTTGGATCTGAATTCACTCTACCATGCTTGAATATTCAAAATGATGCAAGAATACTCTGCATTAACTTAGTAATTGGAATACAGTGAACATCCGCATAAAAGAACCTGCGATTTTTTGTAGCAGGCTAGGATGACTCTTATATTTTATAGTGGTTTTTATATTGAAAATGTTTCTTTGGCAAAACCATGGAGGTTCTCAAAATATAGTTTCTTTTACGTGGTGTTTCAATGTGGCTACTTCTAGAGGCTGCCATTGAGACACATAATGAGTCTGATAAACTTGAATCCATCATCCAAAATCTAAAATCCACCTTCCTTTCTTGAAACATCTTTTGTCATTAGACACCTCTAATGTAAGGCATTGCCGAACTGATTTTTCATCAAAATACGAAAGATCCTAATAAATAAGCGTTCGGCCCTAAAACTGTTATAGATGGACTATTTATGCCAAAACCATAAACATTTGACTTTTCGAGAAAATAGATTATCTTTGCAAAAGTGTGTCGTACCCTGTAGACACTTCTACTAGTAATTGCAAATGAAAAGAATTTTCTGAAAGTTTTCAGTCATAATGGATCCACAAGTGCGCAGTAACCATATATAGGTTGTAAATAGGTAAGGTTTACCTCAACATGCCACTGCTTGCCAAGTGCATTTACTACACGATCTTCCACAGGACGTCTGAAATAACAAAAGGAAAATGCAGCTTACGTCAGAAACTTTTTAAAAATACCGCGACAATTGAAAAGTTTGTAAGCAATCACAAAGTAAAAAAACCAACAAATAAAAATCAAATTACAAATAAATTACCATGCAATTTTAGTGATGTGGTTGGGTATAAAATGAAACCTGGAGAAAAGCATGCAATCTAGTTACCACTTTATAAATTCGTACAGGAAGTAAAAACCCAAGCAGAAGTAAACTACAGCTACTAGAAAGAAATTACCCAATAGTTTAATAACAAGGTTCATATACCTGCATGATCCACATATGGGTGTCCCCATCTTGTCATGGCATCGCAAGCAATATAATTCATTGTTCTTTTTTCTACAGTTGACATCCAACTCTTTGCTTTGAAAAAAAGAGAAAAATAAAGCTTTAGTGGGGTGCTCTATGTCATTTTAAAAAGTGATCCCTTTGATGTCAAAAATAATGTCAAAAAAATTCACAGCAGCATATATGTGCTACATCGTATCTTATCATCAAAGTACCACCTTTCTTTAAGCACATTAATAGCCAACTAATAAGTTCAAAATACATTGAATTTATTGAATTGACTTCTTAAATGGACATTTGACCATATAATCATATCAAAATTGAATACAGAACTTCACTTAACAACTGCCAGCTCTCTTATAAAATCAAAAGGCAGCCATTTAGTTTTTACCAAAGGATATAAGTAGAAGAATTCATTTCAATTTCAATTGATTTCAAAAATATTTCTTATACAATATTAAATAAATTTAGGAAGTCCTATAAGAAGCAACCATAATTACAATTTAGTAGTCCTAAATCTGTAAGTGCTGTTCCACACAGACAGGAATAGATATTAAAAATGGATCCTAAGCAAAACCTTTAACATAGGTTAGGAAAATCCTATCAGAAAAACCTTCTTTTATTTATCAATTAAATATTAAAACCTCTTGTGGCAAAGTATGCTAAGAAAAATATGCAAAACCTACTTGCAGGCATAGCAGTTGTAATGCCAAGGATGAACGGGCTCACCCATGTACATAATGTGACCTCCTTCCTCAATGTATGTACTGCAAAAATACAATCAAAGTTTAAAGAAATAGCTAGTTGTATTTAGAAGCTAGGATATAAACTGATAGCTACACCCTGTTTTCTTTATCATAATAGCATTTCCCAATGATGAATTGCTGTTAAGATACTTTGCCAAGATATGCAAGGAAAAGATCTGCTACAAACCAAGTATAGTTGTAAAGAGCTGCCATTACTGCAAAATAATGTCAAAATAGCCTTGTAAAACAGATCAGGAAGATAGGAAAGATAATAAATGACTTACTGGCATCGATTACAAAGGTATCTTCCACCTTTAAGAAAAAAGGATACACATTCTAATATGGGAAATTATTCTCAAAAAAATTCAAAACTGTTTTTGAAATGCATATGTATATATTTATAAGAAAGAAATGATTAAAAACATAAAACTACTTTGATATGACTTTGCTTCCCAAAAAATGTATATATATTGAAGCAGATTTGCTACCTCAAGAACCCAGGGCCTGTGAAAAATCATCTTATAATACATACTTACTATCAAATAAATACTGGCTATTTTGATTTGTGTTTCGAGAAAATGTCTGTCATTAAAAAGTCAATTACACTGACAATAAAAATGTTTTCATCTATGACAAATTTGCTGTTGTTTTCACCTATACTGGCTGCCAGTGAAATTAATCCTTCTAGACCACACCGATAAATCATAGATTTGGGACTCCAGCATGGAAGCTTGGTTGATTAGCCTGATCTTGGTGTTTACACAGTTCCTATCAAAAACTTCCTGATAAACATCTAAACAATTGGGATTTGCTTAAATTTGAAACTTTATTACGAAGAGTTATACCCTTGAACAAGTGATGGCTGTCCACAGACTTGACTTATGATGAGTTTAAATTATCATTAATTAATATCTAACAATGAAATCTGCGGCAACCAAAAAATTCCATGACAGTCTTTCTTACTGCTAAATGCATAGACAGCAATTTTTACTGCTTATCAATCAGGAAATACAGCACAATTTGCAAAAACTGATAATGAAACCAAATACCCTTGGCCTTTTCAGCAGCATGGCATCTTTTGCAAAGGGCTCTGAAAAAAGAAAATTCAAAATAGTTAATGAAAAGAAATTAACAAACTGAGCACCTTCAGCTTTCTAGGTGCTCATTTGAGCATCATCGAATATTATCCAAAAAAGTTTGGTTTTGCGCATTCAATTCAATTTTTAAAGATGGTTAGCATGCTAGATGCTTGATTAACCCATTCACTCCCGTTGACGCCAAATGGTGTCAAAGAGTGTTTGACTCATCTCCCCAAAAGCGTCAAATGATGTTGCAAGCTTTTTTGCAATTTTCCCCACGGACGTCGTTTGACGTCGTGAATTCTTGTTGCCTATTGTTGCCTATGGTTGCCTATTAGCTTACACTTAAGCTATTGTTCCTTAACAAAAATGATACATACAGAAATAATTAAACTTTGTTTATATGCAAAAATATGCATATGGTCCCATACTAAAATATGTTGAAAAGACCGTTACAACTTCCTAGGTGTGTATGGAGGTGTTGATCGAGCTCAAGCCCCTCTCCTTGCAAGGCCTGTTTAATAGGGATAGCAAAAAGCTCAAAATCTGGAACAAATAATATAACTGTTCCAGCAAAAATTTTAAAATATCTTACACTTGTTTTATTAAGTTTTATCACTAAAACTCCAGTCACTTTTAACATAACAAACAGTGCCTTTAACAAAATATGGAAGCTTTTTTCTAAGGATCCTTCTTTAATACTGTTTTCCTCAGTGTCTCGTCAAGGAAAGGCCAATAAATTCAAATGAAATGGTGTGAACAAACACCATTATGTTTTTAAAAGATTTATTTCATCTACACTGAAACTTTGTATTTTCAAATATAATTACATTCACAAAAGATTCCATTCTCAAAGTTAATATGAAATTATTTGGTTTTGAATGACAGATTTCTCCTAGTGGCCTTTAGTAGTTTCTCCTAGTAACATGCAAAAATCATGTAGCTGTGGCCTTAGAAGAAACCAGAAATACCATATCAACAAAAGGTTAGTGGTGTAGTGAAACTTGCATTGAGTTGGATCTTCTTGGACCATACAAAATAGTTAGACTTATGATGGTTCTCACTTACAAGTAAGTGGGATATAACCCGACTTATGCAGAGTTTGGAAAATTTTAAATCAATACACTGAGATGACTGTTCACTATCTTAAAAAAGTCACGGATTGTTTTTAAATCATTAGAAATTCCATTTTGGAAGCCAGAAGGGGTAGGTGCAGATAGGCATTTCATAGCCATAACTATAAAAGAAGAAGCAGGAGTTGTGGAGTCTCCACCCCAATAATGCAAAACCCCCATCTGCCAGTGCATAGTTTTGATCTGGTTCGGGTTATGGGTAAAAGTTTACATTTTAATGTCTTTCTTCTTTATTTCAGGATGCTTTTTTAAATATTTCAGAATAGGAAAGGTATTTGAATAACACAGAACTTGCATCCCTTTCTTAGCAGCACTAGAATCCCAGAGCACTGCCTCTATCCACGAATACATCTCATTTGTTTACAGACATTTTTTATTTTCAAAAAAGTTTTTGTTAGGGCCACTAGATGAATATTTTTCTTTTGTTGCAAAAATCTGACATTATTAATATTAGTGAAAGTTGGGACTTCAATTGTTCTGCTTTCTGGCAATATTGTTTTACGTTTTTAAGGAGCCTAAATAACTTTTTCCATTTATTAATCATATGCTCTTCTGGGCGAGGCCTGGCAAGACACGTGTCAAAACACAGACAAAGCTGGATAATTCTAGAAAAGGGATGATTTCCATCTCAGAAAATTATTGGTTTTTCAAGGAAGCATTGTAACAAGGTAAAATATTTAAAAATGCAACTAGTTTTTTTCTTAAGGGCCTATGCAGATTTGTGGTGTTTGCATGAAATACTTATTCTCTCTGAACCAAATGTTTTACAAAAGAGGCTGGCAAGCAAGTTGCAATTTGAGACATTTTCTTTAAAAAATAACTGATCAATGAAACTTGTAAAACAATATCACAACATCAGAAACTATTAATGTCAACAAACCTCAAAATTTTAACATGTTGAAATAATATGATTTCTCACATTATATACATCACCCTACCTTCCTGCATTTTTAATGAACCCAGTGTCTGCTAGAGGGTCCTTGCAAAGTTCACATCTAAAGCAATCAGGGTGCCAGTTAGCATGCATTGCCTTTATTACTCTGCCAATAACGTATTCACCTATGATGAGTGGAAATGAAAGACAACTTTCCTAAACTGACATGGATATTTTACTTTTACATGGGGGTTTCTATACAGAAGGTGCCTAATTGTCAAACAAATGTCTTTTATCAGGGTTTTTATACAATGATGTAGAAGACAGTGTCAAACCATGAGATAATACTGAAATAGCCTTAACTTTTTCATACTGTTATTATGTTCATAAACTAACATTGAAAAGGTTTGGGCTCATCTCAATGAAAGAATTATGACTTTGCACATGATTAGGGTTTACAACATGGAAAATTGTCGCACATGATTTACTAAATGTATTATATATTTATTTAAAGTATGTCTATACCTGGTGCAATTATTTGTCCCAAATTAACATTAGTGAATACGTTATTAGATACATAAACATGACATGGTGCTGAGTAGACATGATATTCTCTCTACATCATTCATAAAAACGTACCACAGCTATTGCAGCAGGGAGCATAAAGTTGTTGAAAGTCATATTCACAGTACTGTCTTCCATCATACTAGAAAAATAAAAATAAAAATGTGTAAACAATTATACTGGAAAGGTAAGAGTTAAATCAACATTTTCTTAGCCAATGAGATTATTATTAATCTAAAATATTCTCACTTGTTATTTAGTATTTAGCATTTACAGTTTGGGGCTGGCTATCAATAATATTTTTTACAAGTGCTTTTTGAAACCTGGAGCATATTGTAAACATACCTCATAAAACAGACCATTTTCAAAAGGGCGAAAGCACTGTGCACATCTAAAAGAAAATTATTTTTGTGAAGTAAAATATACATTATATCATCAAAAACAAACTACCAGTTATTGAATATTTTTCATCAAATAAGATTATATAAATTAAGCAAGAATCTCTTCTTGAATTATTTGTAAATTCAATTAAAGAGATGCGACATGAGAGAGTTAAGTTGTAAATTTTTTGTTTGTAAAATTTTAAATTTGTTCTCGCAAACTAATAGTTAATACATTAATTAGAGTGTTAGATCTGTAATCAAATGTTCTTATCTTAGAATTGTTTTTATTTTAAGAGTGATTTTTTGCAAATGTTTGAGAAGTTACATTCTGTATATAGTTTCGTAGACGTTTTACTGGGTAAAGTTTAAAAATAAAGCAATGGCTGCTAGCGTTTATGGACAAACTTGCATAGTTTTGTTCTGTTGATATGACATAAATTTCAAAATGCGAATTTTTTTTTCAAATTTCTCATCTGAAGCTGAACATGTTCTAGCCTTGTTCTTATTTTTGGGCAAATCGAGCCTCAGTGTTCTTATAAAGTGTGTTCTTATAAAAAGAGTGTAGAATATTTGGTGCAACACGTCGTCTTCACTTATTCTTTTTTGATGAAATACAAAATGGCGTATGTCTACAGAGGAAAGCAATAATTAAACCTAAGGTGATAAGATAGTTAAGGATTAAGGCTGGTCACTTACACAAAACACATTCGTGGTAAAATTGATCCACTGGTTATTACCATAATTCTTTCCTTCTTCAGTAATCCCATCGTGAACACGACGAAGCATAGTAGCCTCATCACCCCTAAAACCTGGCATCATGGACCAGAAACTTGCTCCTGTTTCAACCTCCAAAAAACAAATTTTAACTAGCCTAACTTTCTTACGGAACCTCTCCCACTAATAATTTTCTTGAGCACTCCCCCGTTCCCGATCTTACGACATTTCAGTTAAATTCTTAAAGAAAGCGGTTGCACAGAAGGTTCTTATCCAAAGCGGCTGATGTTCCGCCCTTATTGTCTCCTCGTTTGGTCAAACACAAAGAGAAATAAATTGAGATATTTCGAAATCTTTTCGACAGAATGAGCTTCGTTCCGCCGGAAGAATATCATCTCTC